ATGCTTTTTTGGCATGGCTTCTTTGCAAAAGAAAAAAAAAAAACATTTGGAAAAGTGGGAAAATGGCACATATCTCCTGTGCACAGAGATACATAGAGGGAGTACAGACAGCCAACGTGTAGGTGTGGTAAATGTGTAACTCTGCGTGTATCTCAAGGCTGACTTTAATGTTCTGTTGGATTGTGTTGTTGTTGTTTTCTTTCTTTCTTTTTTTTGATCAATTTACCTTGTTATGCCAAGGACCAAGAACGAGAAAGAGAAAGTGTAAGCAGGAGGAAATTCAGAAAAATATATATGTACATATGGTGGACAAAGAACAAGGACATTTTTTCTCCATTTTCTCCCAATTGATTCTCATTAAGCACTCTTGCTCGGCAATTTTATTATGCTTACATTGATTTTAAGCACATTTTGTGAAGCGCATTGGTAAAACTTTCAAATACTCGAATACTTACCAGAAAACTGAAAGCATCTTCTTTCTGTCAAAATCATTTGCAGAAGTATGTCCACTGTAAGCTGCTTCCCCATGCTCATGAAAGAGCAGTCTTTCTCTTGCCTAACACTAGCTTCAGGTCTGCCTGTAATCTGTCTGAATGACCCTTGACATGTGTACACAAAAGAAGGAGAAATACTGCCAGAGTCTTGATAACCGAGTCAAAATAATTCCTTTGGGTGCTTTTAGATAGAAAGAACATAATCTCAGCTGATGTTATTCTTCTGTTTCTCTACAGAATTGGAGCCGATCATAGTGGCTGTTTGGTAGTGACAAGTAGTTTTTCTCTGCTGTGTGTACATGAAGTTTTTCTCCATATGCTGTATAGAAAAAATAACATTAATGAGCCTTAAAGGGATATTCTGGTGTACATTTGAGTTATGGTCAAACACACCGTAACACAGAGTTAGACGCCCCCTCCAGAGATGAATGTTCCCGACTGCTTGCTGCTCTAGTTATACCAACTTCTGCAACAACTGCACAATAGCAATACACAGTGGTCTACGTCTCCACACGCAAACCTCAACCAAAAAGCCACTCTATAGCCACAAGTAATGATCAGAACAACACCTAACAAACACAACTCACCCACTCTCCTCCAACAGCCGCTAGATAGATCTTCTCTAGATAGATCTTTCTGCTCGTGGTATCTCTGACCAATCAGGGCCGCTCTCAATCTCTCTGTCCTGATTAGTTGTGGTGCAGACCCTATACTCCCTTGTTCTGATTAGTTGTGAGGCACGCTCCAGGCCTTCAAGTGGGTGATCACTAGTATAGCAGTCAGTGCACATATTCATCACAAAAAAAGTTGTAGCTCAGGAGATAGAGCGGTCATCCAATAACTGGAAGGTTGGCGGTTGGACAAGATACTTCCCCCACCTTGCTCCCAGTGTCTGTCCTCCACTGGTGTGTGATTGTGAGTGATGTTTGGTAGTGGTCGGAGAGGCCATAGGCACAAATTGGCAGCCACGTTTTTGCCCCAGGGCAGCTGTAACTACTAAGGTAGTTTAACATAACCAGGGTGTGACAATGTGAGCGAATGAATGATGTAGCCAATGTAAATCACTTTGAGGGTCTCTGATAAAAAGTTCTATGAAATCTGACGCATTGTTATTATTAATATTATTATTATTGATACATAACTTCTAAAAAAAGACTATTGTGGGTACCTGGGGAGCTGAGAGGAAAACCGCTGGGCAGGGGTTGTGTTGACATCCAAATAGTCTGATTCTGCCTACTCCAGCTTTAAAATAAAAGCTTTTCATGGTTCAGTCGTGGATGTCCACCTGTCTGTGGTGAGTTAGATGCTCCCTGCTTCTTTAAGGCTCTGTGTAATATAAGCTTTATTCTCTTTGTGCAGAGCTGGTGATAGTGTTGGACTGAAGTATGGCTGTGACGGGGATTTTAACTTCGGCTCCGGCATGTTTACTAACCTTCTCAATCCATCATGGTTACAGAAAATGTCTGCAGGTCTTTGGATATATATATATATATATATATTCACTGGTATGTATCGTGATCTCTTGAGCTTACACACTGTTATGGGAAAGTGAGTCAGTAATGCTTCCTGAGAGATCTTTGTGCACTAAGTCCATATGTTGTCCTAGATTGTTTCAAAGGAAACAGTCTTATGTTGTATTGATCACAGTTACACCCTGACTTTATTTCATTTAAATCCCTCACAAAATGATATGATCTGAATATCTGCAGATTCTAGTGTCTATACGCTATCCACTGACATCCTGAAATCTACTTAAAAATGACCAGGATAAATCTGCAGCTCCTTTATCAGCAGGTGAAACGCTCTGTTCTTTTCAAGAGTGGATGGACCCACTGGTTTCTTTGTACTTCTTCAATGAGTCAAAGAACAGCTGAAGCACCCTCGCTGCTTGGTGATTTTGTCAGACTGTGAATTTTGCTTGAAAAGAAGAATAAACAAATCAGACTCAGTGTGCAGAGTTTAGGTGCCTCTAAAAAGACAGGGTCTCAGTGTGCAGAGACATTTCAAGTCCTCTGGCTTGTCTGGGCTTTTTTCCTCACCTCTTCTTGAATGTCTTAATGATGATGGTTAGCGGGGTGGGTTTCCAAATTATTTGCTTCCTGATGCGTAAGACACTACAGTCCGTACGTCTTGAACCTTTTCCCCTTCATCAGTTTTTGAAACAGAGAAAAAGAGACACGCCAGATTTCAAAGCCACTGGAGCATCTACAATTATGTCTGTAGTTCCCACTTCTTTCCACTCGAGTACTACACAGCTATGAAAGTACACTCTCAGACGACGCATAATTAGAAAGGTTAGTGAAATATTCAGCTGCTTGGTAACCATCTTTTTGTTTCATGTAGAATAACTTTGTGCTTCTGTCTCTAGATCTTGTTTGAAAGCTGACTGATACTTATCAAGATAATCTGTCCAAATTTTATAACAGTCACCACATAAAACCTTGTGAGCCTACATCTTTCTTTCTTTGCTTTTATTATTATTTAAAGTATTTAGTTTTAAAATACCTTTAATGTTAGGGAATGTAAACAACATTAGTTGTTTTTAAACAGTGTAAAATTGTACAGTAACATACAGGAACACTAATTAAATATGTCAGTCATGATGTGCAACTTTCACATTTGAAAATGCAGTTTATTCCAATTGGTTGTCCATTATTTTCATGTTTAAGCCTCACTCTTTATCACACAATAAAACAACTAGATATTAGTACCACTTGGTAAAATTCAAAGATTTCATGAAAATATTTGATCGGATCTAGATTTATCCATGTGAGAGTCACGCTACCTAAGATGGGAATGTTGTTTTTGTGCACCATCCATGAGGTTGGTTCAGTTCCACTATATATGCATAACATGATGAAAAAGGCTGCGTGGAGATTCATTGTTATGAAATAAAAAAAAAAAGAATCTTGTGATCAGGAAATTTCTCTTGAGCCACAAAAAGATCAACACTGTTTCTGATTTGAATTATTCATCACTACAGTATACCAGCATCTACTCTTGATTTATTCATAACATTAGTTTGAGGAAATAATGATGATGTGCAGAGGATGAGATTGACGTCTGTATGGTGTGAAATGCCACAGCATTTTTTCAAATCAACTGCAACAGGTGAGGTTAAGTCATTATATTTCAGAGAATCCATAACGTTAAAAAAGATGGTAATTTTTTGAAATTACAAGTTACAGAATGTAGTTTTCTCCAGCAATGTGAATGCAGGGATGAACTGTGTCCACAGACAAAGGTTTCAATAGGGGATTTTTAACCCATGCAGTGGTTTCCACTACAGAGTCATGTCTGTTTTTGATGAAGTAATTCCAGAGAGCAGAGACAGCAGCCAACCAGTGATGGTTTTCAGCCCTGCTTCCTGTTTAGAGATTCCTTTAATGATATTTTGTACAGTAGATGATAAAATCTTTGAATTCTTCGAAATTTCACACATACACATACAGTCTCTCAGAAAATGGTAAAACCATCTTGAGTTCTAAATTAAAAGCCTCTCTGGACTGACTTTTTATACATAGTCATGTTGCTAACCTACTCAAATTAGACCAACAGTCAGCATGTAGCCCAAGCTGAAAAAAGTAAAGTCAGTACAAGTGTTGCTGGAGTTTCATTTTGGGCTGTTGGTATAACCAGTATTAACAGTGACAAGTCTTTTAAAAACATGAGCTATTGATATTGTGCTAAAAACAAACATACAGTAATACTGTGAGTTCATAGTAGTAGTACTTTACATTGGAGACATTAAACAGAGGACAAGAAGAAGCAGCAGCTGCTAGCGAGGCGGCTGTAGCAGCTTTAAAAAACTGATTATGTATCTAAAAAATGAAAAAAAAAAAAAAGGTTAGAGCCCATTCTTCTTCAAGTTTCTAATCAAATAAGCAGGTAAACTTACTAATAGGGCTGCAACTGACGACTATTTCAATAGTTAACTATTGAAATGATTAGTTGACTGATGGGACAATTATGTCCCTTCTCCTCAAATGTTCATGCATCACCAACGGGGTGCCATGATGCGCAAGGTCTGTTTTGCAAACCTTGCATGTTATTTTTAGTTTTGCCTTATCTAGGCTAGAGTGCTCCCAAACTTTGGAGGCTTTAAGCGCATACTTATAGCTGCTGTATGGGATGCCAGCACCGTCATGTTTCGATACCCTATCGCTATTGCACATTTGTGACTCTAGGCAGAGATCATAATGAAGTTTGATGCCTCACTCCACTGGAATTCATTGTTTGAGTTTTTTTCATTATTGATTTTTGTCACCAATGTCGACTCTTTGTAGCAGCCCTACTTACTAACTATTCTTTTTATTGTTTTTAGTCAGCACTGTAACTCACAATCGACCTGTAGCAGTACACTTCCAAATAAAAACAGTTTAACAGTAAGGGAAATTAAGCAAAAAAAAAGAAGTTTCAGTCCCAGGGCTGCTGATGTGGATCAATCATAATTTTGAACATCATTAGAAATGGATAATGACTTAAGGTTAGTCATGTACACTACAGGCCAAAAGTTTGGAAGCAAGGCCATTACAGGCCGAACAGTTGGGAGTAACTTCAAGTTTTTGTTCACAACGCTTTTTTTTTTTTTAATCCAACATGAGTTTTATGTATTTTGGGATGCATTTACTCCATGATCAGATGTTGCTTTCATGGAAATGCACCATTTTACTCTATTTACCTTTAGATATACATTGATGTTAACAGACCATTGCTAAATATATGTCAGCAAAAGATAATAAGGGCTTAGTTTTAGGGTTGAAAACATTTGCAAGAGTCACAACTTAAGTGCAAAAGCAAAAAAAAAAAAATCACAGTTGGATTAGTCACTTCAACTTTTTGGCTTTTGAGAGTCTGCATACAAAAATCCTAATAAATCTCAACTGCGTTCAAACTACAGCAAAAATGGCTAAAAAGAAGCAACTGAGTAAAGAAACAAAAGTACTGATTTGTACATTGAGGAATGTGTTACACCCACAATTCAGACATGCAGAATTTTGATCTGAGTGGAACGTGAGAAGTAACAAAGACAATGACATTTAGGTCCACTCCTCACTCACGCTTCAGTGTTTTGTATCAATATGCGTTTCCATGATTAATCCCTTTAATGTACTGTAAATGAAAAATGCATATCTAAGCCGAGTAATGGTCGTTAATTTAGTCTTTTGCAAACAAATTTGCTAAGCTTTTAATGCTGCTGGTATCAGGGCAAAGCGGCATATTTGATATTAATGTATGAGTTGAAAGGGACAATTTAATCCAGGACCAAAGCATTTAACACTCACTAATGTCAAAGCTAATCCAGAAATCCAAAGTTTATCCCGAAACCCACATGTAAGCAATCCACTGGGTGGTAACCCCGCTCCACAGCTGCACACCATAGAGGTCCATGTATAGTTTAAGTCAGGAGGGGTTGCGTGATATCACTTTTTAGCTGTAATTCATCTGAAATCACTTTGAATACATTTAATATTTTAATTCTGTGTCTCTTTATTGTATGTATCATATGCTGCATGTGAATTATAACCTACATTTTTGCATATTTTTCATGCATTCTTTAACATGAAATATCTCTCTGAATAACACAAGAAAAGGAAAAAATGTAGGAAACTTGGCTCTATAATATATCTACCTTTCAAGATTAATGACAGCGCATTACAGTGTTTAAAATGTTGGTGTAGGTCTGTGACATTGCAGAGGATTAGCCTGTAACCTAGAACATTCATAAAGAAGCTGCATCTTAACCTGACAGCTAAGTTTGCTCTATACTCAAAAAAAAAAAAGAGAAGAGAGGAAAAATAAACCCCCAGAAAGAGCGCGAGAGCCAAGCCACAGTCTGAGCAAACAGAAAGTCAATATCCTAATGTAAAAGGCACAGATTGTTCCCCGCTATTTGGCTCTTTCTCTGCTAAACTTGAAGAGGAAACTGTTTGGAGTGGAATTGAAATTACAAATGTCATTAAATGAGGGTGGGCAGCTGCCACTGTTCAGTGAATAGTAGGCCTGCTGCCTGCTGAAGATAAGCAAATCTGAGACTTTTTTTGTGCCGACTGATGGTCCAAACTGAGCAGAAAGTGCGGCCACTGGGGAAACTGTCTTCCCTCACTCTGTGCCCAATTGTTTCCCATTCCTCCCATTAAATGCCAGAAACTGTTGACACAAACCCAGCATTTATAAGCTGATAATGGACACCCATTTGACGGAAGAAAGAGGTTTTCATTTGAAACAATAAGTTCAGCTATAGGCCACACTCTCTTTCAAATGTTGGCTGTTTCTGGTTTAACACCAGTTTAGACAAAGAAACAATGGTGGGAGAACCTCCTCACTGAAAAGGTTAAAAATATGCAGACTTTGAATTACAGATTACAAAAATAATTTGGGAACTGGAAAACTAACCCTAGTATGTGATGATTTTTATGTTGGTTATCATTCAAAATGTGTGTAAATGTCACCATAAAGTACAAATATAACATAGCGCTAACAGACCAATTAGCCTTTATGATCTTTCTCTTTCGTCTCTATATATTTTGATTTTTTTAGCATGTAATGATATTTTATTTCAAGACTAAAAAAAACAATAATTCAGAAAACAAAGCAGATGACATTTATGTCCTTTAGTTCATTTCATAAGCAATCCTGACATTTTTAAATATAGCACTGGAAGGCATAGCTCTGTAATGACAACTTAGAAAGCACAGGATGTGTGCTGAAATTGTGGGCAATGTGACAGTAAGACCATCTGTGACTCTGACATGTGAGAGAAGAGACACTGTCACTTGTCACACACATCTGATCTCATTACATCTTCTCACTTGTATCATGTTATGAGATTCATGTTATGGATCAGCAGCAACCTGCAGTAAATGTAGAAAGACAAGTGAACATCACACATGATAATGAATCATCTGTTTTTTCTTCTCATACCTCTGACTAAAGAGTCCTATCTTGTTTTTATCCTTCTGTTGTTCATCCATCCATCTTCTACCACTTATCTTGTGTTGGGTCATGGGGGCAGCAGTCTAAGAAAGGAAGGCCAGATTTCCTCTCCCCAGTTACTTCGTCTGCCTCTTCCCAGGGGACCCTGGGGTGATGCCAGGCTAGCTGAGAGATAGTCTCTATTCCTGGGTCTTCCGTGTGGTCTCTGATGAAAAAATGCTTTGCATAGAGGGTGCAAGATATAGTTATCGTGAAGGCAAAGGTAACTGTGATGTTTAAATTTTGTAAGGACAGCTTAAATTATTGTTAAAATCATCTGTTTCCTTTATTTGTAAATGATTACGAAGATCCGAGAAGCAAGGATAAAAGACTCTAAAATCCCACAGTTAAGGACCACTTCTGTGTATCTGTGAGATGCATTGTTTGTGCTCCAATTAAACATCATGTCATTATATGTCCTGAACTCTGGTGTCTGCCTCTTGTCATTTTAGAAAGATTTTTCCAACTGTCTCCTTCCAGTGTGACATGCCCGCCTCACCAGTGAAGCGTCCAGGAGGAATCCTGGTTAGATGCGCAAGCCACCTCATTTGACTCCTTTTAACGCGAAGTAGCGGCGGCTCTACTCCAAGCCCCTCCTGGATGACTGCGCTTCTCACCCTATCTCTTTGAGAGAGCCCAGCCACCCTGAAGAGGAAAGTCATTCCGGCCGCTTGTACATGAGATCTTCTTCTTTCGGTCAGTACTCACAGCTGGTGACCATAGGTGAGGGTAGGAATGTAGCTTGACCGTTTATTGAGAAATCTTGCTCTTCGACAGATCTGTGCAGCGTCCCCATCACTGCTGATGCCACACCGATCCGCCTGTTGATCTCCTGCTTCATTCTTCACTCACTCGTGAACAGGACCCCAAGATACTTGAGCTCCTCCACTTGGGGGCAGGATCTTATCCCTGACTGTTTTTCTTATTTATCAAATAATCAATAAATTAAACTGAAAGATTTCTGACACATTGGCACATTATTAGTATGTGTTTATATGTATACATATATTTGAGACCACTACGCAGTCTCATCATGTTTTGACAAAAGCTGCACTTAGATTTGTCCTGTCTTATTCCGAGGAAGCTGTTGCAGTCCAGAAAAGTTTGTTCACTCCAAACATTTACCTTTGTTTTTCTCATAAAAAAAAAGATGTAATTGTACATTTCAGTTCTCTCTCAAGGTTGGGAAAACAGCTCCTCTCTCTTCATACCATGAAAACCTCACAAGAAGGAACATGGATGCTTTCAAGTGTTGGGATTCACAGCCTGCCATCGACAAACAAGCTGTTCTCCCGATCAACAGTTGTCGGGAAAAAAAGCAATGTGGCAAAAACACTCAGAGGGAAAATGAGTGCTAACAAGGAACGTTGCTGTATGTTAGACAAAACTGAACCCGTTAAAAACGAAGTAAATTCAACACATTTGGTGGCTCAAGGAATACACAAATGTTAGCACAGCTTTGATTGGTGTTTAAGACGTTGAGTGTCAGTTTGGCTCAGTTGGTAGAGCAGATGCCTTATATAGGAAGACTACAGTCCTGACGTTATTTGATGTGTGTGTCACCTCCTCTCTCGCTCAAGCTGTCCTATTAAAACATGAGCAGAAGTCCAAAAAGATCATTCAAAAAAAAAGGGGGAGTCTGACCTATTGTAGCACTTTTTCTGGTGCCAAGTTATATTCAACACCTTAAACTTAGAGGTGCTGTGGGACCAGAGCCAGCAGGTCAAACCATCTCCAACACAGATAAAAACCTAAACAGATATTCAGATGACCAAACACAAGCAGTAGTAATGATTACTTTAACTTTGCGGTTACTCATTGAGTAACTCAGTTACTGTTTGATCGTAGTGATTAGTAAACATAATTATGAGATGCTTCTTGCTTTTATCAACACAGTGAAGAGAGGATACAGACAGTATAATAGATCAGAATTATTAGAGAGCTAATTTATTCCTCTGGGATTACAAATCATCCTCTCTGTTCCAGTTGATGTGGGATTTTGATTTACGTTGTTTCTTGTTTGTACTTTTCTTTCTTTCTTTTTTAAAAGCTAAAATATGCGTACATACATTTATACAGAGTCTTGTGCGTTTTCTCAGACTCAACACTTCCTTTGTGGTACCTCTTTGATAGCGTTACATAGTTTTCAGATAAACAAAAAAACAGAAAGCCTTGTGTTGGAAATGCACCATTATTTCAGCCCCCGCCTGAAACATCCAGTTTAAGCTGCTTCTTTGAAATTCCTTAATATTTACTAATGCACACAGATAACATATATAGCATCATCCATTTCTAATCATGTTCAAATGTATTATCAACATCACTGGCAGTAACGGAAACTTGGAGACTTTACCTGCCATGAGAATTTCTTGTTACTTGAGTTTTTTTTTCTTCTGGTTTTGTAAATAAGTTTTATTTTCAGTGTATTTTTCCTGGTGTTTCTGTTCCCCGTTGCCGTGTTCATTATTCTTATGTTCCTGTTATTTTTGTTTTTCACTGTTTAGTTTCTTAGTTTTCAGTGTTTCCTGTTTTAATTTGTAGTAATCAGTCCCTGTGTGCCAAGTATTGTTTTACTTCCTAAGTTTCCTCTCCTTTGTTGATTACTCATGAGTCTCACCTGTGTCTTGTCTGTCTCACCTGTTGCTCATTTCCCAGTTTGTATACAGTCTTCCCCTCTTTCTTTGTTGGTTTATTGTGCAAGCTTGTCCTTGCTGTCTGTACTGTCTGTACTGTCCGTACTGTCCATGCCTTTGTGAATTCCCCGTGTTCTTTTCTGTCTATAGTGTTTTTGTTGGACTTGTACAATAAGTTTTTTTTTATTTATTTATTTTTTTTTTTAGGTTAACCTTCAAAACTTTTATTTTCACTTTCAGATCATTTTTTCTTTTAGTTTCAAACTTTTAGCCCTGTTCTGGCGTGGCATTGCATGAGAAGGGCGTGGGATTGTGAGTGACAGCATAGCAAACAGAGCTTAGAGCTGCTTCAAGCCAGTTCACAGACTACGTTTACATATGCCTGGCTATTTCATAAATGGACATTTCACCTTAAAAAAAACTGCATGCACACCATTACATTTTCAGAAAAGTTTCCATTTTACAATAATCCATGTATATATGCCGTCAAGAGCATGCCAAACCTGTAGGTGACAGTGTAGCAAGAAGTCAAGCCCACGTTAGTCAATCAGAATCCTGCATAGCAGCAACACCAACAACAACAACAATGTCACTTCCTTGTTTTGGAAAAGATTTAAATGAAAATGCAAACAAATATAAAGGGATTGCACCAGCATAAATGCGACTGCTATTTTGTATGCATCCATGATCACATAGACTGTAGATGGTAAACTACGCCGCACTCAACCCAGTTTCCGGCGCACAATCTGCCGTCAGATACCCAAATCTCTGTTGACCACCAGTTTTCTCTGTTTACATGCAAACGTGCAAACAGAGTTTTCAAAAATCTTCACTCCGGCAAGAGTTTTTAAAAAGCATCGTTTTCAGGGGCAAATTCTCCATTTGTGTCAAAACAAAGGGTGCAAACTATGGTTAATGTCTGTGTTTTTAAAAATAACAGGATACATATAAACAGGGCCTCAGTCTGCTGCTGCTCCGTCTTTCCCTGTTGTAAGGCATTGGGTAACCAGTGTCGAGGACCACCTGTATGAACTCACTGGAGCCAAATTTCAGCACATTGTCAACATATAATAAATGAATAAAGACGATTACCCTCAATTGTGGTATATTGCAACAGCCCCAGTTTAAAGACTGGTGACCAAAAAAGTACTGAAAAATAGCAGTTGCTGCTACGAAAGGGGGGATTGATATGGGATGTCTTGTAACGCACAGTTCTTTTGAACCCACTCTCTGAACCATTACCTTTATTTCACAAAAACAGAAGAGTTGAAGTCATGCTAAACAGTTCAGTAGAAATACGGTTTCCCTGTGCTAATGAACTAAAAGACTACTGAACTATAGAGCAAATATTTAGACTCTCATCAATACGTCTACACATTTCTGGACATTCACTGAGAAAAGTATATATTAGATCAAAACAACGTTACATGTGACACTACAGGAGGAAATGGATCTCACCACGCACAGCTTGTCTTTAATGGCAATTAGTTGAACCAAGGTGCATGTTTCTGCTGGCACTTTGTCAAACTGATTAAATGGAAAGACGTAAAGAGAAGAACTCTGGGTATAATGCTTCTCATTCCAGACATTTAATGCTGTCTATGTGGTCCAAATGATTATTTCAGTATTACACCGCTATGTACACCCCCACACAGACACACTCTCTCCATCACACACACACAAACACACACATGCACTCACACAAACACAGCTTTTGACAGCCAAGAAATGACATGTTAATTGCAGCTGCTGGTTAAAAGGCCTAACAGCCATTCAGAGTAAAAGGGAGAGCTCAACAATGGATGATAGGAATTTGTCTTACTGCCAGAGCTGTCGAGCCAGACAAGGAGGCTCTGCAAGCTGCACTATGTTCAATGGATATTTACATCTGTGGAGCTAATGTTTTTGAGTAGGCTTGCAAGATTGAAAACTAGAGAAAAACTCCAAGACCTGGAAGATTTTTAAGATTGACAGGTTTGTGATAACACGCACTATTAATTGATGTAGCTGTTAGTGGCCCTGTTTACAAGCCTCTCTGTAAACCCAATCCGCTCCACTCAGCCGTATATATGGATCATGGAGCAGATTATCAATCGGTGTAGACTACCTCTTACAATCCAACCCGAAATACAATCAGATCTGCGAATCAGATTGGCTAAGGTGTTTATATGAGACATTTTGAATCTGATTGACCTTTCAATCTGATTGTAAATAGGATTTTTGGACCCATGTAAACGGGGCCACTTTCATTTTACTGCTGATCAGGAAGAAACTGTTTATAGTGTGGCACTGGTGATATAGACATACAAAATGCTTTGTTACAGTTGTAAAAATAGAGGTAAATCTGTGAGTAGCTTCACTAAAAACAATGCTGTCATCAGAGTCTCTAATAAATCTTTCATAAAACAAAAGTTCGACTTCACATGTTGATGGAAATGATAATAATTACAGTCCAGATTCACAATCTTGTCCATGCATTCCTCTGATTATGTTCATTGTGAGAACTTAATTAAATCAATCTAGATAACAGTTCACTGCAAAGGCTCAGATGACCTTGTTTCCGTCAAACATACATTTGGTAACACTGCTGGGATGCAAACAGACAAAAGGAGCTCGGCACAGGTTCAAGCAGTCGGGCTTTCTTCCCTCATTTATTTCTTATTTATATTTGATGATTTCTGCACATTGTGATTTCCTCCCTCTTTGATCAGCTGTTCATGGGGGTTTATTACTCAATCAGATTCTGCCACATCCTTTCTGTGACCCTCCTCCACTACAGTTACTACCATCAAGGACATCTGTGCTTAAGTCCAGTTTCCCTCAGGTCCACTCCTGATCCTGCACTTGTTCTACACCACATTGTCACGTTGCTCCATCAGTCAGTTTTTCTCCTCCTCTTTACAAAACCTCAAAATCATTTTTGCCTGTTTCTGACATTGGGGACTTCTGTATCTGACTTTGTATGAAGCATGAAGGGCTTTATGACTCACTGGTGTGGCTTTCACAAAACATTATGCCTGCTGCTGATATTCATCAAGCTTCTGAATAAGAATCTGGGGGACGAGGGTGGGACAGTCTAACTCTTACCAAAAGAGGTAAGTTTAAGTGTACTTCAAGTATACTGGTTTTAAACTAAGTATGCTTTCAGTTGACTTTTTATGCACTTTTTGAGGTATACTTAAAGTCCCACTCCAATGTTTCTCAGTGGTCTCAGTGTTCTCAGTGGTCTTCAAATTGTGGTCAAGTTTTTAGCCTAAATTATGTTACCTGTGTCATTTTCAAGAGCTTCTCTTCTGCAGAGCTCCAGTTGATAATTAGCAATTTGCCTCTGAGCCGTGGGCGGAGACATCGCTGCTCTGCGCACTCCGCCTTATGCTAGCTTGCAGCCTAACATTGCTGATGCAGCAGAAGTGGCAGATAACATAGGAACTATTCAGCTTTTGGACACTGTCTTTAGGAACACAATGAAAACTAATATAATTTGTTATCTTACGAGCATTGCAATCTGCTAACACACACGTTTGTTCCGCGATCGTCCTCTCTATTTCTCCGAGCCTGGCTTGCACAGCGGGGCTTCAGGGGCGGAGCTTGGATTTGCTACATAGGAAATCTCACTGTTTCTGAACCTGCCGTTTGAGTCTGCCAGAGATTCACGGTGGTTTAAATGCAGAAATAATCAGAAATGCGGAAAGATGCCATATGAAATGAAATTACATATGAATATAAAAAACTAGAAACACATGATTTTCACTGGAGTGGGTCTTTAACACAGTTAATGTTAAGTATATTTGGCTACTCCTACTTTCCATATTTTCAGTTTATCATACATTTTTATGATTTGCATCCATCAATGTTATGATCATCTTTGTAACATAGCTCTTATTTTAGGGTAATCATCCAACAAGAGGAGATACTCTTCTCTAAAGGGGTCAGCACGGTAACTAGGGGCAACAGAAGCCTTGATTAAGGCCGGCCATTTGAAATTAAATGCAGACTAAGGCACTGGTGGCAGTGTTTATCTCCAGGCACTGTTATGGGGTTTCTGCTGCTTTATAAGTCAATTTATATAGTGGCTGGTAAGAGGATACTGTTCGTAATGGCGTTTTATTTTATCTATTTTTTAAGCAATCCAAGCCAGATGAGCTTAAGGAGCGCAGGGCAGACAGTTTTATTTGTAATTAAAGCCCAGGGGTCCAAAGCCCTCACTGAGCTGACATAGCACAGAGTTTCTGAGGAAAATGACTGATGGATATGATGAAAAGGACACTGTTAAAGAAGCAGAGGACTCTACACCTCATTATCAACAAAAGAAGAAAGAAAAATCAAAGATCAGTTTAACAGTCTGAATGTATTAGAGGTGATATTGAAGCCATCTTACGAAAGGATGTCAAATAATACTTAAGCATGCTTCAACATAAAGAAATAAAGGAGTGTAACCAGTACAACACAAAGTTTTATGAATTCTAAGTATATTGCACAAGGAAGAATTCATTAAAAGTTGGTTCAAATGCCTCCAGTAAAGCTGACAGCTCAGTGGAGCAATGCAAGAAGTGTAATATTCAAACAACTTTCTTTGTTTGTTACAATTTGTTTAAGAGGAAATAAAGCAGCTCTGTGTGTCTGGAGCATGAAACCAGGAGGGGGAGTTGGGGGGTTATTGAGCGGATTAAGAGGATCTGATCCTCTCTCTATTAGCAGGGTATCTGACACATTCAGATAAACACATTCACATCAGTTTTGGCAGGAAATCATTTACTGTGCACATAAATTGTCAGACTTATGGGTAGATCTAATGGGTAGTCATGCTGTTAAAATGTTTTACATCTTCCCTTTTTGTGTTCGTTGTAGCATCTGAATTTGCAGCTTTGGACTTTTGAGTGCTGAGCTTAGCACTAAAACAATTACAATTACTCTAATTACTAATACTCCAAATTCCCATTTCTATCAACAAGGACAATGTCATCAAGCAACGTGAGAAAAAATGATGATTTAAAAACTGTTGCTTTGTTAATTGTCGAATTAAGTTTCCCCTTTTTCCTGGCATCATTCCCTCCCCCAACTCGCCCAAGGCCGGGAGATCAACAGAGAACACGGTAGACAACTCAGCTTGCTTTTGTTTTCCTTTTATTGGTGTTGGTGGCCAGTAGCAGAAGAGGGTTGATAACCTCAAAGGGAGTAAATGAAAAATCTGGCTGTCATTAAGTAGGCACAAAATAAATTAACTCATCAGTACTCATTCCAAAAAGGGTAATTGAATTTAAGAATTAAACAAATCAAATGCATGGATAAGCTATCAATTATTTAAAAGTTTTAAGTTATTTAAATTGATCTCAAAATCAATTTGGCTTTTAAAACAGTTTTAAATTATACACCCACTCATTTTAAATCCTGCTAAATGCTTAATATAATTAATTTTGATTTAAACCAATCCACTTGAACTTATTGTAACCAATTCATAATTAAGGTGAATTCCAAACTTAATATTTAATGATGTGGTCAATTTAAATCAAATCATTCTACTCTATGATGGTTCACATTAATTTAAACTACAAAAGAGACCAGAAATAAACCAAAAAGTGTCAGATCTAAACCACCAGTGCCACTGTATTAATTTAAACACTATATTTTAAATGCACAGGGCTTAAATTATAAATTAACATAAACATTTAATCTCTTAATCACTCTAAGTTATCTCATTTGTTAATTTGATCGAAATTAAGTTCTCCTCACCACTGGTGTCTCTGAGGTCTCCTTGCAGTGATGCCACCAAACACTCTCTCTGTGTAACAAAGGGTGACACACTTGTTCATGAGCCTCTTTATTGCCTCAGCCCTACCATCCCCCACTATACCTGCATTTGCTGCACTCTACCTGGCCTGCTGTGACTCTCTTGTTGGAGAGACATACTTTGACAACATAAATTTAAACAGTCATATAAATGCCAATAAAGAATTTCTCAAGACTGTCCTGACATTAAAAGTTTTTGTTTATTAACCTTGAATGTAGTCCACTAATGCGCAACTAACTTAAGTAAACTAAAATCAAAGCATTTGGAAAAACATTATCATGATAGGAAGTAACTATAAAGACAAAATTGACATGTGTTTTTCATGTTTCCATGTTGTAAGGATTTATAACCAAGCCAGTAGGCAGACCTCTAAATCACAGTGAACAGGTATGTTTTCCATTTCATTGACAGGATGAAGGCCAAATTTATATCACTCAGGAATCCAAGGTCATTCAGGTACAATCCCACAACCCTCTGTTATTCAAAAAAACCTACGAGTTAGTCAAGCCAACTTTTATCCTTTGTGTTTTAAGTTGTTGAACCCTGGCTACACTTCACTCAAGTATTTCTAGGCACATTCAGAATACCCAAGCACTTGATTTTGCAGATGCATTGGTGTGCATTATGCTGGTGGCCTCGCCGTCAGCTCCATGCATTGTCCTCAGCAACCTTCATGCAGTTTCTTTGATTTATTAGAAATTTTTTGTTCCTCAAGCTGAAGGGTGATTGTGAGCAGTCTGTCAATTGGATGTCAAAATGTGGAAGTGTATCCACATATGTAATTCTGCTACTGTCTGGGAACAGGCTTTAATGCGTGATTGACATGTTCATTCATTAGCTGGCTAAATCTGACAGAAAGGCAGCTCGCCAAAGAGTCCTAAAGTGTTGAAGGGAGAAGTATTTTGTTCAGTGCCAGACAGGAAGCATGTCAGTTGGCGCTGGGTGGGAGTGTAGCAGATAAACTTCTTCAGTCTGTATTTTCACTATCCAATAATCATACCATGCACTGAAGGAGCATGAAAATGGATCCAGAGAGTGTCCTATCCTAAATTAAGTTTTAGAAAATCTCTGCTTCTGTCCTTCACAGCATCTGCAGCTTAACACAAAGTAATGGTGCAGGTAAAGATGGGCTCAGTGACGGTGGTGGAGGAGCATCACTGACTTTTTTACTGATCAATTCAATCCCACTTGAGGTGGTCGCGATCGCACACAAGAAGCTTAAGGACTGCACTGTGTTGACTGAATGATGGAAACAAAGCAGGATGGGGTTGGATTTACCTACATTTGGAGTCAGAAACATTAAGCTGTGAGAAAAAAAAAAATCTTCTGACCTTCAAGGCATTTCTTCTTCTCCTTCTTCTTGTTTTTGTCCAGGGCTGTGCTGTTAATAATGTATAAGGAATAGTCATCAATTCTACTGATGACAAGAGCAGGATATCCCTTTTTAATTCATGCAGGAATTTTCTAGAGTTTCGCAGAATGGATGTTGGATTTCAAACTATCCAAGAATGCTTACCAATGAGGCTGCACGACATTGAAAAAACCAACGTTGCAATTTTTTTAAAACCCTGCGATATATACTGCGATTTTAGAAAATAAAGGAACTTTCCTACCAACTGTTACACACTTGGAATGCAAAGACCAACTATGATCCTGTGCAAGGGTTGGTTTTCGTATCAGACCAGCATTTTCTGCTTCAGCATGTAGTTGAATCGTTATCACATTGTTAAACCAGGCTGTGTCAACACAAATACTTCACCCAGAAAGTCTTCTGTCACGATGTACCTTGAGGAGTCAGAGGCATGTCAGCTGCAGGGCAGGATCCAGTAATCCCCCTGCACAGCCGGAACACAGTTTAAATATAAGATGAAGACAAGCAGGGCCTCTCCCTCAACTTTATCCAGTTTGTTGGGCAGAAGTTGTGAGTCGGAAATGAATGTTTGATGACACAGATGCTTATTCACTGTGACATGTGTCTCTGGCCTCTGGCAGAAGAAAAGGGTAACTCTGACTTTGTCCAGTTGTTCTACAGCTGTGGACAGAATAGTTGAAAACAAGTCCAATGAAATGGTAACTCTAATATTTAAGGGTTTCACTTCATAAAATGTGCCACACACTATAAAGTGATTTTGCAGTTGATGCTCAGAGGTCACAGCGTACTGCGTTAACAACATGGGCATGTCCAGACATGTCAAATTCCCAGGACTAAAAGAGACCCATGACACAATGAAAGGCACCAAGAAAAGTAACACAGCCACAATAGATCCTTATAGCAGTTTTACTCTGAGGAGGTAAGTAGGTGTTATTCACTGAGAAAATTGTGCCGATGATACTCAGGTACAAGTCTGGTTTGACTGAAAAATTATGGAAATTAGGCGATGTCATCATGTAGCGACTACTACAACAGCCACTAGCAACTCTCCTTACTGAAGCTGTTTCTGGCTGATTTAGACAGGTTTAGTAGGCACAAAGGCTGCAGATTTTTTTTTTAATTCAGGTCCTCACTTTGACATTATTTTGCTCCCAGTTATCTGTAAAAAAAAAGTTTTAAAAAAGTGTTTCAAAAGCTAGCACACCAGGGAAAAAGGAAGATGGACAGTAGGCTTTTTCATTAAATCATGTAAACCACTACCCCTGAAGGCAGGTGCTCTGTCCATGAACTATCCAATGTCAATGTTGAGTCTTTAAAAAAAAAAATCAGAATAATTAATCACTGGCAGCCTTTTATATGCACTCTTTCAGCCCTAGGCTACCCTATATCTCCAAGAAAACTAACTCATCATCAACTTTATGATCAAGCAGTTCATGCAGTAGTGACACCAAGAACATTGAATATGACAGAGGGATCAAACAGCAGCTGTTTTGGCCAGCTGATCTAAGATCTAAAATACTCCGTATGTTTTTATTAATAGGAAGTGAAGTAAATGCGAAGAAAAAAAAAACAACATTCACAGGGTAACAAAAAGAAGGAAAGGGGGTTAGGAGATAAAATGAGAAAGAGAGAGGAAGAATGAAAGCGAAAGAGTGAGGAAGAGGAGGTGTTTCTGTTGTACAAAGCAGTGCTTGGTAATTGTTGACCCCCCCCGGTTTGAAGTGTCAATGTGAGTAGATGGATGCGGTGTTAGCAATATGAAGAATCCAATAAAAAGCATGAAATCAAACACTTATGGGCTGAAGGGGGAGTTATGAGAGCACATGTGTGTTTGTGTGGTGAGGTTTGAAATGAGGAGCTGTTGAATGGAGAGGTGTGAATCACTACAATAAAGTAGCTGATGCAGTTTTCTCTTTTCATGTCTGTCTAATCAGCCTGCAGTTGTACGGTTTTGTTTCACCTATGGAGTTGTTTTTTGCATATGTGTTTGTAACATGCTGTGAGTTTCGAACATTAAAGGACCGTGCTGTTCAGAGATTCCCAGTAAGTAAATCATATATTCTGTTTCATGTCATGAGTGCTACCAAGTGAAATCAAGTCCATCTTTGTAAATGCCATGTAATAAAGGAACATTAGCGGCTAAACTTAGAAAATAAAAGGCTTTAAGATACAAGAACACAGATTTCAGAGCTAAACTGAAAATCACCCTTTTTCTCTTTCCCTTAAATTAACAACTACACTGACTTTTAAAATGGATATGAATACAGACAAAGCCACAATTCGTCCACTCCACAGTTGATAATGCACTATCAAGTGCAGCACCAGTGTGCTTCATTCAATGTTACTCGATGCTAAAAGCAAGCCGTAATGGGTTTGAGTTATGCGCTTTTTCCACACATAACTCTCCCTCCCTGACAACAACTTTGGCAGACAGTGACAAAAAACCCCAACCGGAAACCGAATTACTCAAATGCAGATTCATGTCCCCCACCGCCCACCTCCCACCCCACCCCCCAGCCCCCCTCTATCTTCTATTTGCAAAATAACAGTGCCACCCCATTGCTGCCAGGCACTAACTGAAATGCTACATGCGAGCTTTCATCAAAAGCACTGCTGACAAATCAGTGAACTTCACAGCCAAGGGAATTTACATGTTGAAAGGCCATAATTTAACTGCCGTTTCTTGGAAATGTTGCTGAACTTGAGCTGGAGGTTGCCGCTTTTCTTTCTCTGCTCTTGGTTTGCAATCATTAACCTACCAAAAGAACATGAATAAATTACCAACCCTTGACATTTAAATCATTTTGGAGTTGCTCTACTGGATACACTATGAGAGGCAGTAGGAGAGTGAGCCAAAAAGAGATTGCCATATGCAGTAAGTAATATAGAAATGAGAGACATCCAGAAGAGTTAAGACACTCCCATGAGAAATCCAGTCCACTTAGGGAGAACTGACTTACCAAAACTTCCTCTCAATGATTTCACATTAAAAGCAAAGCTGAATATAAAACAGTTAAAGGAAAGTGTGCAGATTTGGGTCAGGGTTCTGTGTGCTGTCATTTTAGAGTCATGTAAACTGTGAGCATCTCCCCAAAACTCATAAATTCTGTCAGGCTAAAGACACCCCTTGCTCATAATTGCTTCAAAGTTGCTAGGCAACGGCTAAAGAGGCTATGCCAGGGTGAGTAAATGTGTATGCACTCTATTGGGGAGTGACACATCAGTAGAAAATAGACTTAGCTGTTTCCTCTCTGCCACCTGCTACACTTTGAAATGTATTCATTCCTGTCTGGATATTAGGTGACCTACAATGAGTAATTATGTTCTTCATCTAATTGCTATTTTGCCCTCAATACCAATCATTATCAAAGCCCGACGATCACACCACATCTATCACTTTGTCCATCATTCCTCCCCCTTAGCTGCTTATACAATCTCTCTCTTTCTCTGTTGAACTGCTTTACCTGCACCTTTTCACTTCTGCTTTTCACTACCTCCTTTTTTTGCCTGTCACCTTGCTCTCATTTTGATCACCACCTTTACTTTCACCCACTCATCCCCTTCTCATTTTCCTCACTCAGCCTTTCTTTACCTTTTACTCTCTTCCATCCAGTGCTTTCACCTCTCTTGACCTGTAAGTGCCCTCTGTTGGTCATATTTTCCATCCATGCTCTTTCATTTATTTTCTTTAGGTCTGTCATGTGCTCATCACCCCCCCACCCATAAACTTTTCTCTGCCACTTTCCTCACTTGTGTTTATCTTCTGATTCCTGGGTGCGTCCTCTCCACTGTGTTCCAGGGTCTGTGTTTGTTCTCAGTTCTCTCTGAAACAGTAGCGCAGGCTGTCCGAGGCTCTTACCAACTACTGTAGAAGGCTGCATTAATATTGTATGCCTCTGTCTTATCGACCACAGCAGTGCCAGGAATACAGAGCCGGCTACAAGACAAGTTAGCGGCTTGAGTGGTTGCTCACACATACAGATGCAAGAGGACACACATACACATACACGCCATTGTAACAACTACAAAACAAGATCTGTGTGTTGGGTGGCACTGGTTTAAAGTCTTGTAGAGGACCTAATTTGAACCTGGGTGTAATCATGATGTTACTTTACAAAGAATTTGAACCTTTATAAATGTTTTAGACTAACCTCTTGATGCAATTTAAATGTACCCCAAATGATGGAGTGCAATAAAATCCATTTTGTTTCATGTGTCTGCTTGTTTTGGTGAGATGTACAGTAAATGACTGCCTTACCAACACTGAATATAAGGCTTTTCTTACTGTCCAAGCTGTTTCCAAGTGATTTTTGTCTTGTGTCTACTCCTTCTGATGAAGAGGCACACTCCCCCCACTCACACCATCCAGGACAGCCAGTGCATGTTGTAGAGGTGGCAGAGAACAGGACAGAATAACAGAAGGGCTGCAAAGAGCTCCTGCTCCCTTTGGCCCCATCAGAGAGGACTTCTGACTGCTGCAGCTGGTTAGCTTTCTGCAGAAATAGCTTAGGCATCTGCTCAAATCATGAAAACTGCCCATGCTCTGTGTTTGTTTAAAGGAGTGTATTATAACAGGTCTTTGTGATTTGTTTTTTTATTATACGTTAGCTATAAATATTTACCAGCTGTGCCCAAACAGCTGAACAGACTCCAGTTAACACTAGTATTATAGAGTTTTGTCTTATTTTATCAGTACCTCCAGGAATTTGCAATGTTGCAATCGCAGCTATTACACCTACTAAGGCTGCAAAGGCGATTTTGAGATATCTTGTTGTTATGGCTGTAAAATGGTCAGAAAATGCCTAAAGTCTGAAAGCTTTGGTCCCTTTTTCCTTTTTTACAAAAAAAAATCCTGCCTCCAGGCATAAACATAGCGCCGGCAGCGATGTGTCTTTATAGGATGGTAAACGAAGGTCCCGCCTCCTCCGCCTCTGGTTGGCTAGAAGTGCTGGGCTCCGATTGGTTAAGCTTATGGCTGTGAAATGTAATCGTCTCTCATCTGCTCAGCCGTGATTGTGATGGCTGAACTCGGAACTCATTTTGGAGGGTATATTTACAGGGCTCTCAAGTCTCACGCATTGGGCATGTGACACACACATCCCCACTCTTTCACCCGAGAGTTCAGAAGCTGTGTGCCACGCACAAGCTAATCAAATAAAGAATGTATACTGAACAGCCAGTTATCTGCTGTCTACCAAGCATAGGGAACTATGGAAAAACAATTGTTTCTGGAGAAGATAGTATGAACCAATTGAGCATGACATGGTAGCCCTTAATCATCAGTTTTCTGTGTGGCTACAAGTTACCTTTAACTGTGCTAGCTTGCAAAGGTAAAGCTAGGAGAGTTTTATCAGAGATTCAGTGTTTTTAAACACACGTTTGGATATTAACAGGCTATAAAGATGTGGAATTGGTAACAATCTGATGGCACTGACTCACTGTAACTTCTATTTTCTTTCTTTCACTCAACGAGATTAACGATTGCGGAAGAGCCGACAGCCCACGTACGGCTTGAGCGTGTGATGACGTTTCACAGCGGTAAGGAATAACCAATTGGGGCCCAGCACTTCTAGCCAATCAGAGGCGAAGGAGGCGGGCCCTTCCTTTGCCATCCTACAAAAAAAATAATAATAATAATAAAAATAAAAAAATATATATCTCTTGCTATGGTCTCTTGCGCTATGGCCATAGGTAGAGGGTATACAGTCTATGGTTTTAACACAAATTTAACCAATCACCCCGAATTCTGCGAGGCGCTGCAATTTCGTCCAATCGCCGTGAATTTTCCGTGAATTTGACCAATCAACTTAGCCGTTTTTCGCCCGACCCCTCTACGTACATCTTTATCATCATATTCACTTCCTTGTGCACGTTGAGAAGATGAAGACATGTGCGACACTGAATTCACACATTTGTCAACAAGTATCACCGCCAGTGTTCGTGCAAGCCAGTTTCCAGAAATGTTACATGGAAGACAATATTGTGGTGGAACACAAATGACGGTCATCACTGGACAGACACTTCTCAACCGAAAAATAAGCAGGGAGAACAGCTGAAACTCAAAGAGGACATCCAGGGGCTGTTACAGGAGCTGAAAGGCTCAAGGTAAGCGCGGATATACTCTTTAAGGCAGTGTAAGTGAAGAATAAATAACTTGTGGAGGCATGCTTTCGTTTGTGTATCATCTATTGCGCGCTCGTGCGTGTGTGAGGGAGCGCGGGTGTGTGTGAAAGAGTTGAAGCTCACAAAAACAAATAGTAATTCAACTTGGTGCTTATGTTAATTTCTAATCTAGATTGTAAGATAAAATGCAACCCAAGTTTGGCTGCCCTGTGTAGCTGTGAGTCTCTGTTCGTGCCTGTCTGTCTCTTTGTGTGGCTGTCTGTGTTTCAGATATCACTCAGAAATGCAGAGCACACTGTGTGGGAAATATCACGCATTAATCTTATGGTTTAAGGCTAAAAACTCACGAAAGACTTGTAGCATATTTGCAATTGCGTATGTTCCTGTAGTTTTCATAAAAGAAGCCTAAAATCATTGCAACTTTCACTACAATTTTTTAGAAAATTAGAAAACTTGGCGGCTAACATTAGCATTGTTCATAGATGTCTCAAGTCCTCCACAAACTAAAAGGTTTTAGGTTAATCTCTTACTTTTCTCCAAACTTTGTTCCATCTATTCCTTTGTCAGTGCTCAGCTAATGGTGCAGGAAGCTGTGCGCTGCTTTTTACGACTCATGCCATAGGCGCTGATCACTATGGTTCTCTCTGGTCTGTGATTGTTTGTAGCTGAATCCATGACTTTACTCTTCTTAACTTTGTTTCTTTGGTTTCCTTTGACTCCATAAGTATAACTGCAGACCAGAGAGCCCTCCATTATGCTGGCTTTGCTTTTCTTAGCCAGACAATGCTGATTTGAAATGGAGCGGTGCATAACAACCGTTAAGGCAGCGGCAACGCTTTCAGAACAATAATAAAGACTATTATAGTCTTAAATTGTCCCTGTTACATGTTTGGGGATCTTAATTCCTGCTCAGAGAAAAAAAAGAAGTAGTTGGACATTTCCAATCGCTGTTGATTAAAGACTTTGTTCTCCTCAGTATGAAATATGAGTTATTTCCTGCTCATATAACATACCCGGTTCCCCCACTGATACTGTTTTCAACCTAGCTCTGTAACTCCCTCTGTGTCATGCAAAAACAAACAGAAAAATCACTCCTCTGCAAACTCCATCTTTGAATTTATTTATTTATTAGAAAGACATGATGCAATTTAACACAGCTGCAAAACAAAACATGAAACGGATGTACTGCACTGCAAGAGTTTTTAAACGTCTACTAATTTTCAACAGACTTTCACATACACCATGAAACCAGAATATACAGCATCAGATAATATCAGGGACACTTACTAATCAAATCACAATCCCCCTGATCCAAAGATTGATATAACATCAGCTTTTTTTCAGATATTTGGGAGTTCATTGGACTTTGTTAATGAACAAAGAAGTGGGTCACAGGTCTTATCAATGAAGAAGTGCTCCTTCATCAATCATGCATCCAGTTTTTAAATGTTTTGCCTCACAGACATAAACGGTCTTAATTACTTTTGTAATATTTGCTGTTTTAACACAAAAGGAATGGGCTGCTTTTACTCTAATATTCGTGTTATTTGTCAGTCATTTGTGCTCTTCTGTGGCCTGGCTTATCTCCTGATATATTAAAACATATAATTAATTTGTGAGCCATTTCATCCTTTCCAGTGATGGTTGTTCCATTCATTTTCATTTGTTTGATTTCTTTTTGGCTTTTTGATCTCTTGGCTCAGCTGTTTGAGTGTTTTCAAGAGGATTCATTATTTTTTACCCTTTGCTGGGCATAATACAAGAATTTTGTTTGGCAAAGCTTCAGGGCTTCCTTATTTCTTAGTCTCTTGTGAATGGTCAGCAATAGGCTTGAATGATGAGGTTGTTTTTAAAGATAGATCCAGTTTTTATGGTATTTAGCCACAGTGAAGTTGCCCAATTTTGTTCGCACTTATTTTATTGCTGAGTCAGGAGAGCCGCGCTCCTCAACATGAAGTAGAACAGTCCACTTTGTTTTTTTAATATGTGTTGATTAGCTGTCTTTAACAGGTCAGTATAGACAGACATCACTTTTCTGTAGCTACCATTGGTCAAGGGGCAGGACAAGATATACGAGCAAGAGAGCTGCAAGGTGAGCCAGGCGTGTTTGCTCTCCCATCACCTCAGCAAAATGGGAGAAGCCATTATCTAACAAATTAATATAAGACCGAGTTAAGCTTGCTAATATTGGATGCAGACTTTCTGTCCATATCATCAGAGGTTTAAGGCTTTTTCTCATTGGCTGAGTGAGTGTGGTGTTATCCCGAGCATTTCTTTTGACTTAGGGATTTGAATTGAGGGGTTTATCATAAATGAAAAAGTCCAGTTCTGTTTCTCTGTATTTTTTTTTTTTTTTATCTGTTTAACCAAAGCAGAGAAAATATTAAAGGAAGAAATGAGCCCTTGGACTGGTGTGACTGTTTCCATCAGAGGATAAGGCTGGTGAGATATCTTTAAGCGCTTAAAAAAGAAAATTTAGAGAGTCAGATGTGATGATGTGATGATGTGAACCACCTAATTATAGCAGAGGTGTCTACAGGTAGTACAGACTGTTAATAACTAGACAGTCTGTTTTTGGTCCTTACAATAACTGTGAATGTTAACCTCAAACTTCAAATTTTATTTCACTTTGTATAAACTCTTTCTCTCTCTCTCCTTCAAACACACACACACACACACACACACACACACACACACACACACACACACACACACAGGCCATCATGCACACAAACATATAAACCTAGCATCGTGCGTGCTGACAGCCTGCCTGGCTTTTTCCATCAGCTGGACCTATCACAGCTTATTATCAGCTCCTTTGAACCGTGGGCTCAGAGCATGATTACATTCTCAATTAATGTCTGTATGATCTACTTTGACGAGGCAAATAATGACAGGGGCCCAGGCTGTGTGTGTGTGTTAGTGTGTGTGTGTGTGTGTGTGTGTGTGTGTGTGTGTGTGTGTGTGTGCGTTTTGTGTGCAGGCCTGTGCTTTTTTTTCACATATTTAAATTTAAACGTCACGTTTAAATGTTTTGATGTGGGTCAGGATGACACAATGCCCTCATGTGTCTTTGCTACAGGAGAAGCATGCATGCTGGCAATATGTATGTGTGCAGGACTTTGTCAGGGGTTAGAGAGCGGGTTCGGGATAAATTGAGAAAGACATACTTGGCTCTGCATTGAATAAAATTTCAAAGGCAGTCTTTTATCTTTGGACCCTTTCGTAACCGATGGAATCTGCCTGCTGAGCGGCAGTAGAAATCTGATTATTTTACCAAACTGTCATCTACGATGAACCTAAAGTTTAAACCCAGCACCTCAAGTTGCTTTGTACTCGTCGCAGGAAGATAGCAGTCTGAAAGTTTGTGGGTTTGAATATTCGGTTAGCTGTACAGGCATAAAAGCCTGTCTTGTGTTAGGTTTGTGTATATGCATGTCCACAAAAAAAAAAGATGAAAACATAGGCCAAAGTTGATTGACACATAGAAAGATGAAAGCAGCACAGTGCATGGAGAAAGCCGACAGCTCGTCACTCTGTGTGGCTGTGTTTGTGAGTGCATGTTTCTCTACAAACAAAAATACAGATGAAAGGGGGTGCGCAATGTTAGGCTGCACACCCTGATGTAGTGGAGGACACATAGAAAGTAAATGGACCTGGAATATTAACACTGAGCCTGATAGATGAGAGTGTATCCATTCTGTGAAGACGACCCTTGTTTGAGTAGAAATGATAAAGGATAACCTGATTTTTTACAACTGATTGTAATTTGAAGGGATCATTTTATATGACGGCACAGGCAGAATCAAACCAGCAAACTTCCACAGCACAACCAAACCACTGATGCCTTTAATCTTTGGGTCAAGGCTGCAGTGTTTACTGTACTTAAGAGACAGAGCATGAAAATATTGACCGTATTATCTTTGAAATAATCAGTGCCCTTCTGGATGACCTTGATCCCGGGGCCATATAACAACACCACTGCAGGTCACTTGAGAGTTAAAATGGAATAAAAAAAAGAGAGAAAGCTGAATCATTGTGTAATGTGTCCAGGGGTAATAACAAGCTGTCTGCCTCCCAGTGGTTACCCTTGGCACTACAGTGCAATATAATCCACACGGGATTAGCAGCGGGTAATGCTCTCACGATTAAAAAGGATTTTCTCTCTGGGGTTTTAATGAGAATCTCAACAGTGTTTTTAGTGTTGACTGTCCACTGGACCATGGTGCTTTTGCGTCATGCGTATCCAACCAGCCTACCATGACTGTGTGTGTGTGTGTGTGTGTGTGTGTGTGTGTGTGTGTGTTGGGCAGTTTATACACTTCCATAACAAGCTGACCTTAAACCTTTTCTGTTTATTCGTTTCTGAAGCACTGAAATATTTAACGACTTTCATATAAAAATTGATATTGAACATTAAGCATTGTTTATACTGTTGGACTCTGTTTCAATCCAAAGCAGTGTGCCAATTTACATGAATGTTGTTGCTGTGTGTGTTTATTTACCTGCGAGCAATAGATCATTTATTCAGATGAAAATGATGAGTGGAAAAACAGTCAAACACACTGTGGGTTTGAGTTTAAAAGGTGCTGTCCAACATCCACAAGCTCTTGGAGGGTTTTTAATTGAGCTAGTCTTGGCCAAATTAGCCCAGAGTTGAACTGTATTGCTCCTGATTTAGTGACTCAAGATATAAAAGTACCTCTTACTTATTCCTACTGTATGTGTATATATATATATATATATATATATATATATATATATATATATATATATATATAGAGAGAGAGAGAGATAGAGTACAGTGATGTCAAAAGTACCGCTTACTTTATTCCTACTGTAGATATATATATATATATATATATAGATATAGATAGATAGATATAGATAGATAGAGAGAGAGAGAGTACAGTAATGTTAACTGAGCTGAAATATTGTGTTACAGCATTACTATCTCCCTCTGCTAACATACAGTGGGTAATTATAGTATATGAGCTCTGCTGCTGTTTTCTTTATTAGGTTAGTTTGTTGATGCTGTGATGTTGGATTAATCCCTCTGTTGGTTAAAATACACAAAACTCTGCGGAAATAAATCAGGGCTAGAGATTTTCTCCAAACTAGCCCATCACTCAAACATTTTCAGATACACAAATCAGGTGAGGCCATCCTCCTTAAAGTAATTATCCCTGATCAAATCCCAACAGTTGATGAATTTACTACAAGTTTCCTCTCAGTAAGTTTGCATGCATAGTTATAGTGAGCCATGTTCATACAGTAGCTTGATTACGCCATATAAAATCCGACTTCTACCCTCGTCCCAGTGATGATATTGGATTGATTGACTAAAGGAAGTACACTTATGCCATGGTAACTTGTGATTTGCCCCCTATCTGCTAACTCCTAAGAAGTGAAATGACCAGAAATAGAATGATCAACCTAATCAGGTGAACTGTAAATGTATCATTGTGCAACTAGAGCATGAGCGTATAATTTAGCAGCCAGGGATGATTGTAAATTGCATACATTTACTGTTCTCCGTCCACTTTCCCGTTCCTCACTCTGTGAGTGACTGTCAGAGCTGGTTTCCTGCCTGCCTTTCCTGTGGCTTTAGCTTTTGTGGTTTTCAAACTTTCACATTGTTCTGTCCTTGACACTTTCTCTCTCTGCATGTCAGAGTGAGGAGACAGGCCGGAGGACCGCAGCTCTGCCCTTTTTTATGTGAGCGGGCATTTCTGAGTGTTGTGAATGCATGGTTTCATGGTGAGCACGGGGGTAGGCTTGCATATGTGTGAGTGCGTGTGTGTGTTTGCGCATGTGTGTTTGCATGCGTGTGGATGCCAGACTGGCCCCAGGGTCCAGAGCCATCACACTTTATGAGGTATGGCAAGGTGAGAGCAAAACATCTGCTAGTCCAAAGAAAAGCCCTGGTCTGGGACTCATGCTGGGCTTAGCCAGTGAACACACATACTGTACATTAACTAAGCCCAGAAAAACTCAACACAGCTAAACTAACACACACTGGAGGACATGAAAGACACACAAGCCCTGATCTAGATTTTCCAACACAGAAACACAATGCATAAACAAAGCTGCACGAAAAGACACATACTTTTTATCCAAACAGACATCACAAACCACACATACCACTGACTAAAGACACAAACAAATGCTCTTTCATGTAAAGGCACAGACAGCCTCCTCCTTAGGCTTTCTTTCCTCTGATCCCCTGTATAGGCTGGCTCTTGTTCTCTCTTATTCAGGCGTTTCCCTTGTGTCAAGGGCATTGGAACAATTCCCTAGTACCTGCCATCACCCCCCTCCTCTTCATCCCTCCACATCGCTTCTCGGCGCCCCTCCTGTCTTCTCAGAACACCCCGGAGAGGAGAACTGCCATGTAAGGTCTAGTGGAGAGAGGATAGACACGGAGAGCGTTCTGACCGCCTCTGACATCGGAATCACTGAACCTGCCCACATCTATTCTCTCCAACCTTGTCTGTCAGATTGCCTGTCTGTATGTTGTGTGTGCGTGTGTGTGTGTGTGTGTGTGTGTGGAGTGGCTCTGCCTTTTTTTAACCCCTTTTCTATGTGGGCCGAGTTGGCTGACAAAGTTACTTTACTTTTCTGTCTCAGGGAAACTGTGGGGGAAGATAGGTGCTTTCTTTCTAGTTAAGCAATTTTGGCCCCTGAGTAAATTTGCCTGAGCAGGTTGAGGGTATCTGGTTCAAGGCACATCAATGATGCTTATAGGCTGAAAGAGCTGCAAGTAACAGAAACCCCAGCTGCAGGGAGAGCTTTTTATTTCATTTTTTCATTCTGGTTATCGATTCTGAGATCTGGCCTCCTCTGATCTCAGAGACTCATGCTTGTTGTCTCTCTTACATGAGCCGTAAGAACAAATTCAAGATGAAAACCAAAATTGCAAGATTAATGACTGTATTTGTGTCCTGCCTGAGATGAAGCTGCACCATAAGGATGTTGTCATTGTTTTTCTTTCCAAAAGCTGAGGCTCTGTTTAATATGCTTTGTCAAGTACCTTTGAAGGGGTTCAGTTAAATTACAGTCATCGGTTGAATACTGCTTGATATTTTCCATCTTAGCTGCAGAGAGTACAATTTCTTTCTGTCTTCCACTTGGCCTGACTCCCCGTCAACATCATTTGTCTGCTCTGCCTGGTCTGTAATTGTGAAACACTTCAAACAGTCTGAAAGGGTATAAACAAATGGAAATAATGCCTTTTCCCCCAGACGTAAATAAATAAATAACAAATGTAATTCCAATCCTGACACGCAGAATTTAATTCAAGCAAAAAAACATGAAAGACAACGGGTCTTACTTATATCCAGCCCGAAGGTTTAATCAAAGTTTCCTTTGAAGCCTATAGGGAAAATGACAGAACACAGTTATGGATTATAGATGGTTATAGTTTTATAAATGTATCTTGAAAGAATCACTGGTGGAATCATTAGTTCTAGTCATTATCTGTTAAAGTCATAAGGCCTCTTTGATTGCTGAAATCACAGCTTTTATCTAATATCTATCATTACATACACAAGTTTAAATTGGAAGCTGTAAACAGTACTCTAATTATCGACTAATCTTTGTCCAGATATTTGATGACAAATTGATTTTGATTGACATTTAAAGGTCATGTGAGAAAGTTTTGGTTTGTGTTGACTTTGGCGCCTCCTGTGGACAAAGTAGTCATTGCTTCAGGCTCAAGTAAGATCTGACAAAACATTCTCACCCTGCTGAGCCAAAGTATTATTTTGAATATTTATTTAAAAAAACAGGGCTGTTTTATAGCTTTAAACGTCTTTCATTATTTTTAGTTTATCATTAGTCTAATGACTGATACTCTCCCTTTTGAAGCGCTTTATTAGAGGGGTGAAATTTCAGTGTAAGCAGAGTAAGTAGATATCTTTTTTGAACATCTGAATAGCTCAGTATTATGTAAGCAAATTGCTATTCCTCTGAAGAGAGTGAAGTGGAATCGACTTTTCCCTCAGCTCAAATGTGTGGGCATGGTATGTGAAAACACTGTATCATCTTCAAATGGCTTTGAAGACCTACAGTACGCACACAGTCGGTGTTTGAATAGTGCTGCAGAGTTGTTTGGTTTCTGTCAAAACATTTTCTATTTATCTTGTCTTGAAAAAGGTCAGTTTAAAGCTGAGGATGGGTAAAGCATACGGCAAAAAAAGGAATACTCGGTTAAAGATACGATGTGAAGTATCTCAGAGTGCGAACTATAATGTATATATTCTGAAAGGAACCTTTGCCCCTACAGTCTCAAATTTTGAGGGGGCATTTTTTAAAAACTATGTGCATAATATTGCACATGGAAAAAAAAAAAAATGTTTTAAATGTGAAGTGAGCCTGGATAAAAATGCTTGTCAGCCTGATGTCGGACAGAATTGTTCACTTGTTCAAATTCAGTGTCAGCTTTTTCGCTGCTCTCAGTTAACAGTTGGAAACTGCTTTCACCCAGTGATTTCTGCAGTTTTTTCAGATTTAGTCCAATTCTCTGGACAAAAAATGAATTTTAGGTTTTTTTTTTAAATTGTCATCGCTTTTTATCGTTTCGGTCCAGTTTCTGTCAACCAAAAGTCAGGACAATTTTGTCAAGGTTGAATCAATAAAAAAAATATCACTCATCGCTTTGGTGAAAATCACAGGTCTACTGATATCAGTTTTTCAAGAGGCCAATACAAAGATAGCAGGTCAGTCAAGTGCAGATGTATAAGGTTTTTATCAGATTGTGTTTTTTTTTTTTTTTTTTTTGCAGTGCAATAATACTAACAAATAAGAAATACATTGCTGAACTCCAGTGAATGTTTGATTAAATCAATGTAGACAGAGTTTTCACGTGTTCCCAGCTAACTAAAATTAGAGACGAACAAAAAAATTACACAGTGAATAATAACATTATTAAAACAATGCATTAATTCTGTACCTAATGATTTTATATAAAGACTGGATGGGACTGTTTTAGATTGGATATGCTGTCAGCTGCATATTACACTTGAATAGATAACGGTGATATCAGCCTTGTGATACTGGTATGAACCTGACAGTGTCAAAATTGCCAAAAATCAGCCCAATTAGCGGACTGATTAATCAGTTTATCTCTAAGCTAGATGTCCCAATTTATTCCCATTTCTACAAACTGTACCTTTAGCACATGATTTGCCTTTATGCTGTTCTCGATTCATTTTGTTCTAGCTAAAGAGTTGTTTACAGTTCTTGAAATCTCTTTGGTTTTAAAACTTGAAGAAGTTGAAATAAAAGAGCCAACATCGGACCCATCTGTCTGTCTTTTTAATTAATTTATTTATTTATTTTTCAAATTAATATTCAACACTAGGAAACTCATTTATTGATAAACTGTAAATAAACTTAAGTGTTAACAACTCATGGACTCACTTGTCCATTTTAGGCTGCTTATTGTTCAGTGGGAACAAACATGATTGTATGAGGGAAACAGGCAGATTAAAGAGTTATTTCTCAGACAACTAAGAGTGTTTCACACCTCACTGCTGTTAGCTAACTGGTTCAAACACACAATATAGCTGAGTCAAAGGGGAAGTCTGTCTTCCAGGGTTTCAGCTGTCATAAGCTCATAGTCACAGTTATAACAAAGAAGAAACATGTACAAAGCAGTCATACAAGAACGAGAAGAAATACGAAGGCTGAAAAAGTAATAAATACAATATTCACCATGACTGAGCCACAAGAATGAGCAGTTAGAGGAAAATAACGTTTTTCTTGAGTGTGGCCCATTGTGTAAGGATTAATGCTGGGGACTGTGTTTAGTTTTTGTGTATATGATGCATACAGTCATGATGGAAAAGCACTCATGTCAGAGTTCCTGGTTCTGTGGTGTTAATGACGGGGTGGGATACTAATGTAACGCTACTCAATCAATCAAAGCAAACGCTTCTAAGAGTGTGGAAACATTCAGTGACAAGTTTTTAGCAGGTTACAATATAGGCGACCTCAGTTATGTGATGTACGATAAAAGCCACCGCCTCCATATGATCTGCAAAAGCCTCCATACCTCCAGGAAATTGACTTTTTTCTGTAAAGTTATTCCAACACCTGTCACCACTGCCACCGTGTCAGTGTTTAACAAAGGAGTGAGCTGCACACAGACAGGAAGTACAAACTTTCCACAGTAAACATCCACGGTAAAAAGATGAGGAACTTTGGGACCCCCTCGTCGAAACAATACTCCCTGCTGTTATTCTCCGTGCTCTTCAAACCAGTGTCAAGAATCTATTAACTTTAATGTTATAATGTCATTTCTGAGTCAGTTTGATATGTGTCCTTTCTCTGTCTCATCTTAGAAATGTTTCTGATGTCTGGTTTTCATGACTGCCATCATTATTTTTAATAGGGTCAGGAGTTGGTATACAGATCCATACTGTGTTTGATGAGTTGTGAAATACTACATGTAGGCCAGTTAAGACTGGCTAATGACTTTAATGTCTTACCTTAGCAAAAAAGTGGCACCCAGGACAGCCAGTCAACAAATGAGTGGGGGCAAAACCTTGCAGCAAACAAGCTCCTGACAACCCCACACCCCCTGCACTGTGGAGTGACAGTGATATGATAGTGTGGCTAATGTGAGCAATCAATTGCATCTAAGCTTGCAGATGCTGATCTAACCACTGGGCTACTGTGTTGTGTTTATAACTAGGGCTGCACCTAACAATTATTCTTTTATCGATTAATATAACGATTACTTTTTTGATTAGTCAGCTAATCTATTGACTAATTTATTGATTACTCCAATGATATTTTTTTATTAACTGATTATATAACAATGAATTTAACCAAAATAAAAATTTAAAATGTGTCCTATTAGTATTTAATTCAGTGATATATTCAAGGTTCTCTTGAAATCCAACAAAACAAAAATCAGTGCATTTTTAATGCTTTTTTACATTTGCAAAGCACTAAACGTTGCTTTTTAGCTTATCTTAAGTCAACGTTAAGTAACACTCTGCCAAAAGCTTGCACTTAGTGCTGGGCAACATACTGTGAACCGCAGTATACCATTTTCTGGTAAACAGCCTGTGAGTGCGCCAGCCTGATAGGTCATCGTTGCTAACAGCCTCCCTTAACAGGTGCATGCACACCTTACTCATAGTTACAACGACTGTCAAGTAACAATAGATAACATTCATACCGTCTTTTATTTAATAGTGTGAATGTCGGTGCCACACAGCCAACCAAAAAGGCACAATATGTCGCAATGCATTGTGGGCCGCAGTCGGCATACTCCTGGCAACACGTTTGTTTACATTGCTGAGGAAGATACAGCGCTAGATAACAGTGTGTCCCCTCTATGCAATCAATCGTGGCGCACTGCCACGGTTAAATAAAAGCCGCCACACTCTAAAAAGGTTTTTTTTCTTATGTGGCTCTGCCTCGGACTCGTGTGTATCAGTATTCATATGTGCAGTGGAGCTCACGTGCGCAGAGTATTAGCATTAGTGAGCTATCGTCAGGGATCACACAGCTGATTAATTAGCAAGTTATAGAATAGAATAGAATAGAATAGAATATTCCTTTATTGATCCCCCATGGGGGAAATTTTTTTGTCACAGCAGCATCACAGACAAGACAAAAAGTGCAAAAATGCAGTTATAACAATAAGGGTCCTAATATTAAGAACTTAAATAAATGTAATAATTAAGAAAAAAATTAGAAAAGGGAGAAGAAAAAATAAAGCTTTCTACAATATACACAATTTAAATGCCATAAAAAAAGTGGTGGTGTAAAATCAGTTTTGTTACTGTTCATTGTAAAGTCTTATTGCAGAGGGGAGAAATGATCTGCAGTAGCGCTCCGTCCTGCAGGGTGGGAGTCTCAGTCTGCTGCTGAAGGAGCTGCCTAAAACCCCCACAGTCTGGTGCAGTGGGTGAGAGGGATTGTCCATGATGGATACAAGCTTTGTTAACATCCTCCTCTCACCCACCTCCTCCAGGGAGTCCAAAGAGCAGTCCAGGACAGAACCGGCCCTCCTGACCAGTCTATTCAGTCTCTTCCTGTCCCTCTCGGTGCTCCCTGCCCCCCAGCAGACCACTGCATAGAAAAGTGCAGATGCTACCACAGAGTCATAGAAAGTCCTGAGCAGAGTCCTGCACACTCCAAAGGACCTCAGTCTCCTCAGCAGGTGGAGACGACTTTGGCACTTCTTGTACAGAACGTCTGTGTTTGTTGACCAGTCCAGTTTGTTGTTGAGGTGGACACCCAGGAATCTGTAGGACTCCACCATCTCGATGTCCAGACCCTGTATGTTCACTGGAACTGTTTGAGGTGTCCCCCTCCTGCGGAAATCCACAACCATCTCCTTTGTCTTACTGGCGTTGAGCTGGAGGTGGTTTGTGCCACACCAGTTGACAAAGTCAGTGATGACAGTCCTGTATTCCCGCTCATCCCCTGACAATACACATCCGACGATGGCTGTGTCATCAGAGAACTTCTGGAGGTGACAGCTCCCAGAGTTGTAGCTGAAGTCAGAGGTGTACAGGGTGAAGAGGAAGGGGGAGAGCACTGTCCCCTGTGGAGCCCCCGTGCTGCATACTACCATGTCCGATACACCGATATAGGACAAATGAATACACAAAACTGATGCTTCAACTCTGAGATAACTGTTGAAAGTGAATGAATTAGATATGGGATGCAGGGCGTATGATGCAGCATCCATTTTGGTGTTTGCTGCACCAGCAGTGGGTTATTTGATTGACAGGTCACTGCGTGTCTCCCTGAATGAAAGCAGCACGATCTTGGAAATGTGAACGGGGAAGCCAGGAAGAACACATCTATCGATTGAGAGGAGCTGCTCATAGATCATGCTAAAGTAGATTTTAAATCGACTCCATTGGGTGGAGCTTGTTTGCTGTCCATGCTGCCACCATTACCTGAAGTAGCCATTGTCTAAGTCATCATGCAATGCGCCGACGCATGTTTTTTGTGTTGACTATGTTGACGACTCACCCCAGCCCTATTTATAACTCAAGTGTATTCTGCAATGTCGCTGAACCCATAGTGAGGGAATGTTAGTCTTAGCCTCTGCAAGCAGCTGACAAGGGGAATAAAAGGACAGACAGCACAATTCTGTCAAACTCACATAATGAGACAACACTTGGACGCTGAGCAAACACACTTGAGCAATCGATAAGACACAAGTTGACCTGCAGTGAATGTTTTTATTTTTATTTTTGAGCAGAACACTTGTAGCCCTGGAGCAACATTTAAGCCCTGAATGAAGCACATCGTTATAGTTTATTAAATATTTTACCATAATTTGTTTCTAAATGTATCTTTGATTACGTCACAAATGCTCAGAGAACTGTTACTGAGATTCACAAGTGTGTAAGATACCAGACGAAGTGAAGCTCAGGAGGGAAGGCGCAGGTGTTGGGGTGACTTCCAGACAGAGGCAGGACTAGAAAGAATGTGGGGAAGAGATTTCTGAGGAGCAGAGAATAAAGGTGAGAGAAAAGGAAGGAAAGTGAAGGCACCAAACAGGAAGAATGCCCCAAACCATGGTGCCATAATCGACAAAGTTTAAAGCCCACCTCTTGGCAGACATGGACACACACAAACACACACACTCGTTGGCTGGCAGAACACCACATTATGGCACCTAGATTATCCAGCAGGCATCTGGTGAGGCAGCTAACACGCTCTAGCAGAGCATGCAGGCCAGGCCATATGTGCGCATGTGTGTGTGTGCGTGTGTGTGTGTGTGTATGCTTGTATTCTTGTTTGTGTGTTTATGTGTGTGTCAGGTGTCTGTGGGGACAGCTGCTCACTAAATAGTATTATTGTGTCTAATTGGGGATTACTGTACCACAGTGTGGTGATGGAGAGTATTTTGTCTCAGCTGTTGACAGAGCACACATATGCAGATGATAATCGTGGGATCCAGATGCACTCGTGAGGAGGTGTTTGGTGAAATCTCCCCGTGGAAGTCTTTGAATGATAACTCATGTAATTAATTTGTCCATCACCTTCTGACAGCAGTGGGAGTTGAACCATTATTATGAATCCATATGAAAAGAAAACAAAAGGTCAACCTTATATCATAAAGTCTCTAGAGAGAGTGTTGGTAAAGTCCGGAGTGTGAGGCCCGTTCAAGCTGGTTGGTCATATGCCTGACTGAATTTTTTAAAGTTTGACATTTTTAATCCCTTCATATCATTTCAATAATGTCATTACAGGATCCTCTAATGAATAAAAGTATTTCAAATAAACACAAGTCTTTCACAAACGCCTTTTGTCACCCCTTAAATAGGCCTCCACTCCCTCTTCCTATGGTTGGTTTCACCAAAGAGTAACCGCATGAGATTGTTTCTGGAGGGCTGGTAAACACAGACACAAAGGTGTCAGGAAGCAGTTTGTCTCACTACGTTGTTAAATGTGGAGTGAAGCATTAACCCTTTAAAAGAAAACATTTTAACATAATATTACGACTTAGTATAAGAGCCACATTAAGAGAGAGAAAAAAAAAAGACCAGTTTTAAGTTGTTAATGTGCGAGAATAAAGTCGTAATAAAGTAATTACTAATGAGAATAAAGTCAGAATAAAGTTCTTATATTCTAACCTGTTGTTTAAGATGACAGTTGTTGAAATGAGAGCCATGGAGCATTTTGTAAAAATGTAATTCAATATAGATTTCTCAAACAAGGAGGAACTTAATCTTTTGACACATCAGCGCTACATCATCATAAGTATCGTAATGATTTTATTCCAACTTTATTCTCATAAATAATTACTTTATTATGACTTAATTCTCATCAGTAATGACTTTATTCTCCTCAACTAACAACTTTAATCTCAGTCTTTTTTTTTTCTTAATGACCCTAATACTGGGTCATAATATATCATGCCCAGAAGCTTTTTTTTCCTTTTATATTTATATTTTTTTTATATATCTATTCATTATTCTTAGTTTTTATTCCGAACAAATCAGATTTTAGCTCAAAATTTTACATATTAAATACATTTGTTCTTTGAGTCTTTCTATCATACTTTGATATTTACATCCATGTTTTTTATTAGGAAATAAGTCGTCTTATTCTTTGTTTTTTTCATGTCTCAAATGTGTTTATGTGCCTGAATATCTAGCTGTGATTTCAGCTGCCCTAATGGTGCAATTTCCTGCTGAGGATTAATCAAATATCTATCTGTCTATCTATAATATAAACAGTTTTCTGACAGGGCTTCACTTAAGTAGTTTGCCCTGATCTTGATAACTACCCTCACTTGTGGCGGGTTACAATGTTGCAGTATCGTGTTTATGGTCATGAAGAGAGCTCAGGCTGTATGGATCTTATGGCAGTGAGATGGTTGCTAGATTTTACTCCCACAACATTACAGGCGAAAGATAAAGTATCATATATTTTAGGATGGATTGCAAGGGGAGAAAAGCCTCCTCTTTTAAATAAAGAGCAGAGGTAGGTCAGTCTTATTCTGATACCTAAAAAAAAGATAATTGTAAGACATAAAGATGGCAACTTCTGGTCTTGGGAAATGCAGCTGACGCAGAAGAGCTAAAAACCGCAGTTTCTAGAGTGTCCACATGAGGCTGTTTGCAGAGGTACTGCATGTACACACAAGACCCAAAAACCATAATTAAAAAGTAAATAAATAAATCACCTTACAGCTTGGTTAAAAAGAAGAAGAAGAAGAAGAAGAAGAAGAAGAAGCTCTGGTCTGAATAGGTCATGACTGTAATGGTATCTATATAGGGATCGTGAATTTTTCCACTTTTTTTTGTTTATTTTAAAGTTCTCTGGGTTACAAGATCGGTGAATCAGAGGTGCAGTTGACTTTACATCTCTCTCTCTCTGTTTCTATACAGTCCAAAAGTACCAAGAGTACCTCTTAAAATGTTTAAAGATTGGCTCACTGTAGAACTCACCATATGTTATTTCATTTTCTTTGAATAATAAATAAATAAAATCTTTGCTGCTGCTCAATAAAATGTCTCCATCAGTCTTTGGACCATCAAAGTTGCATCAGCTCTTTTATGATACCACAGTGTGAAATAGATTCCTGAACATACATTTCTGGGCTCAGGTGTGTGTACGAGCTCCTGTGAATGCACTGGCACATGCAAGAAAAGAGACCATGAACCTATAAAAATCAGACTTGGAAATGCATACAAGCCCCGCAAACACTTTGATCCTCACACCCACCATCCCCATACGCACCTTACCAACAACCGCAGAGACAAATCGCTCAGGGACCAGCCTCCATGTCTCCGAGCAGGCAGTCATACAGTACCTATCCGTCTAAGCCTTGACACACAACGCTATAAAAATAACACGGCAGCACTTAAAAAAGGCACCAGGGGAAAGGAGACAAGGCAGCCAAAAGCACTTCTGTTTATTTCTAATGGAACACCCACATAAGCCGGGAAGGGGGTATTTGTCACAAATCCACAGGGAGAAAACACTTCAATAGACTACCGTGATTGACTCATGGCTGCCAAGAACAACTCTAAAAAAACATGTTGCTTTAGCTAAATTATCCTCAAAATAAACAATAAAAGGCCTGACGAGATCACATACAAGGTAAATAAAGAAAAAACAGCTGTAAAGAAGCAGTTTGGAGCAACGCAGCAAATAAAACACATGCACAGGAAGTCTTTGCATTGAGCGCCACATCAGATCCGTTGGTTTTAGAGGGACAGTTCATTTCTATATTTAAAATTTCTAAGTGGGTTTGTGTGAGGTACTTGTCAACAATAGATGCATTAGTAACAGCGGGTGTTAGTCAGCTCAGCTCTGTCAAGAAAGCGTCTGAAAAAGAAAAACTCAAAGACAAATGTAACTGCTCGAACAGTTTTGCTTTTTACAGGAGCCATAGAGGCTCCTGTCATGTACTGGAGGTTGCATAACACCATATACAATTTCTGTGTGTATACGTGTATGCCTGTTTACAGCATGTGTTTGTATTTGCAGAGCTCAGTGGAAGCCAGGCCATATGGAGACACGGTAAAGGCTTTTTGCACCTCTTTGCACCTCCTGCTCTTTCCACTGTTTATATTTCCGTAGGGAGGGAAGAGGAGGTTAGTGGACGGGGTGGAGAGGGGGTACAGAGAACAAGGAAAAAACTCTTAAATGGCTCGATGAGGCATGCTGCGTGTGAGGACACTACAAGGACGTGAGTGTATCACAGAGGGGGGTGGGCAAGGAATTCCCAGGCACCGAGACAAAGAAACAGGCCTCTATTTTAGGCTCCTGTGTACATGAAGCTGAAGAATATAAACAAATGAATCAAAACATGGATGCTGAGTCGATTCCTGAATGTAATCCGAACGTTGATTGCTGTCCTCTAATATTTTTCCTGGTAGGTTGTGTAAACAGCTTTTGTTTCACCCAGTAGATCCAGATTGCTAAACAGCCCTCGACTAGTGTCTAACAACTTTCTAAATGAAGCTCATTATGTCCTCATTGATTTTTCATATTCTTTCTCACCAGTAAATACCCCCAAGGTGCTCCTCTTACATTGCCCTCCCGCTCTCTGCTCCACCCCGTCTCGCTCTCCACCCTACCTGCGCTATCTAACCATCTATCTGTCGTTCAGCCGGTTTTTATCAGCCGCTCTCCGAGCAGCAGCAAACAGCAGAACACTTAAGGGAGCTGAACGGTTTCCAATTAGCAAAACAAATACCTCCGTTCACTCTCACCCTGTCACATAGTGCCTTCGAGAGCCTGGGCGGCCATTACAGACAATTAGAATTTAATAAGCCCAATATGCTCACTGTACTAATGGAGAGGGAGGTAGAGCTGCAAGGAGGGAGGGTAAGAGCTGTGCCCTCATCATCCCTCTCGCTCTCTCTCTCTCTCCCTTGGTTGCTATATATTTCTTATTGCTCCAAATCCTCATAGTTGTCCTGGCAGATTGTTCCTTATTTGAATAGTGTCAGGGCTTTCTGGGTAATCTCCGCCACTACCATATAGCCCTTCTACCTTTCTCCCTCTCTCTCGCTGTCTATCGCTCTCTCACCAATATAATTTTCTCACCCTTTTTTCACCTTCCCTTTTCTTCTCTTGGCCTCTCTTCCTACTCACACCTATTCTTCCCCATTTCTCCCAACTTACTGTTCCTATTTATTCATTTATCCCTCCCTCTTATTCTCTGCCAGTTCTTTCCTCACCCCTGCTCCATTTTTTTTATCCTCATTTCTCACCTGTCTCTTCTCCCCCCCCCCCTCAGCCTGGCTCAGCGGCTTTGCAGATGTTTTTCTTCGACTATTTCATCCAATTTTATTTATTTCCACCGCCCATCTCTGCCCTCATTTTACTCTGACTCCATATTCCATCTAAGTCACTTTCTCATTCTCTGGCCTCTTCTTTCCTCTCTGCCACACTTTCACCCCATTTTCATTCGCTCTTTCATCATCCCTCCATGCTCAACCTACTCTATCTCCCCTCAGCCTCTGCCTCCTCTCAGTCTCAGCCTCTCTGTTTCGCCTGTGTTGTAAGGCCCTATGAAATGAGGTGATACAAATGGCATTTTATGGGGCTGTGCGGCACAACCAGGCTGAACACGGCAGGCAATCATATAAGCCATTGTCTGCTGCGCGTGCCACTTTTAATGTGTTCCATTTGATTTAATGCAAGTGATAGGTGAGGCAGAAAGAGAGGTGACGCCTCAGAGGTGAGGGTAGAGGTAAGGCTGGAGATAAAGGGGATAAAGAGACAGGGTGTAGAGGGGGTGTGGGAGAAGGAAGAATAAGAGAAAGGCAGGAGACAGCGGTATCTAGGTCGTAACTGGAGCCCTCACTTCTGGGTTGAAATAATAAGGGACAGCCGGGCTGATATCTAATTTCAAGGAAAGAAATGCCATTTAGTGTGAGAATGAAAATGGAATGCATGCAGGGGAGCAAGCAGAGATAGAAAGAGAGACGAACAGACGGGGAGAGTGAAATATTAAAAAATAAATGCAATATCCAATGCACAAAGTGATTACATTGCCAGAGGGTGGCAGAGGTGTTGGGATTGTGATGGCTTTTTTGTGCTTATAAAGCCGTTCATTTAAAAGAACAGGCATATTTACATCCAGATGGGGACCTTGCAGGTGTTACCTACGTATATCCCCCATCCTGCCCGCCCTAATCTGGAAGAGTTATGCGACAGTGGTAATTGCATAAATCTGTCGTTAGTGTACAAGATTGGATGCATGATTCAAATTTCAGTCACTTTAATTTTGCACAGTCCATTTCTGTCATCATGTTGGGCAGAGGTGGAGGGGAGTTTGAGAGGTGCTGCTGTTAGCAATAGACTGCAGCACCTCGGCAGTTCAATTACACTCACATAGATGAATAGCCCAAGACTGATGAGTTCATTTGAACATACTGGGTATGGTTCTCGTACAAAGATAATAATGAGCCTCAGCAAACCTCTCTGCTTGATATAGAGTTTTGAACAATACATAAGACCCATTTTGGCCCGGCCTGAATGAAGAGGTTTTGGAAGCCAGGCAACCACGAAGCTGCACACACACCCACACAGTCCATTTCAGTGCTGTGCTTTTGTGTGTCCTCTCTTTATTTATTTTATTACTTATTGACTTGTTAAAAAAAAAAAAAAAAAACTCTGACAGTGAACATTTTCTACACTGATTTACTTGTTGGACGGTTTGGTGACTATATAATCCATATTTCAAATGTTTGTTTTTTCTCTATCAGCATCATTTGAATTATTCAAAAACACCTCAGATGGTTACTTTGGGAAGTGGATTCTGTATCCAGAACTTTCTCTTGCCCTCTGACCATGGTAGAAGATGCTGCATATGGTATCCATCCAGAAGAACTAACCTCATTCTCCAACAGTGGCACAGTTGTGTTTTGCCCAAGGACACTCAGGCATAAACCTGGGATCAAACCTCCAACCGGCTAATGGATAGATGTTTTGCTTCAAACTAGGGCTGGGAAAAATGGGGAAAAGTTTATCACAACATTTTTTTTCACATCAGTCGATATCGATATAGATCATGGTATAAAAAAAAAAGAAATTTAACAGTGCTTATTGGTAGCATTTCTTTTGCAATACAATAAGCTACTTCATCTGTATGGTCTTTGTGTCTCTTTGAGGTTTTGTCTTGAGGTGTTGTGCTAGAGAAAGCAGACTGAATGGTCAGCTGTTTCGGCTGCACAGGCGCCATGGGCTCCTTACTTTGCTCAGGGTTTGTAACCTTTTGCATTGCGCGTGCTCTGCCGCGTGGCACTGCTTCAGGTGGTCAAAAAGATTTGAGGTATTCCCCAACTTTGTGAGAACATGTTCTCAACATAATTTGTAGTGCACATTACTCTGCTTCATGTCTGACCTCATCGACAGTACTGTCGGCTTCACTTGTTAAAGTGCTATGGTTGAGTGTCGCTGCAGCCTGCTACTACGCAGTTGTTTGTTACTTGGATCTAATTCAGCTCATGATTGGTTCAGTGAGAAGCGGACCTAGAGCAACTCCCCTTTTTATTGGCTATTCGTACAGTCTACTAAAACATGGCAGAATGCCAGCTATTGATAAGGATATTGACCATGTTTTATACTGATAATGTGGGAAATTCATTTTCAATATATATCGTTATCATTTTATCGCCCAGTACTATTTAAAACTGAGGAGAAGCTTCTCTGACCTGTAGTCAAAAGTATCAAACATAGCCTTTCTGATATTTACAGTTCTAGATTGGACAGCTAATACTGCAAAGGGCAGAAGTAGTGTTCATTTTGTTGGCCATTATGGATCTTATATTGGTTTAAGGATAAAATTATTTTGAATATTTTGCTACATTTGCATAATTTATTTCCTTTCTAATTTAGTTTCAGTCGACAAAAAGGCAAAATGCTTGAGTCAAATTGAATAAAGAGAAAGTGTTAGAAATGTTCCCTCAGTGAGTCTATCAGAAATTGACTTCAAGGTTTTACCAAGTGCTCAAATCTGAAATATTTAATTTTCTTAATACTTTAAATAGTATACTAACTGGTTCCCTTAACTCAGTGGTGTCACTGTTGATTTTGGCCATGTTATTTTCTTTGAGTTATTTTTATGGGGTTTAGCTACTGAAGTCCTCAAATCCAAGAATCAGGCCTTGATGAGCATGCTGGACTGTGACTTTGAGCGCTGAGAGTCGATCAGCACAAAGTAGCATCTGACTCCGATGTAAACAAGGGTTTGAAACAGAGTTGTTAGGGTGTCTTGGTAGCTGGGTGTGTCCTTGTCACCTACGTGCATCAGGAAAAGTTCATGAATGAAAATAGTAAAGAAGTATGGAGACAGAGAGGGTTTGACCTGAGGTGCACTTGTCGCATACAAGGGAACAAGTAAAGGCTGCTCCCCGAAAATAACAGATGCTGTCACAGCCAGGACAATTTCATGGATTTACCAATATTTTCACCTCGTCCTCGTTGAATAAATAAAAGAGATGACTGAGCAGCCAATGTGAGCTGGTATAGTTGTCAGAAATATGTGTGGGTGAGCATCAGGAGAATCGCCAGATAAGTGGAGCGGTCTGGGCTAACTTCAGTTGTCTGGAGGTCAGTGTTTGGGCTTCAGGGGTTTCTTGTGGGTCACTGTAAGAAAGGAACAGATCACATGTTTTAGAAAGAGCATAAGCAAGTTCACCATCCGTCATGTCTCTCTTATTGTAACAAAACAACTTTCTTCAGTGTTTTTCATGCTGTTTGTTGAGGTTAACATTTCTTGTCATTTGAGTTGATTTCAGTGGATTGTTGTTAATTTCTCACAAACCTTTTAATTCTTGTGTAGACCAACATCATAAATACTTGAGGAAGCTGATGAATTATGCAGAAATCTGCCCTGTAATGCTGCTTGTCAGATGGCTGTAGGCTAGTGGTTGATCTGGCTTGGCTCTTGTGACCACAGTGATGAGTGCTTCTGGCCAACCCTTGTCTCTCATCCTAATAGCTATATACACCCTGAGAGCAGTCCTGTGATTGTCAATGAGCACTTTAGCTTCCAAGCACCATGAGATAATTAGCTTGCCTTCCCTGCCTCTTGGACTTGGCAAGATCTCCCCACTTTCCTCCCCTCATTTCAATACTTTCTGGTTTTAAATGTGCAGAGTAAAAAAAAGCCTTTTGAAGACGTCCTTCTGTCTGAATCTAAGATAGTATTAGTTTGTGACTGTGCTCATTTCTGATAACTTTCATGTTCAAATGGTGATTACTGATGAAATGTATGTGTGTTTTGATATATCTGCGGTTATCTGACCACATTAAGTCCACTCTGTGAGATTCTGCTTGTCACAGTTTATGTGTGGTGCCAAATCAATGGCTCAATGTGTCTTTGTGGTAAAGTGGAGAAAGAAATAAGTGAAGTGCTTGGCTCCTTAGACTCTCACATAGAAGCAGAGTTCATATCAAGTTCACATTCCTGTTTTTTAAAGTTCTGTCTATCTTTAGCCAAATGATTTAGTTGTAAAAATATCTTGAAAAATAGAGCTCCTCGTGGGAGCTTTGGTCTGAGTGGAATTTGGCAAACGGACAAAGTTGTTCACTTTGTCTTTTGTGTGTTTTTTTAAAACACTAAATCTCATCCTGCCATCTTTTTTACAATCTATGTATCATTTAATGTGAATATTTATGGTTGGAAATAGTAATTAAAAAGACACTGACCCCCTGGCAACTTAAACAGACATTAAAAAGGTAGTAAAGGAATAGTCAATCATGTCACTGATGATCTTGTTTGCATTTGTAGGCCATAAAGGAAACATCATTGATTTATGTCCATATTATATTCCTTTAAAAACTCATCAGAAAAGCTTACACTGACATCACAGTGTGCAAGAGGTGCAGTTTTTGATTCATTTGATTTATCTTTTTGTCTCTAGGTGAATATTGGCGGCACGTTTAGCTGATTCAGTTTCTCCATTGCCAGTATAACTCGAGTTTTAGACATGTGGATCTGATTTGAAGTCATAGATAAAGTATCTAAAAACTATTATTACAGATGTGTAATAAGAGCTGAGAAAGAAAATTAGGGGTCTGAGAGGCATGATGAGTAAAAAGGCAGTGTTTTTGTAATGAAAGAGTCCACTGATTTTCTCTGAGGGAAATGTAGGATAATCTATTTTTATGCTTGAGCCACATCAAGAACAAAGCATCACTTAAGCATGTGTTTCAGAAATCGTCCTTTAAAAGTTATTTCACTTCGCTAAATAGTGTTAAACTAGGACCACCAAATCAGCTGAATGCTTAAAAGCAACCTTATCTAACCTTACCTTAGATGCATCTTACAAGGAAGCTGAGGAGAGAAAAAGCTTTTGGCAAAGGCTTAAGACATATCTGAGAGCAGTTCTGCAGTCCTCAAAGATCTCCTCAGCTGCTGATGTAAGCGATTTCCCCTTCTTCCTTGCCCCCCCCATTTAATCACTGGATGCAAATCAAACAGAGAAAGAAAGCACTAATTTAAACCTGCTTGAAGAGTTTGAGTCCCCATGGGGACTTAATAAGGTGCAGTGTCTTGCTGTGATGAGAATGTAAAAGCAGATTAATCCCTTCTTGAAAGGATTGTGACATAAAAACCCAAACTCGGAGGCAGATGATTAATAGAGTATAGTAAAGAAGGAAGTGCTGTTTATTAGAAATGAAAACCAGAGAGCTTGTCAACTTAAACACAGAAGCTTTAAACACATATCCACTCCAGCTCTTTCCATGCCTGAGGTGCGCCCTCACTCGGGGCTTTGACAACAAGCAGTACGTCTCTGTCATTGTGAGTCTAATTTTTGGCTGCCTAACTGGATTGATTCATGGGAGAGGTTTTTTTTTTTTTTTTCTAATTGTGCCCAAAGCTTTATTTTCTTCTGCACTTCTTATTGAATTGAACTTGTTTGGCAAGTGCTTGTAGGCCAATGTTTGGACAGACAGAAACAGCTCTCATGTTCACACTGTTTTCTAAATGAGGAGTGGGATTTTTAAAGCCACGTAGCAGGTAATTTTATCTGTTCAACTATGAAACATATGTCCTTTACAATTAGATCTCTCCTGCACTCCTCTATTTAGTCAATATCATGTCAGTCAGCTCTGCAAAGCTAACTGGTTCAGGGCAAATTGAACTCACTCATTAGCTCCAGTTTTCTGTGTTTCTCCTCTCCGCTGTAGAGAAGTTGAACCCAAAGTTGTGCCTCTACTTACAGGTCAACATACAACGTTAATACTCTCTATGCTAGAGGCTAAGTTGGGCTGTACTCAGAACAGAACTTGGAGCTAAATGCTAATCAAATCCTCTAACATGGAGGAACAGTGTTAGAGCTGTTCCTCCATGAACTCATCATACAGGGTCAAATACATTTATTGGGTTGTTGTGCCTTGAGTAACACTTAACATGCAGTTCTTTCTGTCAAGAACGGATCCACATTCATTTAACCAGTGTACTTGACTTGTCTTCTGTTCCCTGTGAATGTATATTTCAGTTTTTTTACTGTACGAAAGCAGTCATTCTTGGAAGTCACTGACATCCCTCGCAGTAGACTGGGGTGTTGGCTGTGGTGAGCCTGGATCGGTGTATCACTGAGTTTAGAGAGACCGCTGGCCTCCACTCCACTGTCTCTGCTGGAGTGTCAGACTCTCCAGCTGTGAAAGGTTGTGGTTGGAGGTCCTGGAGGTCTGTATGTGAGGGGAAAATTGTGGTTTGGTTAGAAGGGGGGAGGTGTTCCTCTTCTTTTCCTTCTCATCTCCATGAGAACAGAAATAAAGCATTCGTACTGGATAACAAAAGAAGAACTCATTGTTAGCATTAAAGATCCTGCAGTTAGCTTGTAGTGCAAACATCTCTTTGTATTGCGTTGGTATTATCTGGAGACCTGGCTTACTCATACTGGGTAAGTGGAGTCTACCATTTACTCGACTGTGCTGAGATTTCTGATTGAAAACTTCAAGGCGCTGCATGACATCCACCTTGTCTTTGAGGACTGCATTTACTCTACAGGGTACATCCTGCCAAGAACTAAGAACATCTGACAAACTTGGAGAGTTTGTTTTACGCTCATAAAAAAACTTTATTTTTATATAAAGTTTATAAGCTAGCTTTGAAAGAAACATTTTTTTTTTTTTAAATAGTTGGTCAATTAGCGGCCGATTTAACATTAGGCTCTCTTTTTATATACTCAAACGCATCATGGTAACCCAACATCTTACAGGCAAAGTTGCACCAATATATTCATACTATAGCTCTAAGAGCAGAGAGACTAATTAATAGAGCTGATTGTTAGAACTTGGACGTCACAAGGTAGATTTTATGCCATAACCTAATGTATTCCTCTTTTCATAAGTTCATAAAAAATGTTATTTAAAATGCGTCACCAGCTAAGATAACCATGTATTTTACATTTAAGGCACATGGAGTTGACATGATTTTATTTTGTTCTAATTTGAACCCAGTATTACTTTGTATTCTTTCATTTATGTTTAACACATCCTTCATTATTTTTTATTAAAAGTGGGGCAGAAAATTCCACAGAGACCCCAAATCACTCCATATCACTGAGATGCTGACTCAGACTGCCCTGGAATAGTGGCAGTACCTCAGTGTGTCACAGCGATGGTAGTTTGACCTGAAATTTTGACTTTACAAGTTGCATACATGGTTGATTTGGCCAGGATTTAAAAAACACTTAATCCTTCATTTGTTGCAAATGATTAGAGGTCCCCAGGTTACTCCAGTCCAGGTCTATAGTGCGCAAAGAGAAGAGATCCGCATGGTCAGATCACATCGCAGTGCCCTGTAGCTGACGATCTCAATCATAAACCGGATGATTTCATTACAACATGACTCACTTGTGATTGAACCAGTTTCCCCCTTGCTCTCTATCTTCTGTGTGCAGGGGGGCATGTTGACATGCTTAGCAACTTTTCTTCACTTTGAACACAACACACAAAAAAAGGAAGAAACACAAGCCCCTGTAAAAAGTCATAGTCATTCAAACATGAGGATGTAAGTCAGCTGCTGATTTTAACAAAACTCTGGGTAGTTTAGAGCCAAATAAGCCTCAGCAAGCTGCCTCAAGACGAGTGTCTGGGCTTTCTCTTGGCTGGACAATGGACAATCATGGACAATGGACAATCTTAAAGGTAGGATGGGTAATCAGATTTAGATACATTTTTTTGTTATTCTGGTTTAAATGGTCTTTCTGTTCCGATGGCAATCAATACATGATGTGTTCTTAAAAAGAGTGAAACACAGCCACTATCTACAGCAGAGGGAAAACTGGGAAAACACCAACTTGGAAATTTTATATTCTGTGTCATTAATGTCTAAAGTTTGTCCACAGCTCCATAGGGATTGCTGGAGGAGGCAGGATTTGTGACCTTTGCTGCAGCCCGTCACTAGAGGGTGCTGTTCTCGAGGTGGCGTCACCCAGCGAGGAGGCAGACATGTCGATTCTATATACAGTCTATGACTGCACCCCTGCCCCGGATGTTGATGTTTAACTGTTTGACATCTTTACTGATCTAGTTTAACTTGCAAACATGAGTTTTTACTGCTGATCATCAGAAAATGTAACTGAGGTTTTACAGTAAATACATGGAGTTACATCCTTCATTTGAAAGAGAAATTAATAAAAAATACAGCCAGAAGTCAACAACCATTTAAAACCAATAATGCCATGTGCTCGAGTCTGAACAGCTGTGGTTTATACTTAGATATGTATTAATCAGGCACAGGAGAGAATCAGTGAAGCCTTGTTTCTAAAAGTTTCAGGTTGCTGTAAAGTGCACTGACTGTACAGCTTTCTTATTTCTGTCTGAGTGTCGTCTCACAGCTCTTTTTGCTGTGTATCTGCAGCTGAACTTGCCCCCACAGGCCTTCACACGTATCTTGCCACAGGCCAGAGTCTTCTTAAGCTTTCCACTGTCCCCCTTTCTGAGAGGAAAACACACATGATGAGCAACCGCCCCCCTGTGAGAGGAAGATAAAGCACGAGTGCTATCAGCTCAACCTGTGAGCGTGGAGAGAAGTTCAAAACCTGGTTCGGTTTCAATAGACACAGTCCCTCATGTCGTCTTTAAGGGCTCATCAATTCTTAATAAAAACATCTTACTTGACTTCTTCAGATGGAATTGTTTTTGATGCTGTCGCACATTTTTCTTGAAATGGTTGCTCTGTTTTATCCAGTCTCAACAGATGACCGAGGCTCTGTTCTTACTGTTGCTTCACATGGACTAAATAAAACACTTTCCTTTATTCTGATGATTAATTTATGCCTCCTTTTGAAAGAAAGTTGAAACAATATGTCAAATGAATCATCATACACATCTGTGATCCCCAAGTGTCAGAAAACCTGACTCACCACATCAAACGGCCATCTCATATGCATGAATCTACACTCCAGTCCCGTCCTTCAAAGCAAGACTATCAACATTATTGAACTATTTGTTATGATCACTGTTTACAAAGCCAGCAGAAGATGAGAGTGGCTCGTGTTCACGTGTAATAGGGAGGAGGAGAGCCGCAGATACTGTGAAGTAGATAAAAGAAGGTGGTAAACAAGCTTTTCTTAGAAAGAAACAACTAAAGGAAAGAGGACAAAAACAGATGATTTAACTCGCTGCAGAAATGCACTACCAACTCTCTCGTTCCAGTCTTATACTATCCCTGCAATCATTGTCAACATATTAAATTTGGATTAACAACAACAGCTGGATTACAGTACTAGCTGCTGAGGAAATGATTTTCACCTCAACTAATGAAATTCATGAAACGATCCCTGCCGTGATTCCCACCTCGACGGACTCACTGTCTGTTACACTCACACCCACACACACACAAACATGTATGAACCTGAAGAGGTTGATTAAGAAGTAATAATGAAGGCGCTGCTGTGTCATTCATCACTGTATGAAAGCAGAGATGTGTTGCTTTGTTTACCTGCAGTGTCTATGATTGAATATGCAGTAGCAGGAGTAGCTTCTCAGGTGTAAATAGATTAAAACGTACTTAACAATTTGTCATGTTTAGGTTGCATTAGTGAGGGTGTCTATACACCCCAACAGATCACAGAACTGCAAATTGATAAAGTTAGCAGGAGTGAAACATTTGCTGCATGAATAAAAGGGCTCTTGAGGTAACTACAGCAACAGAGGCAGAGTGTGCATGAGTGTGTGCCGTCATGGAGGTGTGTGTGTCAATGCACATGCTAAGAAGGTATCAAGGATTCAAATCCTTCCAATACAAGGCACTCAGGTATAATCCACATTAAATCACATATATTCATGCCGATGTAATAAAATTTAATTGAATAGGTCCACAGTGGTGTCTCTCGCTCTCCCTCTCTCTCTCTCTCTCTCTCTCGCTTGGCTACCTCATACTGTGATGTGCTGAATTATTTCCTGAATTGCCGGCTTCTCCTCAGAGCAGAGAATTCACGGTAATGTTGTGAAATGTTAGGACACCTCTCCCTGCACACATTTCCTCTCTCGTCTCACGAGTGCTCTGTAGGCCTATGCGGTGATTGCATAAGACAGCATGTCGCACATGTGTGGCTGTATGTGCGAACATGCGTGTGTGGTCACGGAATAAGTATGTGCGCTTATTTATTAGATTATATTTGTGTGTCTCAAGCTGGAAGTGGGAATGTATTAATACATAAAAGCGCATCCTTGTGTGCTGTGAATGACCTTTTATGTGTGTACGTGTGTTTGAATGCAGCGTGACAGTAATCCCTGTGCATTCAGCAGCCAGCTCCAGTCACGGTCAGTTAAGAGGGACTGTCCCTGATGCCGGTACCCCAACAGAGGAAACCTAAATCAGGTTGACACGCTCCTGGCACACCCTGCACTAGTGCCAAATTGTTCCTGACAGTATCAAATGCATCCCATTGGGTGCTTGACAATAGTCCAGTTCCCCTGACCTCCTCCTCTGGCGGGGAGTTCAGGGCTGAAAGAGATTATATTGGAAAGAAAAAGAATTGCTTTTTAAATAAGGTTGGTGCAAAGTGTGATAATGGCCAGTTCCTCCTGTGCCAAAAATTAGAGAGAAGTAGTCGCTTAAAGGATGTAAAAGCATAGAAGATGAAGGCAAATTGTATTTTTAGAGGGATATCAATGGAAAGGCAAGATCGGGTCTTGAAGAGGGACATGTTTTACCTCATAAACACTCATAGAAAACCTGTTTGTTCTTGTGTTAGTGAGTTTAAATGAGTACATTTGAGGATATCAAAATAAAAGCTTCTCAGTCTTTCAGCTGAATATGGCTCCCAGACTTCTGATTCATGCAGTCTGTTATAGTCTAAGAGAGGCCCGACCCTCTCTCTCTTTCAACAGAGCTGTATGCAATATTGTATAATACTTACATTATCAGAAAAAGCCCTTATTATTTAATAAAAATGTTTATAGATTGTAGCACAATTAGCTTAAGGCTTATAGTTTGAGAAGTCAATTTTCTGGAAGACGACGGATAGAGCTGCCATGCGCATTTAAAATGTGATTACTTAAAACCTAAAAATGAAGGCAGCAGTGTGTCTGCCAAAAATGTTTCCTGATTGCAAATGAGCAAATTGAGGTGCAGCGTAGCCCCAGTAGAGCCGCAACCCAGTGAAATACAATTATCCTTCGAGTCATCTTCGTGATGAACAAGAAATGAACCAGCAAGTCAGTTCAGTCTGGGTGCACAGTGCTCAGTGGCTCGAATTATCAAAGCAAACTCAACGGATATTAATTTCAAAAGTGTCAGTTCCTTGTTAGTTCATCTGATTAATGGACATTTCCAGTATGCGATGCTCTCATATGTCAGTGCATGTGACCCTCCCCCCACAAATTGCCTCTTAGTCTGCTGTTCTAAACACAAACCAAAGGCTTTTAAGTCAGCATCCCTAATTAAGTGATGGCTAATTACATACCGGTCATGCCAGTGAAGCAAAAAAACGCATATGGGCTGACATATGAGACATGGTTCACCATCAGCCTAAAGTCTGAAACAAAGCCCTGAACCTCACATAATGTGCAGATTATGTGTGGATAAGCAGGTAAATGTCATCATGGCGATCAAAGGTCAGATATTCAGTTCCAGGGCAGACCCTCCAAAATATGACATTCAGCTGTGTTTTAGAGGCTCGCTGCAAACGTATGCCACACTGAATACATGTTCATTTAAGGGTTACTCAATTGTGACAAAATCATTATCACAGTTATTTTTAATAAAAACTAAAAACTTTGAGCTCTTTAAGAATTAAAATTAAGGGAAATAAAACAAACATAGAGGGGCGGAAAAGACTGTCCCTTTGGGTAACAGAAATATTCATGTTAAACTGGATAATATAAATAAAGAAAAAATACAGTAGGACATAAAAAAAGTTAATAAAAGGAACTTTAATACTTTAAAATCATAGACTGTATATAGAATGGACGCCGTCTGCCTACTCGCTGGGTGAAGCCACCATGAGAACAGCACCCTCTGGTGACGGTCTGCAGTATAGGTCATAAATCCCGCCTCCTCCAGCAATCCCTATGGAGCTGTGGACAAACTTTAGAAATTAATTACACAGAATGTAGATTTTACTCCCCACTGGTTGCGATGTTGACATGTAGTTACTGTAAGACTGGTTTGTGCTCAAGTCCTCTTTTTTCTGTGCAGCTCCATTTTTAAAAGTTATTAGGGGGTTCATGTTTTCTATGATTGACACTTGATACAGCCTATGGGTGCACGAAGATTGCGTAGCTCAGCCGGGGGATACGCTGTTTGTTGTCCATAGTATATACAGTCTATGTTTAAAATACAATATTTTATTTTTGTTTTAAAACTGATCCATATTTTTACCTCTTTATTAAAAAAAATATCATTTATCAACAATGTTATCAGCAGACCTGCTGATAGCTTCCGGGACACACTCAAATCACTGTCATTGGGACCCATCACTATAAAAAGCTACATCACTGAAAGCTGAGTGACCTGAGCTCTTCCTCCTTTTACATTCTTTCACAGGTTACAGGTCCAACATATCGTCAGCTTGTTCAAGTCTGAGGCTCTATAACCTCAAGAATTAGCATTATACTTTAGTTTGTTAGGAATCAATGTGGCTGATAAACGTGAGCTCGTTAACGCTCATTCAGCTCATGATCACTGAAGCCCCTCTGTCAGTGAACTTCACACACAACCACACACACACACACACACACACACACACACACACACACACACACACACACACACACACACACACACACACACACACAAGTACAAAAGCACAAACCTGCCTGCTCCCCTTCCTGCTCCTCTCCCTGCTGTCCTCTTTCCACCTGTATGATAGTTTGTCCTGCTGTAGTATACCTCGTTAAAGATAAATCAGCACTTATCTGCCTCATTCTCTTCAACACAATACTAGGGAGAGGAGGGAGATGACAGGCCAGTGGGATTTTCATCACATGTATGCACTCCACATGTTTACACTCTGCTTTTACCTCCAACCTCATAATCATCAGCTATTTATTGTCAGTCTCTTTTATCATGACCTTTTACTCCAATTCTTTACTCTTATGTTTTTTCTAGCCTTTTTTATAAATTGATTTGTTGATGATGATTGAGCAGCTTAGAAACTGAAATCCCTTCGGGAGACATACAGTATTCATCTCTCTATCTATTTATCTCATGACTGCGAGGTAAAAGGGAGAGCTGTTGGAGAGGAGGAGGAGCAGAGAGGGAGGGTGTGCTTCATTTACTGTACAGGCCGCAACGAGTGAGACACAGCAGGCGGCACAATATCACTCAGTCTTGATTATCATATTTTTATGATCCTGGGGAGTCATAATCACAAGTAAAATTGAAATCCCAAACTTACCCAGCTCTAGTCTATTTACACGACTTTATCTGCAATTTCTTTTTCTGATCCCCAGTTCCAAAAAGTATGAGTCAACCTGCAAAGGGTGTGTCTGCTGTCATTTAAGAGGCATTTTCTGCACTCTTTAGGACTATTCTCAATTTGGGTCAGTTTCAGAAGTTCAGACTTCTTTTTGTTGATCTGATTCTTTTTACTCATGCTGTTCTTTCCTCAAATACTTGTTTTGTTCGACGTTGTATATGGTATTCATAGAACAGCTGTATGTTGTAGCCCGGAGACAGGGCCCCATCCCTGTGGTCGGAAAATTCAAGTGCTGTTAGATGCTTTTTGGGTGGCTAAAACATCATAAGATACTCTCTTTTTTGCCCCTGCAGTGTAAATGACCTGAAAAATACCCTCTGAATGGTCTAAAGTAGGAGAAAACTAAACAAAGCGCCCTCTTAAGGCACTTGAAGTGCATTAAAATGTACATCAAGTGCCCCCTGGATGCTATTTAATTGGCAAAAATGTAAACAAAGTGCTCTGTGAATACTCTTCAAACGGTTAAAATGCAAACAAAGAATACCCTGTGTACCCTTTAAATAAATAACATGAGAATTAAGTGCCATCTAAAAGCGCTGCTAGTGGATGAAACTATAACTAAGCTGACATTTGTGTTATACTGTATATTTGGTTGTTTTGCCAGATCTGACCTTACAAGTTAATACTCTATAACGTCTCTAAAGGTGTCATTGGGAACTCTCAGTTTATGTTATTTTTGGTGCTGCCTGTAGATAAAGCACTCTTAGCTTGTCTTCTACATGCTTAAGGAATACCATCCGGCTGACTTTTGACAGGCAAATATGTCGTTTTTGTGATTATTTAAAGCGAGGAACAAGGGATCTATCCTTTAATGGCTCCAGTGACACCTTCCCCCCCTTGCACCATTTACAGGCACTAAAATTAGAGCATTTATATTATGTATCTTGCCACTAGTGATCTTGTTTGCTCTTGAATATCATCAAAAGGCATCAATGAGAATTTCAGTCTGTTTCATTAATGTGGAAAATTCTTGATAAGGGCTTTAATTAAAACAATATAACTGAGTTCAATCCTTTCATTACGTGCAGGTGTGATGGTGAGTTCAGACCTTATGATGTCAGTATGATTATTGCCCGAACAGACTGTTCTAGGGTGTCAGTTTTATGGCTCAGGGACTGAGTAATCTGTCACAGTCCGTGCGTATACATGTTGTTGAAAATAATGATCTTTTGGATAAATTAAACTGATACTGGACTTTTGAAATGAATTAAACATGATAGTGTCAAGTGAGCTGAGAGGCAAGTTTTTATGATATTTTGATTTTTGATATCATATAATTCTGGTTGATGGTTTGAAACCAGCTGCCTATAGCAGAAGAAAATTAGTTATCACTATTTGGTTATTATTTTTCTGTTATCTAAAGTTAATTTTTCAACCTCGAATGCTCCCAAGCTTTCAAAGGTTTGGTGCAAATCTGGCTGAATTTAGGTAGGGGCAACCAAGCATTGGCAAGTTTACCAAGGTCATCAGCCTGCTTTATGAGAGGACCAGCTCAATATATAAAAACGTGAACTCGACTGTGATTTTTAAGGTGTCTCTCCTTTTTTGCCCAGCATTGCTTTTGATAAATGATTCAGCCCACATTAAACTTTCTTTGAAATTGCAAGGACCCACAGAAGGGTAAAAGACATGCTTACAAAAGCTCACACTAGGACTTTCTTTCATTCCTTTTCCAGGCTGACGGTATCAGGGCTGCTCTTCACTGGAAGCATCTGGCTGTCCCTGACATGTCAATGAGTGAACCATACTGTACCGTACAACAGTCTGACCTGAGTGTTTAAAGGGGAGCAGGCGAGGACATGACTTGATTTGACCACTCCCCAGTTTATCGGTGTTTAAGTGAACTTCACAGTCTACCCAAATTCTTCTTTTAGCCCCAGATAAGATCGAGGACAGGCATCTTTTCACACCCAATACCCTTTAAGTAAGACAAAACACTTCACCGCATTCATTGGTTGCTTTGTGCCGAGTTTGGAGATTTTACAAGTACACTTGGAGACTAAAGACTGAGGCTCTTGCTTTGTTTGCTGTATAATAATAAGGACCCAAAGATCTGCAGTGCTGGCTGTGAAGTCCTTTGGATGAGAAATATTAAGGATGTCATTAATCAAAAGCATGAGCATTTCCTGACCTCTGAAGTATGACGGGGGAGCAAGTGGAGCAAACACTTGCGCTGCATTTGCTTGCTTTCAGACCTTAACCTCTCTGTAAGGGACCAAGCAACCAGGCAAAGTACAAAGGTGTGGACAAAGATCTTGATCCTTTAATTTACTCAAAAAAAGCAGAAATCAAGAACAAAATATCCAACGTAATGTGGTAGAAAATCAACCAAATCTGGCCCCACACCAAAAGAGGTCAGTTCAGCAGAAAAGGAATGAAAGTTACAACCTAACAGACATAATGAAACAGACCTGCAAAGTGATACATGAAACAAGGACTAGTCCAACACAAACACAAGGGGGAAACTAAAATGACTACAAACTAAACAACAAACTCAGAAAAACACCATCAAATTATCCAAGCCAACTATTTACAGAAAAAAAAAAAAAAATCTGTTCTGACTGAAAGAATAAAGACAGAAGTTTTATAAAGAATCAAAAGTCCAAGCTTCTCCTCTTTCCCCCCTTGATGGTCTGTTCCACTTCCTGTGGGCAGGGCTTAAGGGGCCATCTTAGAGCTGCAGACAGCCTTTTGTCAGGTGAGCTCGAGCAAAGTCAAACAAACAGGTAAGTGTTGCTTTGAAAAGACATAAACTCAAATTAAATTATGATGTAGAAAATCAAACCATTCCTTAACTAAATTGTGTGCACCCAAATAGAAAACAGCTGCCATAAATGCAAAAAAAGTGAATTTATTTCAACCAAAAAAAAAAAAAAAAAGTGTGTAATTAGATTTTTCTAAACTGATACAAATTTACTTTGTTAAAACCTAAAGACAGAGAAATACTAACAGGAGGTGGTGGTTGAGGCCACCGCACTCTCCAATAGTGGAGCAAAGAGAGAAAAAAATAATGTGGCTCGGCAGGAGACAGCCAAGCTCCATACTTAGTTTGACTGCAAAAGTCTCATTAGAAAAGTAAAACAAAGCAAATGTTAAAAAGGTTTAATGAAGGAGTGACAAATTTATAACTTTTAGACTAGAAAGGGGGCGATTATGTCCTGAAAATATTTCAGACATAAAGATTGTTGAGTCTGTGTGATTGTTGTATTTTTATCTTTTATACAGCTGTATCTGTCTGTGCAAAATGGTGTCACGCCCTGGCGTTTCAGGTTTGTACCCTGTTTTAAAGGGACTAAATGTAGCATTTTTTTTTTTTTTTATGGACCCAGTTACCGGTCCCCATCCCTAATGTTTAGCTTGTCCAATACTGCACTCAGGATTTTGGGTTAAATTATATAAGTCACTTATGTTTAGTTCCCAGGAGACCCCATACCATACTGTAGACATTAATGGGAGTTTTAAAACACACATCCAGCAAAGTGATTTTTTTTCAGAACTGTCACAATCGTTATCCAACATACAAACAAAGACAAAGTCTCTCTTTCTGGCACATAAAAACTACACTAAACTCACAGACCTTTACCTTTCAGCACTATGGCTGGACTCTAATCCCCTTAGACAAGAAAGTCAAGCTTAATTCTTCTTCCTCCCAAAAAACTGTCCATCCTAACCACGCCCTGAGATGATTATCTAAAGGTCAGACTTTCCTCTTCTCATCCGTCCCTCCATCATTCTGAGTTTTCCCCCAGTTAGTGCAATGACAGAAAGAGCAGTAGCTGGCCTCAACACTGACTGAGTGCCTATCACCACTCTCCGCATCAGCCTTTGGCCTTGCAGAAACAAGGGTTCTTGCCAGAGAAATGAAGTATGGATTTCTAATTTAGGGGGATGGTTGGAGATGTGGGTCAAAGTTGCATTTATTTCAGGGCGCCTCAGCCCCATCATGCCTTCGATCACCCTTTAGTGGAGAAATACATATCGGGCAGAGATTATAATGGATGAAGGGGCCATTGATGTTCGGAGTGGATGAGAGGTTTGCATTATGTATTAGCTTTATCCCGTGAATGAGTGGCTGTAAGGATAATCACTATCTGATGATCATCATTTATTTTTTTTCCCTATGTGCCCTCTCAGAGTGGTCCTTACATAAACTGAACATTTTCCATCTTTTGTGTGGAGGAGAGAGAGTGAGCAGGAGAAACAGATAGCTCTAGTGGCAGGGTTAAACAAACAATGTATACTTTACAACATGACACTTATACAGCCCCCTGTTATCGTAGAAACAGTCATGTTATAAGACATCCTTTACATCTGCATTTTCATCTCTCCTTGCACATTGTAGCTGCACTGTCAACTGTCAGCCACATTCTCACCATGGCCTGACGCAGGCAGACATGTGCGATCTGCCTAAGAGGTGTTCTCACACCTGCCTAGTTCAGGAGCACGGGTCAACCCAATGGACCTCATTTTTTCTGATGCTAAATTTAACTCAGTGACATGTGTGAAGATTCCTTCACCCTCTTAGTCATGGCAAAGTAAAGTGTCATTGCTCGAATAACAGTGAAGGACGACGCTGAAAGGAGATTTTCTGAAGCTGCTGAGCATTGTGGAAAAAAAATGTACGCTTTCACCGGTCTTAAATCAGCAATCTATCATGTGTCATTTGAGTTTGGCCTTGTGCACAAAGCTTGTTCTGCTTTTTAAAACCAACGTTGAGTCAAACCGATTGTTGACTTACTGAAAGGTGCTGTTTTGATAAAATATTACACCTGGAACTACTGAAGTACTCTGAAAAAAAATCCTGTTGTGTTAAATTCTTTGAATCACAGAAAGGCGTCAAAAATAACATCTCATGACACAAACACGTCCAGTTTACAGTATCCTGTTATTTAGAGGTGAGGTAGGCTGCCTACCATAAAAGAAGCATCTTTTTTTGTGGTGTATATACAAAAAAGCATTTAATATCAGTCAGTAGCTATTAATTATTGATGACATTTGGTAATACAGTATAATGATACTGCTGTGTTCTCTTATGTCTGTGTAGTCAACATTTTAAAATTTTTTAAGGGGCCGCTCATTCTGACTGTAAACAAAGCCATTCTCCTTAGCTCCTAATGTGCTCCTTAGTGCTGATTGGTTGTGAGGCAGATGCTGCTCCCTCGTGTTGTGAGGCACGCTCTACATCCTCGAATAACGTGCACAAGCCCAAAGTTAGCATGCTACAATATTGGACAGTAGAAACCAACCAGAAATTGCCTGAATCCTCCTTGGCCACGACTGCCAATGCTAGCAAGAAAACAAAGTAAATAACGGAGACTCTGGTGTAACAATGGGCACTTAAAAAGGAGGTAGACTGGACAAGAGCTAAAAAGCCAGGGTCAATATTAATGAAGCATAATGATGGGAGAGACGCTTCGAGATCTGACCGACCCTGTAACCTTTCTGCTGGACAGGTAAACCGCTTTAACAAAGGAAACCAAATGTCTGTAACAGAAGTGTTTCTTCTCAAACGGGACCTGGCGCTACCGTGTTGTAGCGCCACTGAACTGTTTACCTTGGGTCCTGGAGTATGTAAGCATTGAGTTTGCTAGCAGTCTGTTGACATCTACAGTAGCACCAATGCTTTTTAGTTTCACATTGACTGGGCCCCATATGTAATTATCTGAAGTATTAATCTGCATCATATCTGAATTTAATTGAAACGATACGAGCAAGCAGAAGCATCTGTTTGTGGGCGGGGCTTGTTGGAGTAGAGACGGAGGGAAGAGGAGGAGCTGAGGGGAAAACTGGTTGGGAGGGGTAGTGTTTACTTTCAGAAATTTACATTGTAACTTTTTGAAACATTACAGCCATAAAAGCAAATAAGGTTGAACAAGATAGCAAAAAAGAAGTCTTCTCCACTCTAAGTATCTCTTTCTCTTAGATACACACACATACACAGTATAGCACATTGAACCCTGAACCCACAAAGGGAGACATTATCTTGAGGCGATGGATCATGTAAATGGCATTTTGTCTACATTATGAGAATGTGGAAGATGTTTTTCTGCATGACTGAGGCGCTCATCTAGTGGGACTGTCTGTACCACCAACTCGGTATATTTCATCTTCAGAGATGACGGAGAGTGGGCTGAATATTTCTGTATGTTGGTGTACATGCTGAGGGGTATGTTAACCAGTTTTGGCTTTGAGCTCGGCACAGCATGGATGGCATTAACACAAGTGATGGCAGTGAGCCGTGTGAAAGTACTGATAAATAAAATAAGCTAGGGTACCATCCACAGTAAAATCGCTGTCGCATATCTGCTGTTCAGACCTGGGAGTGTTTCCTCACACAACCTGGGGAGGCTGATTATTAAGAGGCCTCGAGGAAAATTATTACCGTGTCGCCTCACATTACAGTGTGATATGTTTTATGCAATATACATAGAAAACCAGCTAGAACAACAACACAAATCTGTGTGGCCTTACATGGCTAATAACATCTTTTTTTCCATCAACCGACCAAAAACTGTGGAGCTGTCCAGACATCATCTAGAGCAGTGGTTCTCAAGTCCAGTTCTCGAGGCCCACTGTCCTGCATGTTTTGGATGTTTCCCTGCTTCAACACACCTGATTCAAATTAGCTCGTTATTAAGCCATTACAGAGCTTGATAACGAGCTGATCATTTGAATCAGGTGTGTTGGAGCAGGGAAACATCCAAAACATGCAGGACCGTGGGCCTCGAGGACTGGACTTGAGAACCACTGATCTAGAGTTTAGATGAACATGTCAAACTGTAAATATCATGTCAGTGACAGTTGTGCTCGTTGCTATTTTTGTGTATATTTCTGTCCGTAAAGTCAGCAGCCCTCCCTGTCACTGAGTGTGGTGTAAACTTTCTTAAATCTTCATCCACTTCAGCTTAAGGAAGACTAATGCTGATTGGGTAAGCGCTCATATTACGCTCCACCTGCCTGTAACTGTCTCTCCCAGACTGAATATAAAGTTGGGCGATGTTTCCTCTCAGTCAGAGATGAGCACAAGCCACTCTCTGCAAGACCAAGCCAGGTCTGAAGACTTTGAGTCCAGATGCAAGTCCCAGTCAAGTCTGTCATGTAAAAAAAATAACAAAATAAAAATCTTATGGTCATAAAATGAAGGGCTCCATTAATCAGAAATATATTAACTCATATCACATCATGTCCTATGATAATATATGGGCATAGATGGCAAAATAGGAAAAACACATGCCAGACTGTGCTCACATCTTAATGGCAAAACAACAACACTAAACAGGAAAGTGATTTTAGGTATTTAGCATCACGCAACAGTTTCCCTTGTGACCTTTCTCTCACATATGAAGTGTACATGAAGAGAAGTGCAGATTACACATTAGCTTATCGGTTTTTGATATTGATCAAATACAGCGAAAATGATGCTAAAAGCGGTCAAAATAGAACTGCATGGTTGGCATGTATTTTAAACCGTTAAGGAGCCCCAAACTGGGCACTTACTAGTATTAACTTTTTGATCAGCGGATTTCTTCTATGTTCGTTAACGAGGGGATCAGCCAATCACAGCTTTTAAGTGAATGTGTCACACCTAGACCCGTTAAGCCACGCCCCCACTGAAATAAAGCCTCTGCCCCCTTGCTTAGTCAAAATTGTTGTAATCACTCCCAAGGTAGGACTCCTTGGTAAAAAGATTTTGTTTGTGAATGCAGGCCCGTCCATTGGGCTGTCTCAGTTATCAACCTCAGTGTACATTAAAAATTGAGCAGTTGAACAGCAGTCTGTAAGTGTCATGGCTTGAACCCTTGTGTCTGTCTGCCTCTGCTTGTTGGAAGCATCAGTCTGCTTTGATTTGCTCATCTCCTCTGTCTGCCTGTTACAAACTATGACAGACGATGTCTGAGGAAAGCTTGCTTTAAGATAGGAGTTCTCTCTTGAGTTGGTTCTTAGGTCAGAGTCATCATGACTTCGTCTTGAGTTTTTATATATACATCTGTTAAGTCTTCCAAAAACATGAGATATACATGTTTAACCTGTGTCAAACTTCTGAATGATGAATGCTCCTTTGTGGATTATATTTACAATGAATTGTTAAAGGGAATAAAACCCTTATATCCCCAGTATTGATTATTTTTTTTTTTTTTTGTTTTTTATTAAATCTAAAACCGAAAGAGCCCACTGAATGACTCCCTGTCCTGGTCCAGCATCTTCCTCTCAGCAGAAGTCTCAAAAAACTCAATCCCCTGCTTGGGCTTGACTTATGATCAGGTTTATAGACTTACTGCGTAAAAGGGCCTGTTACATACATCCCCTCTTAATGTAGTTTAAATCCTTAAATAAGAATGACTCATACATGCAGAATGGAGTGTTTATCCTTCTTGCAGACATCCATCTGTGATGACACTAGTCTGCTAAAGGAAACTCTGAAAACTAAAATCAAATGATGGGGTGCTCTGGAGGTGGAGCTGTCACAGTTGAGACGTAGGATAACAATCAGCTTGTTTAAAAAAAAAAAGGCTTGATTCAAGAGAAGTACTCCTGCTGTGTGGAGCACAAGAAAGTCAGCAATAGCTGAGCACCTGTGGCTGTTTGGGTTTGGCAGAGGCGGGTACAGCGATGACATGAAGAGCAAACTGTGAGGAGAGGTTGGCAGAGGTTGAGGAGATGAAAGCACTTGGCATATGTCAAACTTAAAACGGAAGTTAAAACCTGAGTGTGTGAAATAAAATGGAAGTATTTGGTAATACTGGAGTTTAAGTGATATATGAACTGCAGACATTTGACTCTATTGACCTGCTCAGGTCTAACCACAGAGTTTAAACTTGGTTATGGCCCAATTCCAGACATCTCAAAAGTCTGGAGTGTAAACAAAAGTGAAAAGCTGTTTCTGCAAGATGAAGTTTGAGACAGGGAGAGTTTGCCAAACTCTGGTATCAACATGTAACATCAAATGTATAATCTGTTAGTGGTTATGCTACAAACAAGGTGACTTAATTGTAATTATTACACTTTTATCACCCAGCACTTATTCAACATATGCAGAAAATAAAAGTAGCACCTGTCCTCTTTCTGAATCCCTTTAACAGCCCTCAAACACTGCCAAAGCTTGTAACATGCTGAGGTTTGTGCTTGCTTTGTGTCTGTTTTCCTCAATCTGACAGAAATCTTTTTTTCTCTTGCTCAGGTCCTCATGTGTTTCATCATCTCTTGCTAGTTTTCCCACCTGTTGTCTTCTTTCCTGCTGGAAAGTGGTCAGCCACAAGGTACCAAGTTTGTGCTGCTGTCATATGGTTTTGACCAATCAGAAACAAGTATACTGGGACAACGTGGTTTTTCCCTTCTGCCAGTATAAGGATTTGAAAGTGAATAGTTCTTGGTATTTCCGTTTTTTTTCTACACTTCCTGAAACCACCACTTGCGCAGTTGTGTTGTACGCATTCAGCAGGAGAGTCGCCAAGTCGCTGTGATGACGCTCAGCTCAAACAGTGTATCTCCTGGGTAATAAATTCTGTGTAATAAATTTCTAAAGTTTGTCCACAGCTCCATAGGGATTGCTGGAGGAGGCGGGATTTGAGACCTATACTGCAGCCTGTCACCAGAGTCTGCTGTTCTCAGGGTGGCTTCACCCAGGACGCCGTCCATTCTACATACAGTCTATGGATAAGACCGGGAAGTATGTATTTTTTTTGTCTCATGTGAATATACTTTGTTTCTTGGGGCTTTATTTTATGTATACAATGTTAATATGATTCTTTTGTGTATTTATATGTTCAGGATGACCACTTCAAACAAACTTGAGCACGTGAGGAAAAAATGTCACCTCGGGTCCTCTCAGTAGAGCGGGTCCTCGCAGTGGAGGTTTGAAGCCAGACCCCTCTCCCTTGCATCTGCTGTGTATGTGGTCATGTAAATGGGGACCCATGTTCAGGTAAGCCTGAAAACATGCACCTGAATCTCTAACCCTTAGGCCAAGATTTGCAAATGCTGGATCTAGTAGTTCTTTAGTTCGTTTGTTTTCTAATTCCCTGCTAATAGGTAAATAAAGGACTTGTCAAACACTCAGGATTTGTGGCTCTTTATCAGATTTATTATGACAAAGACTCAGCACTGCTTAGATTAGAGGGATTTCATTTTGGGGGCACAACGTAGGGAGGGAGGAACAGTTTATTTTTCTCAGAAGTACTCTAAACTCTGACTTACCATTACCAGATGGCCAAAGTAAAAAAGGCGTGAGACTTTACTTTCACGGAAAGCAGTTATAATATTTCCAGCACAATTTGGTCTAGTTTTGGTCAAATCAGGGAAACTAAAAACACCTAATGTGATTAAGAGGTTCATCCTGATGACTGCAAATACAATCATCTGATTAATTATCTGATGTCAGGGGACCATACAATCATGAAATCATTCAAGTCAAATCTGCTGATGTTACCTATCATTGTCAGGACTTGCTGTATACAACAAGTATTAATATCTGACAACGATCAGCTGACCAGCACTTATTCCTGCTGCCCATTTGTGCTCATTTCTAGTGCCTGCTCATATTTTTATCCATATTTTCTTCCTTTTTCTGTCTCTTTGATTGTATGCCTGAGGAATGTGTATTTTTGAAAATGGATGTCAGCAAGAGGGACGTCTGGATTTAATAGAGATTCATTACTTTGATTGATGCTGCAAGAATCTGCCACTCTCTGCAGACATTAGAAGATTCAGCTACATGCTTTATGGTTTATAAAAACCTCAAAGGAAACCTCAAGTCCCTTTGTAGAACTCCCTGGCGCTTTCTCTTGTCTTTCAACTTGATCTTGACAAATGGACCAGAATAGGATTTTTTTTCCCCCTGCAAATAAAGTTAGTGGGAAGGCTTTCTGGAATACTTTCTCTGCTTTTATTGGCTATGTTGTACTCAGAGGCATGATCGATAGGATCAATATTGTAAAAGGGATATATTTGGGTCTTTAATCATCTGAGAGATGCGTGAGTTGCATACAAGACCTGTAGAGGCAGACGTAAGTGAAGTATCGCTGACTGATTATTGGAATGATTTGTGTTTGGGTAAGTTTGTTACCAAACGCGGTAATCGAGCTGTTAATGAAGCAGACATGAGGTTGCAGAAAGAGAAAAAAGAAAACCCCAGAACGAGGGTTTAATTTGTCAGCTTTGTTTTTCAAACATGCGGCAGTTTACTTTCATAAATCTGAACCCCTTTGCCCGTGGTGGTGCTTTGTATGCAGAGGATTTAATAACAACATACGCTTTTTGCTTTGGTAAGGCTCTCTGAGCAATACTGCTCTATTCCAAAAACAATTTAGAATTAATGAAATGGCTTACTGTGGGTTCCATGCATATAGTTCAGGGGCGGAATAACAGAGTGAGTAGTTTTTCACATGGGTACCATAATAGTGCAACCCTCAGGGCTGACAGTGAGTCATAACACTTCCTGAATTACATATCATGGGCAGGAAATTCCGGACACCTGAAAAAGGAAGGAGTCTCAGAAAGAGCACCCCACAGAAAATCATTTCTCATTTGCTATCATTTTCTTTTCTCTCGCTGTTCAGTTCGCTCAGACAGATTCAGGAGGACGGTGCAGAGAGGGCCGGTTAAGAGCCAGGGTGATAATTTATACTCAGGATGAAAAAGTTACTATTTTCTCTTCTACTGGGGGAAACGGGCCCACCCATTCGAACTCTCTAGACACTTTTTCATGGGGTAAATAAAATGAACGATATTCACAGGAGTATTAAATGCAGATCAGGACACTTACAAGCAGATTACAGGAAAACAGATCAAAACTTATTAAGCTAGCTGGTTAAAACAAGCTCCTGTATGCTACTGTTTTTTTTCTTGTGAAAAATATGTCAAAGTTTAAATGGAAAAATGTTACAAATTAAGATTTTATCAACCAAGTCTACAAGGTTATAGAGATTTTAAGTGGTTTCCAGATTTCCAGCTCCTTTTTTTGGTCTAAAAGTTGACAGCTTCAAAGGCGCCAACCACTGCCTGAACAGACACACACTGCCTGAACAGACACACACTGCCTGGCATGACTGTTCCTCTACACAAGCATGCACGCGCACAATGTACTCTGCATGAAACATAAATACAGCCACATTATGAACTACAATCACAGCCAAAAAACAACACATACAAAAACACACACTGAGAAACTACTGCTGGGGGCAAAGTGATATTCTCTACACCAAACATGCAAAACACACAGCTGCAGTTACGACTGCTTTCTCTGCCGGAATATACCGGCAACACTGAACGCTGATAAATGATTCATGGCATTTCCATTCTTTCCATGAGCTATCTGGCTTGGTTGTAAAAACTGTTGTCTTTGTTGTACTCCGACAGTGGGCACACAAATGCTCACAGAGTGCATACTGCAATTGGACTATAAAAACTGTGCAAATGGTACAGCCAGATGCTGCCAATAATGAGGATTCTGCCTTTTGTTTAAAATCACTGTTGGTCAAAAAAAAAATGGATGCATGTTCTTGTCGTTTTGTTTTCAGCCAAAAATGTAGTCAGTGACAGGGTGAAGACTCAAATCAGCCACCTGTACACAGCTGTTAAAACAGCTAAATGCATGTTAAGGTGAGAAGAGAGACAGACAATATCCTCTGCTTCAAGGGATCAACCCTGTTAGTCCTGTTAGTGACTCCTTTCTGCAGCAGTGACAACAAAACCACCAGAGTATCATTAATAAAAGTATTGCTCATCCTCCATTCAGTGGAAGAGTAGCAGATTTGATTGTTTGTTTGTCTGATGTCAGGTGTTTAAAAAGTAAATTTCCAAGATTGTAAAGCCCAAATTCACGCCTCCTGAGGACAAGTGTTGCAAATTAGCACGTGCTAAAACACTCAAACAATGCATCTGGTTTGTCCAGAGTAATTGTGATGTCCACATCAAATAAACAATACATGAATAAATTCATCTGCTTAACTTGTTTATTTTCCAGAAGTGTGTATTGAATAATTGCCTCACAAATTATAACACTTGTTAAAGTCGTTTTTCAGTTCTGACTAATGCAAGATTCTCCTCTAATGGCTTTTCTGCCACAACTCCTCTGGGTAAAGTTTTCACCATTTTCACTAACTTTTAATCTGACAGCACAAGCAGGTCAAACCTCAGCATCCATTAGCTGAGTCATGATGAAAAACCTACAAAATATTCATCAGCTTTATGGTGCTTTAAGTGGTTTAGCAAGAAACATAAAACATAAGCTTGAGCTAGGCTAGGAAGGTGACAGTGATTAGTTTTTGTAGTGCTATATAATGCCCATCATTGATCCACATAAAACATTCTGTTTTTAATTTACTCTGGTATTTTCGGTTCATGTCAAATGATCCTCTGAGGATTTTCTAAATAAACTTGTACAAAACGGTCATGGCTGGTAGTTCCTAGTTGAATTCAAGAGTAAAACACAGGCTGTAAGGAAGCTTGTGTAGCTGTTTTCACAAGTGACCTATGTATAAAGTAGGGCTGTCAAAGCTGACATCATAATATCCAGTTAACACTTGCCATTTTTTTTTATGTATTAAGTATTGTATTAAGAACAAGGAGCATGCAAACCTCCTTGAAATTAAATGGATAAAAAAATAGTCTTTTGAGTGACAAATCTGGCTCCAAAACACTGCCGGACAGTTCTCTATAAGTGCTATTGCAGTTAATTGTGAGTAAAACCCCATGAGCAATCATTCAATTAGTTGTGATAAAACATTTCATTGATAAACGGCTGTAGTATAAAGTGATTTACAACAGATGTTGTATTATTAAAGTTTGTGTTACAGTAAATGTAGTGTAGAGATTAAGAAAATTAATAGATAAATAAATAGGTGCTCCTTTCACTCATATTTACGGTAAGAAATGAAACTCGTGAGTCATATGTACATATACTGGTTATTAAACAGGATCCATGTGGATGCCATATTTGTATTAATACAAAGATAAAAACGCAACAGTTAGCTAGCCACTAATGCTGTGTTCGAGTCACCTCAGAAGTCAGATATCAAAGCTGGGAATGGTGTCACACCCAAGTTACCAGCATTTCAGTTACCAAGTCAGAAAAAAGCTAAATCAGAGGCGGAAACAAGATGGCTACATCCACAAAAGCAAGGACAAGGCAAGCGCTAAAGTAACTTTCGTAGATGTAGCCATCTTGTTTCCACTTCCGATTTTGCTTTCTTCCAACTTGTTAACTGAAACACTGGTAAGTCGGGTGTGACATCATTCCCAGTTTGGACCTCTGACTTCCAAGGTGACTCGAATGCAGCATAAATACTCTGACTTGATGCTCATTGGTGATTATCATCGGGGTTCACAAGAGTTGATCAGGATGAAATCAGAATAAAAGAACAACACTGAGGGACAGCAAAGGCGGGTGAATTACTGATTGTGCCAAATGATGTGAAAATAAGCATTTAAACCGTGATGAAAACAAACATCTTTTTCTTTTATACACAAAGTGCTTTACAAAAACAAGAAACCAAGTCATACCTCAGCTAACATCATGCTGGTTCATTTCTGCAGATTAGCGTGCCAAAGTTTATATTAGCAGGAAGCACAATGGTGTCCCAGCGACATCCTACAGAGCTGCTGACTGCATGACTCACTTCTGAATACATTTGATATTTTTGTTTTATATGGCAGAAAATAGAGCCAGCATGTTGGTGGATCGGTTGTCGCTCCCACCTCACTCGCAGAAATGTTCCTGGCATGCTCGTGTTGTGCCGGTTTCCTTCCTTCAGGTGTTTTGGCTCATTCCCACAGTCCAGATACACGGTCATAAGGCTAACTGTGTTGCTGCTAGAATATGAGTGGGAATAATCGTCAATTTCTGTGGGTCAGCCCTCTGATTGACTCTTTCCAGAATGCACCATGCCTCTTGTCGAGTGAAAGGTTTAACTCTGAAAAGAGAGCTAGAGAGATGCAGTTGGTGATTTTGTAATTTGATTACCAAAGGGTTACAAAGTCATAGAGGGTTTTTAAAATTATACTCACAGTTGAAGCGCTTGTAGAAACGTCGTTTGTCTGAGTGCAAACAGCACATTTTATGATATTTTGTCAGGAAACAACGTGATTCCCATCCCTTGAAGCAAAGCTGTGGGTGACTGTTTTTCTGCTAAATCATATGACTGACTCCCCTCACATGGCCTAAAACACAGTCATACAACTCCACGTGTGTGTGTGTATGTGCACACACACTCACACATTCAGATACACACCTCCAATGTCACAAGTGCAGAGCAGGGCGCCCCAAGCACTAAGAGGGGGAGCTTAGGGCCCTCTATGAGCAACAGAGCACAACGGACAGAGAGAGAGATAGAAGGGGGAGAGAGAGGAGCGGGGAGAGAGAGAGGGGACGAGGGGCAGCGCTCTGAGCCACAGTGCAGTCACAAGCAACGAGTGATGAGAGAGGACAAGGTCACAGATCATAGACGAGGGAGATATGGGCAGTCATGTATGGCAACATACCTCCTCACTACGACTCCACCAGAACAGAAAATAGAGCACATAAGCTGAACCCTGTGACACATCTGTGCACATGCTCACAGCTCCGCATTTATGAAAAAAGATTTCGCTTGTACCCAAAAGACAAAAACAACCCACACAAAATTAAGCGGTTTGATTTATTCATCTATTTATGCTCAGGGCACAAAACCTTTGTTGATATAACATGCTAATTTCTGCATGCTAATATTCAAGCTATTCAGGCTTTTGTTAGCTTATCGCCTCATATGCTATGCTCTTTTTATTTGTAACAGAAGAGCACTCTCTCAAAGAGTTCTGCTTTCAGATCCGTATGCCTTAACCTCACTGGTGCCCCCGACAGTCAATAGTAATATCACATGAGCTGACCTGAGTACAGGGCCTAGAGGCAGTTTGTTAAGCTGGTTCCCTGGTGAGTGCTTTGCAGACGGGTGTTGCCCAGAGTTGAAGTCTATTAGTTCGAGTTTATTTACAGCCAAATGCCCAGAGACCCGCCTCTGTAATGTTGTTTGGGGGAAAATAAGAGCTGAAATTGAATGAAAAGCATCACACCACATGCATAATTCATAGATATCATTATCAAGCGCATGCAGACGCACAGATCAGCGAACACATAAAAAGCACAGAGAACACATACTCGAGAATACAAACGGGCGAAAACGTACGCACACAGGTCATTATGTGTGCTTATTATAAGGCCTTTTCAGTCATTTATCCTGGTGCTGAACTCGGGCCAATTTTCCCAGCATGGGTCCTACTTAAGCATAATAACACAACAGCAACATCACAGCAAGAGTTGAGGACGACTCTCGGACCATGTAAGCGAAAAAGGAAGAACAATAAAAGCTCATAGACTGTGTTTCCAAACTAGCACCAGTAAAACAGGTTCTCGGCACTTTCCCGGGAGAGGATCCTATTGCATTTAAACAGGGTATCTTGCCGAGCACGGCTGACAATGTGTTTGAAGTATTTGAGTGTGCGTCTGTATGTACAAAGGAATAGAGCAATTGAGGTAGAGAGAATCATGACGAAGGGTAATGAGAAAGGCGAGATGAAGGCAGGAAATTAGAAAGTGTGACAGATACAGTGAGAGGCTTGGAGGAAAAAAATAAAAAAGGAGCGGGAGGTGGAAAAAATGTATTTTCTCTCTGTATTTGGCAGCATTGTACCTCGTCTACCTCTCGTGGGGCCCTTTGACCTTAGACTCTCTCTGATGTACTTTTGCAAACCTTAGTTAAGCAGCTCACGGAGCCCCTGCACACACACACACACACACACACACACACACACTCAGTCGGGTTGTTTTAGAACAAATTGGCTTTAATACTCTGATGTATGCATGCACACATTTGCACACACATGCCACACACATTTTTGGACTGCCATTAAGAGTGCTTACTGAAGCAGTACCCTGGTGAGGAGAGAATTGAGCAGGATTCTCCAGTGAATAGTCAGAGATTCTGGTTTCATTCAGGAGACAAATGAAGCGTGAGCAGTCTGAAGGGCGCACACCCACACTTAAAACACACGTACACACATTTAGTCCTGCGCCGAGCATATAGACACTCGCACAGTCCTCGCGAAGCAGGATGTTTACACACATACACACACACACACCGCGGCTAGTGCTCAGTGCACTGTGACACCCAGCGAAAGGATGGAGCTTCAGAGCACTTCTTAATTATTGTGAGGCAGCCAGCTGTGTTAGCCAGGGCAAGAGAGGAAGAAAGACAAGGCGAGAGCACGGGCCTGACATGATCTAACATGTGCACACACACACACGCAGACCCACACACACACACACACGGAACCTGCCCGCATCTTGAAGATGAACAGTGGTTGTTAAGTCTCTCAAACTCCAGCAGAAAGCGCTCACTGATTGATTGGGAATATACTTCACACACACTTCAGGCTGGTAAAATAACAGCTAAGGGAGCGAGAGCGGAAGGAGAAAACTCCAGAAAGGAGGAGGTATTAAAAAGAGATGAGAGATGAAAGTGAATGGAGATGGCTCTCTAATGCTTTTCCTCCTTCCCTCCTGAGATCTGTGAGCAAGTGTGTGTGTGTGTGTGTGTGTGTGTGTGTGTACTTCTGTGAGTGCGCAAAGAGTATAGAGAGCTCTGTGAAAGATGAAGAGCATTGTTTGAGACGTGCTCTTGTTATGTTGTGCGCCGTATTCGTAGACTTCTCACACTCACTGAAACTCCCACTGCTCTTTCAACCTAATTGAAGCCTGCTCGCTGAGACGCCGTGACGTGTGATGTGATCAAAGGTTAGCGCACAGAGGAGGAATGATGTGTAATTTTCAAATCGATTCAATATTGTGTTATTTCTCATCTTTACAGTTTCATCAGCGTCAAAGAAAGTTTAAAACAAGTGTATGAAGTTGTGCTGAGGCTGCAGGCGGTAAATAAGAGATCTAGTGTGGTTGGCAGGGATCTTTTTATACTTCTGATGCGTCATTTTTTTTCACAGCGTACTCTGGAATCAATTATATACACAGAGTTTATTTTCATTTTAGCTCTCCCCGGGGGCCATTCGCTTGCCGAACAATAAGCAAGATGGCACAAGTACCTGCCAACCTCTTCGAACACTTTAAACAAGGATCAACACAAAAGGCAAACAATAAAGTGGGGGAATTGCTCCTTTAGTAGATCCTTAATGAAGAAAAGCAGTTTTATTTCAACAAGTCATTCATTCAGCCTCCTTTTTTTAAGAGCTAACCTCAGCTGTGCGAGACCTTAGTGGACACTTTCGAATAAATCAGTGCACACATAATAAAGCTGTCTCATCCATCCTGAACTCAGGGTATATGTTTGTGTGTGTGTGTATGTGGATGTATGTGTGTGAAGTTGCAGGTAAAAGCTCAACCAGCCTGTCTGAGAAAGTGAAAGAAACAGAAAGAAAGCAAGACAGTTAGAGACAGAGAGAGAGAGAATCCCCCCCGGCTCCAACAAACCTTTATCCTCCATGCTTTATCCTCAAATAGTGCTGTTCTCAAAGTTCAAACACCTGGCAGTGATTCTTGCCTTCTGATTTATTCCTCCTCCATATTTCCACCTTGGCCCAATCCTCTGTTCTCTCCCCTGTGTTATCTTTCTTCCCTTCCTTCCTCTTCTGATTATTTTTTCCTTAAAGCTTTTTCCTTTCCTTTAGTCTAAATCACACTTCGTTAACAGTCTCTTTGATAAACCATGTAAATAAGTCCAGTTTCGGTCTCATTTTGCTCTAAACTGAAGCCCTTCTGCCTTTTAATTATTCACTTTTATGAAAACTAAACATTGTTTTAATGTGCTATTGAAGCTAGCACCTGTTAATCAAGATACAGCAGTTGAAGTGGGAGACCGAAGCATATATTTACACCTGTGTACACACACACACACATTCACACCCTCACACTCGTGGATGTTTGTGGTTAGAAATGCACAAACACAAACACAAGATGAAGGAACGAGTGGCAGAGCCTTGGGGTGGCCTGGAGCTGTTTCCCAATCAACGCCACTGGGGAGAACAAGAGAGACCTTCAGTTTCTACACTGGGAACTCTGAGTGGGCTTCAGACGAACACACACATACACACCTACACATACACACACACTTACACACGAGCACCGAGATGCATACATCCGCCCACGGATAGTCTCCTCTTCAGAGGAACACATTTAAAACCATATGACATGTGAGGGCGTCTCTGATCAAACTGGCGACAGTCTGACGTGACTCATGCACGTACACAGAAACAGTCTCTGAATTCCTGTTTGAAATATACAGATTTGCATTACACACCGCGCACACAGGCTTGGAGGGGAAAGAAAAATGATTATATTTTCAAACGAAATCTTCTCTCATTTATCTGCTCTGTTTTTGACATTGGGATTTTAAAGAAAGTCGTCTTTACTGACAATTAAATCAAAATCCTGCTTTACTGAAAGGTGTTGAACCCCGGTACTTAACAGCCCAGTGTGATGGCCTGAACACAGACAGACGTCAATCATTGAGAATTAACTTATTTAGAGTCTTAGTCATGCAGCTTAGCCTTCAAAGAGCTATACTGTTGTAACCCGACAGACTGTTTTTACTACACATCCATCGTAAGAGAAATATTTCACATCCATCTGGGCAGCACCCTGCAGATGGTGTTTGGGGAAGGTAGAGCCTCTCCAAAACCATCAAAACGAAGAAGCTCTGAGGGTGATGCACAAATGTTCCATCTTGTCATGTTCATTACAGGCCAAACGGAGCAGCAAAACATATGATGTGGCAGGTGTGTGCTGCTACCATGGAGTAAACTACAGAATTAACTATAATACAAGTTCAACAGGTACTTGTCCTATAGGTTGGCTGTAAGCTTTGAATATTTCAGTCCAAAGACAATTCTCAAACATGGACTTAATTAACATAGCATCTGCATATGACATATAAAGTAACACTCTCTATCAAGCTGCAGTAATAAACCTCTGCAGTGAGCGTATTTCACCAGCTCTGATATAACTGCTGTTATTGTTGCATCCATGGTAATCTCATTGTTTACAGGTATGCAGCTGCCTCTTTCTGCCACAACTTAACATGCCATTTATCACTTCTTACTCCTCATATCACACTAATTAGCCCGCTTTTCAAGGTACAGAATTTTACTGTGACAAAACAGGGAAGTAATACATTTGTTTTTGTTAGAGATTAAATGACATTTTACTGAAAAATAAATAAATTAATACTCTGAATATTTTAGAATTCATCCATTACAGTAAGTGTAGTAATATTATTTAGTAGAAATAGAAAATCCTTTTGCAGTTAACATGGTACGGCTTCAAATTACAGTCTTCCTGCTTGTGGCCTGATCTGCTTTTATTGGTCGAAGAGGAAAATGGGTAGTAAATGACAGAGAGTTTAACAAACATCCAAACTATTACGAAATAGCAGTAACGTAAATAACTCTAGGTCATAACAATGAGCTTGAATTCTCAGGATTCTTGTGTAGAAATCACTTTCAAGTAGGATGCAGAGTAAGAAGAATTGGTTATTCCTTGGCTGTGAAAGAGAAACTCATTTTGTGTTTCTCTGTTTATGTGTGTTTTTCTAAGTGGACAGGGATTAATAAAATTGATTTCTGTTTTAATACTAAAAAAATGATTCATCAGGCTTTAGTATGGTCCATTTGCTGTGGGCGGCCCCTTGTCTCGCCAGGCCAGCCTCTGTGCAACAAAATCTGGCCTCATGACAGGCTGCTACATCAAAACAACCATAGAAGGGCACAGAGTGGCTCTCCTGAAAAAGATAAAATAAATGAAAATAAACCTGGAAGTACAAACTTTAGAGAAGATCAGGACAAAAGCATCACTGTATGTAAGATGACTACCAAAGAGATAAAATATTGTAGAGATAGAACAACTCTCCAAAACCATTTTACAAAGCATCACACAGGTATGCAGTCTGCATAGACACACAGTCTGAAACAAAGCACCTGGCCGAAGACGTGCCGCAAGCGCAGCGTCAATCAGATCCACCGCGCTGACAAGGCGTTCCCAAGCACATTTTGGTATTTTGGTGAGCCGCGCAGTCCGGCGTAAGTATCCCCCCTCCCTAACTCAGCTCCTCCCGGCAGCATAAGTCATAGACGGGGAGGAGAGAGGGCGTGGAGTCGGTTTAACACAGCCGAGACCTGTTTTCACCAATCACATAAGCTCCTCTCCTTGCCTTTAAATCCGCCACCGGCGAGGCGTATTACTATTTTCATGAAGTAGTCAAAGAGATCAAGAGATGTCTGAAGACAGTTATGCCACACGATGGCGACAGAGGGCAGCTGCTCAACAAGTGTCCTCCACACTCTCTCATCTGAGCACAGATAGATTTGGTGTGCGTAATGTTGGACCCACTGGTAAGACAAACATCCTTTTCCACAAAAAAGACACTCACATAAAGTTGCATATATTCAAACCTCACGTGACAAAGGTGGGTTGAGCGCACAGATCACAACATAAACTCCAAAAATGGCATTAAAATCGGAACCATCTGTGCGTAAATGACGCATCGCGCTCCGTGGCCTGGCTCTTTCTTTCATAGATGTTGGCATATAAAATAAATTTGGCCCACAAAACTGAATATTATAATATCCGTATGTCGGCTTAAAGTAGATAACGCATCTGAGCACTGAAACAAATCAGCTGTTCAGCCGCAGCAGCAAGCAAGACGGACAGAGGACACGGAGACGTGTCCAGGTCGAGCTGTGCGAGAAATAAGAGGAAGAAAGAAAAGGAGGGAGACACATTACATATCTTGTTAACTTCATCATGTGTGTTTATTTACTAGATATTTAATTTAATTTGATGCAGTTTCAGCTGTATTGATTCGGTCAGGTTGTGTGCCCAAACGCGTGCCAAACGCGCTCATCAGATCAGATATAGATCAGAATATATCGATATAGATCTAAGTGTATGTGCTGACTCAGATTAATAGTTGATGATGATTATTTATTGCACTGAAATGCTTTCAGCGCACGTTACACGCCGGTGGCGAGCACGAAAATGTCACTGCGCCGGCTGATTCTGTCAACACCTCCCCCTGCCACGCCACCACGCCCAGCTTGGCGGATCTCGGCTCGCCTCCGTGCGACTCAGTCCACGAAAATACCAAACTCGCCTTACGCCGGGTTCCACCAGACGAAAATACAACTGCGCGGGGCTCGCCGCCCTCCGCCGCCTCACCGGCGCGAACGAAAATAGAGCCCACAGTCTGAAACAAAGCACCTGGGAGAAGGTGTTTACCTTTAGCTAACCATCCAGCTTTCTGCATGACCTGAAACCCCATGAGGCTGTTGCGGGTTTCATATACCTCTGCACAGCACAGTCGAAAATGAAGCCTCCAAAGCCTCATTAGCAATCCCTGCTGTTTTTTACAGACATGCAAACATTTCAGTGAAGTGGCCATTCATGAACTTTTGCAGAGTTGAAACACAACCTTGCATCTGCAAAGCCCAGGTTTTTATCAGACCTGTTTTGTCTTGATCCGCCAGATCTCAAAGGGACTGAACTGAAGGACTTCATCAATTAACATTCATAGCTGTTTGTTTGTGTGTTTCATTGTTCTTCAATGTGGACCAAATGTTGTGTTATAATGGTGTTTTCATTAATAGCTGGGGTGTAACATTATGAACACCTGGCTAGTGAACGGCACAGTGGATGTAGGAATCCAATTAGCCAGTTGGTACTATATGTTAGTACGTTATAGTATGTTAGTACTACTTATTTCTGACCTGGGCCTTATTAAATCTCGACCGAAAACGTATTTATTTATGCTGGCTTTTGATTCCCAGTATTGTGGTGACCCTTTCCTTTATTTTGTTGCTTTTTATTGTTTTCATTTATTCATTTTAATCTACTATGGATTGTAAGGCACTTTAGTTCACCGAAACGGTTGTTGTAAAAGGCTGTATAAAGAACATGGAAGACAGACATGCAGCATCATAAAAGTGGTGTTGACAGTTTTAGAGGGACGAGTGAGATTAGTTTTAAAAATTCATATAGTCTATTGATCATTTTTAGAAACAAAAAATAAAAAATAAATTCATATGATTGAGGTTACATGCACACAGAAACTGGGTAATCATATGCCTTTAGACGTGATATGTAATTATATTATTCCCTGATTACTGCAAATGGTTTGCACAGCTGCCAATAATGTTATTTTTTATTTTTATTTTTTTATAACACAAGCCCTAATGTTCCCTCTGTAATTCAATCAATCAATCAATCAATCAATCAATCAATCACTCTTTGTTTGTTCAGCATCAAATCCCAACAAACGTTACCTCAAGACGCTTAACTAAAAAGCTGGTCCAGACCACACTCTATTTAAAAAGACCCAGTGTAAAGATGGGATCAGATTGAGCCCCATCTTGTAAGACGCAACCCACTCCCATTCCATCTTCAACCTCATGAGTGAATCACTTTACAGCATTTATCAAGTTAAAGTGGAGAACGTCCTTTAACAGGCAGAAACCGCGAACAGAACCAGACTGATGTGAGACAGTCATCTGCTGAGACTGAGCTGGGTTTAGAGAGGGGAGAGAGGGAGATGGAGAAAGAGAGAGATGGATAGAGGAGAGACTGATAGAGGGAGATGGAGAGGGAGTGAAAGAGAGATGGACATAGGAGAGACTGATGCGCATAGTAAAGCAGCTAAAACTCAGTATCTCTGTTGTTGATTCATGACTAGGTTGAGCCCATTCCTATGCAGGTAGTCAGCAGCAAAATCCTTGACACACATGCAAATACACTCAGTGTTTGTTAATCTCAAAACATTTTACAGATAAAAGAGTAAATTAAATTGAGACACACCAATTAAATTCAATTAACTGTGCATACTAACTTAATGTTTTCGAGGCAAGGTCTGCAGATGTGTACCTGAACCTTACAAGCAATACCAATGAGTAGACAATAATATATCTACAGTGAATGCACAAAAGCACAATGTAATACAAAACAAAAACTTTGGGAGTTAAATAATTAAAGCATCCAAGCGGTATTAAATGCAGTACTGTTGAATCTGCAGAGGCAGATGGCGAGTGGGAAAGGGGTCATGGAAGCATCGCCCCATGAGGTAGCTATAGAGAGTAAGACTGCATGGAAAATAAATCATGACCATTAAGGAGCATGAACCAAACCCCCAAGGTGAAAGTGGAGAAGTATTCAAACACACATTTTGCAGATTGTGCAAACAAAGACTATTTTTAATGAATAAGAGGGACAAATCCAATGAGCAGTGATGCGGTACAGTAACCAGCAGGAGTCTGGTTAGAGTTGACAAATACCTCACAGACTGTACAATTCAAAGTAGTAGGACAAGGATTCGGTCTGTAGCTAACAGTTTACCATGAGTAGTCATAGAAACCAAAATGTCATGTGTTGTGACAGTCTTAGAACAACCATTTCTTATGTCTCGAGTCCATAGGCAGAAGTTGTCCAATACTACCCAGATACAGCCATGTAGCAAAGCTCCTATTGTGACTGAAATACCCCTGGAAATGTAATTCTTGAAACTGATGATAAAAATTGGGAATAAAACTATATCTTATTTATGAATTTCGTGTGCAACTTGGCTCCTTATTTACATGATCATCTGGGCCAGATTTGAAGGTTAGGACAGTAAAGCAGGTCAGAGAGTTTTAATAAAGAAAACTTGAAAAATTACAAATAAATGATGTAAAATACAAATAGAAACATTTCACAATTAGAGCTTTTTTTCTGCAGAGCTCGAGTAGCTCATTAGCAATTCGCCTCTGAGTCGTGGGCAGAGACAGCGCTGCTCTGCATACTGGTCTTCATGCTAGGTTGTAGCCTAACATTGCTTGTGTAGTAAAAGTTGCAGGTAACATAGGAGCTATTAAGCTCTCAGAGACACTAATGTATTTGGGGGCATAATAAAAGTTAATATCATAATTAGCTTTCTTATGAGCACTGCAATCCGCTACAGACACGCTTGTTCCGCGATAATCGTCTCTATTTCTCCTGAGCCTGGCCTGCATAGCGGGGCTCCAGGGGCGAAGCTTGGATTGGTTACGTATGAAATCTCACTGTTTCTGAACCTGCCGTCTGGGTCTGCCAGAGATACACAGCGATTTGAATGAAGAAATACTCAGAAAAGCAATTTTGCATTTAGTTTTCTCATGATATGTCCTGTAGCATTAGAAAAATGCCATATGAACATACAAAGAACAAGAAGAGGGTCTTTAAACATATTTATTTACAGGGGCGGCAGTGGCTCAGAGGTGAAGTCAGTTGTCTTCCAATTGGAAGGTCAAGGGTTCAATCCCAGATCCCACTGTCAACATGCCAATGTGTCCTTGGGCAAGACACTTGCAATCATCTACCCTGTTGGCTGCATCCAGTAGTGTCAGTCAAAAAAGCAAAGGGCCCTATTAGGGGTGTAAGGGTACACATAGTTTTAACTGTTTCAGTACAGGACTTATGGTACACTGTGCATGCATACTGAGCTAAAATCCTAGTTCCCACATGGCCATAAGACAGAAACAGACTACACATATGGACATTCGTTTCCTGTGTTTCAAGAGGCTCATGCAATCAGCAATCCATCCAGCAGTTGAATGTATTAACAGTGTATAGATTCATTCTGTATACCTCTATAATTCAAACATGTCTTTGTAAGTATATTGTTGGTGCCCTTTGCATCTTTGATCATTACTTCCTTTGTTGTAAGCTGTAGGATCAATGAAGTTCCTTATTTTATTTCTCACTCCACAGAAATCAAGTCATTTTAAGTTTCTTGTACTTTTGTATAGATTTTCAATCATCTCTCCACCACCGTTGCAAACCCACTCTCTTACAAACAAGAGTGAAAATAACTCTAAAGTTGTGAGTCATTCAGTGTTTTGTAATTGTACTTTTACAGGGCTGGAGTGCCACAAAGATCTTATTGGAAAGCAGTTGCTATTACTCGGACCTTTTGTCCAAAGAATAACACATTTAGCAGCTCCAGGTCAAGACCTTCAGTACAGAACCTTGCACCCGTACCCAGAACACAACAGGAAGTCTGGATGCTTGCAGCTTTAACAAGCCATATCAGATATTATGTTTTTGCTGTTGTGTGTTTGAAAAGTCTTCAGACTGGGAGGCTCTTTTAGTGCTTTCTTTTAAGTGCTGAAACTTCTCTGAGACCTCTAGACTTAGAATCCTAGCCAAGTCTAACTTGAACATTTCCAAGTCACCATCAAAAGGAGAAAAAAGAATAAACATTTAGTGATTGATATTATCTTTAATTACACCTGAAAATGTGTTTATTACTTCATAAACAGTCACAGTTGACATTAGCCTTTAATTAAGTTGCACCCATTGTTTTCTTTGATTTAAGTTTGTGTATACAAGAGCTTATCATCGGCATAAGAGTTGACTTAAGGTAGAGGAAATACAAATGTTGATACTCCTCTGGATTTTGAAGATCTAAATGACTGGGGGACATAACTGCGATGAATTTTAGTTTCAACTGAATGTCATTGTCTTATCCTGTTACAGTAAGGTTCTGTAAGAGATATGGGATGTGTCAGACCAGCATTTACAATATTCAACATATTTTACCTCAGGCAAAAGCACATTAAAGATAAACAGGCTTTCGTTGTTTTGATGATACTGAACATGAATTAGAGCATCTGAACATTGTCGGAGTAGACTTTGGGACTTGCCCTGCTGCTTCAAATGTGGCGGTGGGAAATGGTGACACTGAAAAAATAAAATAAAAACAACAGGATTAGAAACTGATGGGTATATGAAATAAATGTGTATAAAGAAATCAATAGCAGACTAAACATTAACTCAGTGTAGGAGTTTTAACACGTTAATTGAATAATGTTTGACTTGAAAATGATAATACTGATAAAAGTTTTTTCTTTTTTCATTTGACTTAACTCATGTATCACATGTTATATTGGCAGGAAGACCCTGCATCCAAAGTTAAAGGGATATTTTGGCGTAAAATTAAGTTAGGGTCAAACACACTATAATAGTAAGACACCCCGTTGAGAGATGAATGTTGCAGACCGCTTGCTTATCTAGTTATACCAACTTTAGTAATGGCCGCAGATAGCAATACAGAGAGCCACGCGCTCAACCAAAAAGCCACTCTATAGCCACAAATAATGCTCAGAACAGCACCTAACTTCATCAACAGTACATATAGTGTCCCAGCCAAAGTACTAGCCATCAAACATATTTTAAGTTTTGCCTGATTTCTTTAGCAAAGAGACAAAACACAACTCACCCACTCTCTCCCAGCAGCTGCTTGTTTGTACGGAGATGTCTGGACAAGTCCATCAACTGCAGCGGGAGGACGCAGCTCAAGGAAGAACATTTATGTCTGTGTGTAAAAACCCTTTGTTAGCTTTGCAGAATACTGCACAATAGGACATAACCAAGCTTATGATTCCTAATTTCATTAAGTGTTGGTATTGACACTGGCAAACCTGATTAGAGAATTGGTAAACTAGCCAAATAAACATCTGTATGTTCTGTTCCAACTCCACTAGTTCTAATATCAGCTTTTAACATGCCAGGGGCTTTATTGTATAAGGATCCAGAGCAGCAGCTGAGAGGTACTCAGAGCTGTCAATCACATCAATCATTAGAGTGTCTCTGTGAGGACAATGAAACCACCTCTATAACAGGGTGGAGAGGTGACTGCTAGATGTGTTCGTCATAAAATCGGAAGTGATATTCCAAAGTTGAAGATTGAAATGAGACAGAAACTGCTGTGATGTTAATTACCACTTGCTGGGAAAGCTTAGTCATTATTATTAACAGATGTCAAGAACTGCTTATAGAGTGAAGCTTTTAGCAGACTGATGGGAAAAAAAAGGCTCAAAAAATTCTACTGAACATGGACCTATATTATACCTATGGTGAATGCACAGTCCTGCAGTTTGCACTATTAATTCACAGTAAACACCTGACAAAACAGTTGAAAATATTTTTTTTGTAGAAAGTATTGCTATTATCAAACAAATTATAGCATTCTACATGATTCATTTCACATGTTTTCTGCTGTAACAGGAACAGCTATTTACTGTAGTCAAAAGAATTTCAACGAATAATTGTCATTTTGTTCACGTTATTTTCTTGTTCTCTGCATGGTTACATGGTTCCACTGTTTATAATGGAAAATAACTGTTTAAACTACACTTTACAGTATATTTTTGTGATTAGTTTACATTTAATTTGTTTGAACATAGTATGCACAGTATGCACTAAATTACTGAGTGTACAAAGAGACTTAACATGCTTTAAATCTGCAATTCATTGGTAAAATAAATTTACCAATAAATAAAACCCAAGTAAGAGCTGCAGAAACCCATGACTTGTATTCAAGTCAATTGTCTAAATGTTTAATAAACAGTGTCCATCTATTTTGATAGATCCAATAGATTTCAATGGGATTAAAGTGACTCTTTAATATTAACTTCCTGTGTTTGTCATTTGGTTTAAATGGCTGGTTAATTTGTGCAAATATCTGTAAACAGTTGGTACTCATTACAATCACTTTTTCCCCTTTTCTTCCTCAGAGCAACACAAGAGAATAATCAACATATTTTTCATACACGTTGAATTTAAAATTGCACTTGCATGCTAGTTAAAAGACAAATATTAGTGTTTGTTATCGCCTTAAAAGAGGAGTGGAAAATTACAGTCTAACTTTAGGATACAAATGAAAAGTGAGCCATTTCGGAGCTCTGTTGAAACAACAAGAATGACAGTGTAGACCTCACCTGTTTGAAATATGACCCTTCGGTGTTATGTATTCAAACGTTACATCGGTGTTAGAATAGGCATGCACTTTACTTACAGTTTTCATCCTTCATTAAACCTGACTGACATATCTACAGGGGTGTCAAATGACTGATGAGCATTCACCCTTTTCCTGCTGACGTACCAGTGAGAGGAAAACTGCACAAGCACTTGTTTCCTGGGTATTAAATACTGAATCTTACTAAAGGTGCAATATGCTCATTTAACCCTTAGGCCCTTCTGTGTACATTTCTTGTTCTTTCAGATGGGTTTTTATGCCGTTCATTTTGGAAAGTAGGGCCCCAGGGCCACGGACAATAACTGCAAACATGTTTTAGATTAGGAAATCTGGAACGAAAAGGACATGATAAGAAACAGATACAGTTGTAATGTACATAATGATCCAAAGATGGGAAGAAAATTGATGATGAGGTTAAATCTATTGATCTGGGTCAATCCAGATGTTCCAACAATCGAACAATGATTCAGCCAAATTATTGGAAAGTAAAATCATCATCTGCATTGACCTCTTTATGATACGCTGCCACTGGATAATCAGCCCACCCGTCTCACAGTTTCTTCAAGGTGTGCTCAGGCATTGATCCCATGCTACCCCTTGCAATGAGCATTGGTACCATGACTACCACTGCCTGCTCAACCTCCTTTGACCAACTTTTTTTTTTTTTCATCAATAGCTCAACCAAAACTCAATTTTTCATCTTTAAAGGCTTGAGGCTTTGCAGTGATGTTGAAAAAATTTTTTTTTTCTGAGAGCCACACTATACCACAGAGCCACAACACTAAATCGCAGAGAAACAGCACTTAAGTGAAATGGTTTACAGGGGCAAGTCTAGGGGGGATAAACCAAAAGTTTACAAGTCCTAAAAGAGTAGCTTTCACTGTATTTAAATTCAAGGTGGTAGAAGGAATCAATGTATGATTTAAAAAAATAGCACTCAAAGAAAAAAGTGTGGCACTTCACACAAAAAACAATGGCCTTTGTTCTCGTGGTCATGGAGATGTTAATGTTTTAATTCAGATCTCTAATAAGATTGTGAAAAAGCTTCCATTTTATTTTCCCTCTGGCTGAATTATAAAAAAAGTGTGTCAGGCTGGTATTGTCTGAAATGGATCAAGGCTGTTGTATGAAAATGAATCAAGCTTGTATTGTGGCAGAATTTGAACAATATAGTCTAGTTGTTCAAGGAATCAATATGATATAGTACTGTGATGATATTTGTGCTGATGGTGAAGGATTGCTGTGCCAGTCCAGTGAGTTTCAAGACAAATGTTTTGAAGAGTGGTGTATAAAGTACCTAAAAGCCATACTTGAGTAAAAGTAGAGATATTGCTCCAGGAAAACGACTTGGGCAAAAGTAAAAGGACAGTAGTATTTATTTGAAAAACATTCAGAATATTGATCATTATGAGCAGATATTTGTAGCTGCAGAACACAAGTGTTAGTTATTTTGAGGCCTCGGGCAAACGCTACGGTGAGTAAGTGAATAAAATGATATCTAAAGCATTTCTTTTTGGTTCACAGAGGTCGCAGAGCTCAGGACAGAGCTGAGCGTTAATTATAAATAAGCACAGACATACTGTAACAACCACACCAGTATCTGCTCATCATCCATGTAAGCATCACATCAGAACTCAAAGTCTTATCAGTCAGACAGAAATCAAGAAAACGTACGCGCACCATCAACATAACAGCTGTCCTTCTGCCACGTTTCTTAAGTTTATTTCTGTTTACCACACTGTGCCCCCCACCAGTCTGCTCATTAATGCCAATAGATCCAGAAGAGCAGAGGTCCTCTGGTAACATTTTGGATAATAAACCTAACGAATGCAATGTGGCGCCTTATTTACATTCAAAATATATTAAAAACAATATGACAAATACAGGCCTACCTCGCATCTGCTGCTACCATTAAACAAAAAAATAATTATGAGTGTGAGACTAAATTCAGTGCATTATTGCTCAACATTATTAAGGGATTTACTTCCATCACACTCTTTCAGATAGTGTTAATACAGTGTAGTGTGTGCTCTATTTACCACTCATCATCTGCTTATCCCTTTCTCTTTCTCTCTCTCTATCTTCCTCTGGAGTCTCTCTCTCCTCTCCCCATTTTTCACCAGCACCTGCCGTCTTTCTGTCTATCTGAATTACACCGCCTGCTGTATGATCACACAATGACATGCTAATTAAACATTAGCATAGAAGAGCACAGTAATGAATAGAGATGTGGAGCATCTTATTGGTTGACATTTTTTGGAGAAGTTACCTCAACTTCCCATCCTTACTGCTGTTCTGAAACAAACATGAAGTGTCTTGTTAAGACGGCAGGCCACACTGTTGGTCCAAAAGCTTGGAGAAACAGCATAAACCTTCATTTTCTACCACAGACATGGGCTGGTTGTCCAGTGAGATGGATTCAGCCGGTATCTGTGAAATCTTTTGGCCTTTTCGCTCTCTTCAGGAGATCCGTCCTTCCTTTTTTAAAGGCCAGAGTTTGATGCTTTGGGGGCAGCATCTTTTCCCTCTGTTGCTTTAGTAAATACAACTCATTCTACTGCATGTTCAGTTTTTAGATGTTGAAGCAAATTGTTATAATAACCGAGTATTTTGGGGTTGCTGAACTGTAACAGCTGACGTTAACGATCAGCCTGAGATGATCAGTTGATATTTCTGATACCCAGTCAGTTAGAAATGTGCAGATTGGCTCCAATCAGAAATCACCCCCAGTAAACTATGTTCAGAGAGAGAATGTGCTTTTCAGACAAAACCGGTTTGTTCATTTTTGCTCTAAAAATAGGCCTTTTTGAATAAGTGTGTACATGGTTTCTATGGTGCAGCCAGCCTCAGGGATCTGCAGATTCTAGCACTTCCTCATCGGCTTCACTCACACACACACACACACACACACACACACACACACACACACACACACACACACACACACACACACACACACACACACACACACATAAAGCATAAAAACCCTCTGTTATAAATAAAAGCAACACCCCCCCACCCCCACCCCTTCTGTATGCTATACTGTATGCCCCTCATATCGTTTCCCTTTTGTTTTTCAATCTCACTACTATAGTTTTTATATTCCTGTAACAAGAAAGAGAGAGAGAAAAAAAACTGCAATATAAAAATACAAACAGATAAGAAGAGAAAGGGTCTACTTAAGTTGGGATATCAGGAAAGATTTGAAGTCTTAGCTGGTGGAAATCCTGCTGTAAAATTATGTTAATCTCTCTCTGAGACAGGAGAGGGGGGTTGATCCAAAAAAAGCTTCTTTTTTTTCTTTTTTCTTTTTTTTAAAGAGATCAACTGCAGCCAGATTCAAATGCAGTGCGAGTATTTGCTAAAAGTGAAATAACGGCATCCCTCAAGTCCCATGCAAACCAAAGGATGAACCAAGGGTTGAGCAGCTCCTGGTTTCAGATTTTGAAGATTTAATCTTGAGCAAAGTCACAGAGTTGTCTCAGGCTTTGAGGCTGTTTTCGGGGACTGCAGAAATATTTACTGTACCTGTCCTCTCTCAGCTGTAATTAGTTTAGTCAGTTTGGAGAGATTCAAAGGAGCACTTTGGGATGAAGTGGATTCTAGCTCATGAGGTTATAGTGACAACCACTCCCTTTACCCTCCTCCAGCAAACATGTGTGAGAACCCACGCGAGTCCGTCTTAGGTTTTTCCATTTAGCTGTCAGTGTAAGTTAGGTGACTCTATATAAAGAGCAGACTCAGAAACATGCAGCATGCACTCAGTCAGGGCGCTTCTGGTGACCACTTTAAAGAGCTATAAAACCAAGAACCATATCTCTCTTTCCTTTAGTCAGTCTCCTTTGTTTGTTGTTTGTTTTACAGTAAATTACCGTGACACTCTGCTCATTTTAAGGGTTGGCGGAACAACACAGTAGACTCCTTAAAAAGGAGCTGCTATCTCTGGGGATTTTGAGGGTTATTTAAAGGTGGTGGTAATAAATGTTTTGTTTTTTTTTGTTTTGTTTTTTTTTCAAAAATCCATAGATCCCTACAACACCTCCAGTTCAGATGTTTAAATGCCACATAGTCATTTGTACCATATTTTTCTTGTTTTTGATCTAATTTTTTGCTCATGCTGAAGCACTTAATTATTGAGGAGAGGCCACACACAGCAGTCAGCTGAGTTTCCCCACAACAACAGGTGTTTTGAATAACAATTCAAGTATCTCTCTTCTTTTACACAATGTTCTCCAATGTTCTTCCTGAAGCATGCCCGTGTTTTCCCTCCTCATGGTTCAATTCGTTCCACCTATAACCATTCTGGATGTTATTGTTAATATTAACATCACAGCACACATTGCTTTCTTGCCTTTCATGATAAGCCTGATCATTGTTATTGCACCCACTTGCAACCTCAATTAAATTTAGAGGCTGCTTTGTCCTGGCTTTAAAGAGCCTCTGACTTCCTCCAGGGGCTTAATCCCATAAACCGCTATGACCCACAGACATCATAACTTTAAGCTGCCAGTCAAGGCAGCAATGTCAAACTACCCTCAAGTGGAAGCAAAGTGGATACAGGTCTCTCTAAATCTGTGTGTGCGTGTTTAAGTCAGTAGGACATCACTCAGTGTAGAAGTATTAATACATGACATGAAAAAGTATGGAGGTTGTGTCCAATGAAGTTCTCTCTGTACCAAACCTGCTCTGGTTTATCCTGATTTGGAAATGTGACAAATGAACAACATTTTACAGAGACATAACATTTTCTGGAATTTCTAGCTGATATCCCCCATTTTTCTTGATTCTTCTCTTACCGCTCAGTCACAGGGCTGTGAAACCAAATGCTGTGCTGCAAGAGTTTTCTGCTGAAGTTGGAAAAAAGGCACACACAAAAAATAAATAAATAAATAAATGAATAAACTTAAACAAAATGTGGTGTTAATGCAACATGAAATGCAACAAAAGCAGGCAGGAGAACTACGACAGAGTATTAGGGCCACATTGAAAAAAAATACGACTTAGAGATGAAAGTTGTTAATTTATGAGAATAAAGACATTACTAATGAGAATAAAGTCGTAATAAAGTAATTACTTACTCAAACCTGTTGTTTAAGATGACAGTTGTTGAAATGAGAGCCATAGAGCATTTTGTGAAAATGTACTTCAATATAGGTTTCTCAAACAAGGAGATACTTTAGGCACATCGGCACCACATTATTATAAGTAGCCTATCGTAATGATTTTATTACAACTTTATTTTCATAAGTATTTACTTTATAACGACTTTATTGCCATAAGTTATGATTTAAGTACGACTTAATTCTCATAAGTAATTACTATATTACAACTTTATTCTCTTAAGTTATGATTTTATTAGGACTGTATTCCCGTTGGTAATGACTTTTTTCTCATTAGTAATGACTTTATTCTCATAAGTTAGTGACTTTACTCTCAAAGTGTTAATTTTTTTTTCTTAATGTGGCCCTAATACTCTGTCATAGGGGAGCATCAAGTACATGGAACAATTCATGATTGTAAATGTTTTTTTTAAAAAATGAAACTGCTGCATGAAACGTGAGACCCACGAATATATTTCAAGAACTTTAAGCCTTGAAAAGATGTACAACAAAAGGTTTGTAGCTTTGGTATTCAGGATGATAATGTTATTCTAGGCAGGGAGGTTTTTTCCTCTACACACTCTATCTTCCATACAAGGACGCCTTAGTGTGTTATGGTTTTATAGCATGGCAGCGTTCCACTGAATACAGTAGGTTATGTTGTAATCGTGATCAGCAAGAGTGGCCTCTACACCTGTTGGCCAATCAGAAATGAGTAGTTTCTGTGGTCACGGCCTCTGCGTCCATTTAATCAGACATCTCAAATGAACTGAAGTAATAAGATGGCCAGACTCACTTTTTACCTTCCTGATAATTTCTATTAACATAATGTGCTTTATCCTCTTATCTTAAACCTTAAATCAGCTTTCAGCCCAAAAGTATTACTGAGCATCAAACTCCAGTGTGTTCTCGCCCCACTACTTTAGAAAAAGTCAACTTTGTCCAAATTTCTAACTTGAATTTCTGATATTACTCTAACAGGCCTTGCCATGAGTTGCGCCCTTTATATATCAGATCAGGTATTTTCATGTGTGTCCTGTGGTCTGTGGGACGTATGGGTAGGATAACAGTGTCATCAATATACCAACCCAGACCTGAGGGCCTGCAAGCCAGGGATTAGCCCCGGGAACAAAAGACAAAAACACCAACGTGTTTCTGTGATGTTCCCAACAAGGGATTAGAAGGTTCCCGCTGACCGGATTAAAACAATACCTACTGTTTTCTCTGTCCCTCTACACCAGCCCATTTTATCCTTTTTTCAGCTGTGATATTAAGAGATGTTTTTGCTTTCTCTTCCTCTGTTTGGATTTTTTTTTTCTGATCTCTTTATCCTCCTCCCGCTTTCTAATGGTTAAACTGTGTTTGGGTTTCTCTCCTCCTTTGGAAGGATTATTACAATCCTACTTAATCCTGAAATTCCACCTCAATGCCACATCTCCTAGTGATGCTTTTATTTATGAAGAAATACATTTTGATGAGGAAGTAAGATAAGACTTTTTAGTAGGATAGTTTTGAAATGTACCTTCCAGCAGACAAAGATTGAGTGAGACCTGAGGCAATTATGGTCAATGAAAACCAACAGTATCATAAAAAGTAAAAGGTCAAAAATATTAATGTTAGCTGAGAAAAAAAAATGAGGCTTCACAAAAACACTATAACTGAAACCGTATTACATGTTCAAAATCACAGAAGGATGTCCTTCATTTTCACTTTGGCACACAAAGCAGAGCCATGAATAAATTTTTGTTCAGACCTTTTTAACCACAAATATTGAAATCTTTTTTACGTATGATTCTTTATTTTGTCGGGTACATTCAGAAACCTGGTTTAAGATTTAACTCTGAAACATTTACAATACAGAGATGACTTTTTCTCCACCTGCTGACTTTTAATATTTGACTGGACATGTGCAAAGCAGCAGCTGCTCTCCAGAGATTATCATGTTCATATTTTGCCATTGATGGTGAAGAAAAATACATTTTTAGGACACTGCTATTCGGTTTGTACTACTGTGAGCAGGCCTGGTTAAACAGTATGACTGCAGCAGGAAGGAAAGATTCGCAGCACCTCTGTCACACACAGTGGCTGGAAAGCAGGCAAGTCCACAAAAGGTCTGCAGCAGTGATCCAGAGGAACCTACAGGATGATGGAGTTCAGGGACTCCCAGAAAAGACTGTGGCTGTTTTCGAATTGGCCTACTGCATACTCCTGCCTACCGCAGTATGCAGTATGCAGTATGACTGCAAGTCGGCTGTTATTATGTAGTATGTGTGGCCTGGTTTCGCTGGTTTCCGGTATGGAAAAGTCCATCGTACCCTGGTAAATTGCAACGACACTACAGTGTTGCCCATTCATTTACACACTAAGAAAAAAAAAATCTTAGCCCAATACCAGACCACAAAACGTGTTCTGTCTATGCAATGACTCGTTGGTCTGGTGGCATTTGATTCTCATCATTGTAAATACAGCAAAGTTATGTTACGTCAGTTATGTTGTCCTCGTTTCGCTTAAATGAAAGAAGTTGCAATCCTCGCTTAACGCGTTTTTTGATTGTGTCTGCGTAGTGTGGTCTTATTTCCCTTTGTCCCAATAGTTTGATAACTACAGTTAAAACCCTCTAATACAAACTTCTGTTTTCTGTCTACTAATGAGAGCTTTCACTGTTACTCTTTACTGTTGATGCACTGTGCTGCCATCTTGGATTATGATGTTGTTGCCAAGTCAGGGTTGGTGAGGTCAGAATTCGACTTCAGGGGTGCGTTCCAGGTGAATTTCCGACTTCCGAGTACAACTGGAACGCAGCATAGAAGCAAACACTAACATTAATATTAGACATGATAACCTTGGGGAGACCCCTGCTAAAATGAAAAGAAGTCAATGATTTTCAATATTAGACCAATGATAAATCAATTAAACATTATTTTTCAATGTCTTTACTGACAATAAGGAAGAATAAGTCGAGGATCCTGTTAGGGAAGAAACATAATCAGCTGAATTTTCCAGACACAGTGGAACTAATTGAGTCAATCAAAAACAATTACCTTTCAAACCGGGCACACCAAAGAATCGGACAAAGAAAATTGGGTCATTACTTTTAGGGGCGAACTGACACTAAAACTAATCAAGGAAAGAAAAAGATTTGTCAGAAGTAGGCTGTTGGTCTGCAGTGACGACAGGCTGGCTGGATAATATGGATGATGGACTTCCTTCTCCATTTGTGACATGGATTATAGGATTTAAACAATACGCTGTGAGGATACCTTAATAGAAAAAAATGAAGTGTGGCCAAGACTGAGGCTTATTACTATTTTCTCACAGTAGGGTCCAAATGTAATTAAAATATTGAGTGATAGAGTTACAATCAGTGTGACAGCCAGAGATGATAGCGGATGTTGACACAGCTGATATGTGATGATGAGACGACTGGGCTGTGACCACACTGATTGGTCTGATGTAATTGGAATGTTGACAAAAATAAACACCGGTTCTGGAGGGCACCAATTATTCTAAACGCCAGCCTGCCAGGGGAAAGCAATCACACCCAGACAAGCCTCTGAGCTATCAATAATCACACACACATACACATACACACACACGTGAAAAAAAGCCCAAAACAGAGATGTTTACACATAGATAAGACCCCATGACAACCTCTGCCAAAAACAAAAACAGGACTTTGTGCGAGGCTGCGATTACAGGAATAAACAAACAGCAAGAATAATCAGACAAAGATCAACCTCCGAAGCAGGAGTAATCAAACACAGAGTGCCTGGGGGGCAAAACTGCAATAATCAAATGCAGACTGCCATTCAAGCTTGTTCGCTGTCAGGCCAGCGGGGTAATGATATGATGAGGATGAAGCAATTCCTGGATTCAGGAGCTGTTGCAAAGCCGAGCGGACACAAGTCAATCATGCCTGGAGGGTTGCTCCTGGTTACCTTATGATTGTGGAGTGGGAAAAAAAAGTTACAGAATGTTTTCTTCTGTAAAAGAAGTTTAAAAAAATGAAAGCCCACATCTGCCAATTAAATTTCAGAGAAATAGCCCAAATTTTATTGACAGGAGTATTATTGTTTGTTAGCCTAAACTATCACCCATGTGCCTGTTTCTTAACCTTCAAATTCATCATTTGCTCCCTCTGACATGCAGTTTCCCTAGATTGACACTTCTGGTGAGCCATGGGGGGGATTCGCTTCTGTCAAACAGACTCTTTCTGACAATTCAGCACTAGCGGGCATGTCCAATCTTGAAGATTCGTGGAAGGACACAGTTAGTATGGTGCAGGACAATGCTGAAGTGTTCACTCTCCTTTTTTGTTTGCTCTACATAACATTTATTCTTGTATGCCTCAGTCCTGGTCTTTGCCTGTGTGTGTGTTTTTGTGTTTGTGTGTGCACGTGTGAATGTGTTACATGTGTCTGTTTGGGAAAGCGTGACATCACCTTCCTACCATCGCAATCAAATGTCTCACGCTTCTCCCAAATGTTCCTGACCTTCCTCAAATAAACCTATCATCTGTGATCAAGAGCTGTCTCATCCTTTCTCCTACATTCATTGTGACATGTACACACTTACTCTCTCTCTCTCGCTCACTCATGTACACTGGGAACTTTTCATGCAAGACTTTTTCTTTTTCCCTGTGGACTTAAACACACTCAGTTATTTAGACAAGTAGGTAGGTAGATGTTTGATAGATAGATAGATAGATAGATAGATAGATAGATAGATAGATAGATAGATAGATAGATAGATAGATAGATAGATAGATAGATAGATTCTTAAAGAATAATATTAAATAGGTTAGAAAATGGTGTTAGTAATTCTTTTTCTTCTTCTGCCTCTTGCAAACACTCACACAAACATACGGCCTGTATCTCTCTCCATTGCACTGTGCTCTCTGCTCCCCCTCAGTCCCTGGGCGAGATTATTATAGACAAATGAGAGAGTGAGCTGGAGTGAGAGCAGAAGGAGCTTGGTTTTTGTCAGTGGGTCACACGGTGGTGGCATGGTTAACTAGCTAATATGATTAAATTTAGCAGAGGCACAAGTCACATTGTAAGCCCACATCAAAGTCTACCCGCTACTGCGAGAGCGAAACGAGCCCTCTGTGAAAACCGAGAGAGGGAGAGAGAGAGAGAGAGAGATGAGGGAGAGAGATGCGCAGACGAGGAAAAGAGTAATGTTTTAAACATAAAACAGAAACAGAATGGTAAAGAACGATGAGGCAATAATGAGGCAAGAGGAGAAGTGTTAGCTTAACCCATCAAGTGAACTGCATGACCTGGAAAGTAGCAGTTAACAGCAAATCCATGTCTGTTTCCTTCTGAGCACAAATGAAGGGTCATTGACAAACACTTATGATGTCAAGTATGAAACCAGCTCGCTGACCTTGTGGTTTGATTATCTGCCTTGAGACTGAGAGTTTGTAAGCACACTTCTCAGATGGTTTATTGCGAGGAATATGAAATTGCCTCTAGAGTTGAGGGTTACAATTGAACTCTGCAGCTGAAAGAGATAACTGATTCAACATGAAGAAACTCGGGGACTATGGTGTTCGCTGTATTTAAGACTGCTGAACATTTTTTCTGAGTTTTACCTCTTTTCAGAACATGCTCACTCAGTAACAGAGTGTGCCTCATCGAGGAGCCTATAATAAAACCTTTATAAATAAATAAAACAAAGAGATGGAAATTCATGGGTCCTTCTTACCAAAATGAAAGAACGACAGCATATTTCCTCAAATCTGAATTCCTTCATAATGACGAATGTTTTACTGGAGGACTTTTTCCTGACTAACTTTCTAACCCTGCAATGTTACACTTTTATCATGTGATGAATTACCGGAAAGCAGTCGCTTTGTAATGATCGTCTTTGAATTGAAGGTCTTGATTAACTCAGTTGCTCAAAATCAGAAAACAGAGAGGACGTCTGGCAAGAAAGAAGATCGAATCAAATGTTTGTTCTGGCAAAAAGAATAATTATGATTTCCCCAATAACTATTGGTAAAAAATAATGGAAATTATCAACTCATGTATGTACATTACCTAAATATGCAAGGCCATTACAGGCCGATCAGTTGGGAGTACCTCCCAAGTTTTTGTTCATAATGATTTTTTTTAAATCCAGCATGAGTTTTATGTATTTTGGGATGTATTTACTCCATGATCAGATGTTGCGTTCATGGAAATGCACCATTTTACTCCATTTACCTTTAGATATACATTGATGTTTACAGACCATTGCTAAATATATGTCAGCAAAAGATAATAAGGGCTTAGTTTTAGGGTTGAAAACATTAGCAAGAGTCACAACTTCAGTGCAAAAGCAAAAAAAAAAAAAAAAAAAAATCACAGTTGGATTATTCACTTCAACTTTTTGGCTTTTGAGAGTCTGCATACAAAAATCCTAATAAATCTCAACTGCGTTTAAACTACTGCAAAAATGGCTAGAGAGAAGCAACTGAGTAAAGAAACAAAAGTACAGATTTGTACATTGAGAAAAGAAGGATACACAGAAAGAGAAATTGCTAAACACTTAAAAGTGTTTAACAAAGGAGTCCACTACACTCTAGAGGAACCTGGAAGTTATGATGATAGGAAAAGACCTGGACGAAAGAGAGTTACTACAAAAGCAGAGGATAAACATAGCATTGTTACCAGTAAGAGTGATCGGCGAAAGACAGCACCAAAAATAAGGGAGGAAATCAACATGACAAGGTCGAAACCCATGTCTCTGACAACGGTGAAAAGACATTTGAGAAAGGCTGGTCTGAAGGGTTGTGTATCTGCAAAAAAACTACTTCGTCCACAGAACAAGAAAAAGAGATATGAGTGGGCAAAAGCTCACAAAAATTGGACTTATGATGACTAAAAACAAGTTTGAACTGTTTGGTTCAAAACGCAGAGTCTATGTCCGCAGACAAACTGGTGAACGTCTGAAAACACCATGTGTGGTAGTTCCATGGTATGGGGATGTTTTGCAGGTGACGGAGTAGGAGATTTGTTTGAAGTAAAGGGTATCATGAAGAAGGAACAGTACCACTCCATCCTCCAGCACCATGCTGTTCCATCTGGACTCAGACTTGTGGCTCATAAGTTTGTTTTGCAGCAAGACAATGACGCAAAGCACTCTTCCAAGCTCTGTCAGGGTTACCTAGACAAAAAAGAAGAGGAAGGTGTTCTTCAAAAGATGGTTTGGCCCCCTCAGTCTCCAGACCTTTCTCCAATTGAGCTTGTGTGGGATGAATTGGATCGATCGGTCAGAAAAATGCTTCCCACGAATCAGCAGTCCCTTTTTAATTAAAGAAAGCGTGGAATGAAATCCCTGGAACATACCTTAAAAAACTTGTGGAACGAATGCCTGGTATATGCCAAGCTGTTGTTAAAGCCGGAGGAGGTTACTTTAAAGAAAGTAAAGTCTAAGCAACAATAACTCAAATACCTAATAATTATAGTCAACATGTCTTCTGATAAATTACTCTTTGCACAATAGTCATGTTTATTGTATTGCAAATTATATATATGAAACTATGATCTTTTTTTGTACAAATCTGATCTTGCTTCCAAACTTTTGGCCAGTAGTGTACATGGCTCTGATATGGGGCTTGATCTGGCCTTAAATCTAGGAAATCCAAATTTGTGATTATTATACCCGGTATGTATTGATTAACATATTTGCGACCAAAGATGATACATCACCCTGGTTAATGCTTATGGTAAGAGGTGATGTGAAGCAGACCCAAATCTGAACTAATTGATTCAAAATGTTGATTTAAATAAGTTTCTTAATGTTTTTAAAAATGATATGTTTATCCTGCTTCAAAAAAAAGTCCATCTGAATTCATGGTTAGTCACGCTACTGTGGGCAAATGTTAGCAGTAGCTCAGCTTGGAGCCTTTTATGTACTGCCGTTAGGGTTGAAGCCCAGAAGTGAAAATGTGTTCAGCGTTTGTTGTTTGAGAAGAAAAGACCTTTGCCAGGAAAAGCCTCATGGTCTAATAATGGAGCAGTTCGAAAACTAAAAGGTTACAGCTCTACTTATAAAATCCAATCTGACTTTTGTCTTTCACTCGTGTTTGAGTCTGCAGACTAGCTCACTGTGTGATTCTGCGGTCACAGTTTTATGGTCAGGTTTAGTTTTCACGAGTATCTATTGAGAAAGGATACTTTGCTAAGTCATGATTGAGTTGTCGTGTCTATTAAGAGTGCAGTAGTGTGATTTAACATGACTAGAGGAAACAGCTCTTCACAGCTTTAAAAGTCCTTGGATCAATACGGTGCCAACAGTTTCTGATCAATGTGGCAATGGAGTCGAGTTTCAGGTATAGAGATGCAGAAAGACAACCAGGATTTCTCCAGATTTGTGAAAAAGCTGCTTTTATGATTGTTGACGTTCAGCAATAATCCTCCTTTTTTGTATGGTAAAATGGGAGCAATAAAATTTCAGATTCCTAAGTGAAAGCAGAACATAAGTTTGTTAAGTTTTTATTTAATAATTTACGTTTGTTGAGTTAGAGCAATTGCAGCAGCTGTTACATTGATCTTGCCAATATTCTGCATTTTGGCTTTAACAGAAGATTTTGTCCCTGTTCCCAATAAAGCTTTTATGAGCTCAGCATCTTCTCACTTTTGTTTAAATCTTACAATAGGCTATTCTTTTGCAGTAAATATGTTGGTATTCTTTACATTTGAACTTGTGTCCTGGGAACCAAATGCAGCTTGCACAAAGCAGAATGACCTCAGAGATTTACTAAAACACCGGGCTTTCTGGTGTGGGGGAGTTAGAGAGGAAGCCAGGATGGCTGGGAGCAGGTAAAAAGCAGGCTGACGGTGAAGTTCAAGGTGAACAAAAAACTCTGAAAAATACCATCAGGCAAAATAAGAACAAAGCAACTGGGAACAGGGTGACTCGAAATAAGCTGGCAGTGGAACAAAAGGAACAAAGTGAAGTTAGGGACAGGAGGGGAGCCGGGTGAATACGTTGCAGGGACAGTCAGGAATGAAGCAGAAAAGTCAGAGACCTGTTGGAGATGGGTGGAAAGATTATTCAAAGAGGTGTGGGATTTGGGTACACACTGAAGAGGAATATTATCGACATGGATGGCCTCTGTCTCCAATATCCAGTGCTGATGGGTGCTGATACACTATCCTGGCAACGCTGCATGTCAAATTCAGCCATTCAGGCCAAATTCAACGATTGGGGGCCAGCAGGGTCAAGTGTCTTGCCTGGAGACACTTTGGCATGTGAACAGCATGACCCCTGACCTTCGACATGTTTTTTTTCTATTTTCTACTCTGGCCCATGTTTCATCAGTCACAATGGATGGGACCATCTGTATGACCTACAGTATATCTGAGCCAATTACCAGGGGGACTTCTAAAAGTTTTGGTTTCAGCTCAGATGCTGTGCTGTCAGTGCTTTTATACAGTCTATGGAGGGGGGAGAAGAGGAGGTCGGACCTATAAGTGTTTAGGTGTTTACAGTTCAGAGAGCACCGGCATACTGCTAATAGACTAATGCAACACTCCACATAATCATCCTCTCGCTAATCTCACTACAATTTCAGCCATTAGCTTGCATCAGAGAGAAGAACAATTGGGATGAAGTACTGACTGTATTTATAGGCTGTGACTTTCTGTAATGGTGCAGAAATGCTAAATGAAGCTGTAAACGTTTAAATGAACAGGCTGATTCAGTTGAGTGGCACAGCAGATACAATTTCTCTCTGCCTCAATAAGTCTTTCTTATTTATACTGATGAGTTTCCCTGATACATGTCAATGACAATGTGACATCCAGCTACTAGGATTGGCATCAGTTTCATATTTGGCATTTGATGTTCATTACTGCTCTTTTTGTCATTAGATCTGTGTCAAAGCCTCAGTTCAGCAATACATTACAGAGCATATTCAGTAAAACCATTTGTAGTTTGGTTCAGCTCTTTATCAGCGAAGATTACCATGCAGCTGTGTCTACAGAGACCTTAATACCTGTCCAGTGTGGCTGTCACAGCTGACAGAGTTAAGGACTGCTCTCACAGTGCTGTATAGCTGCTCTCTTTACAAACACATACTTTTGTCTGAAGTAAAAGACAGAAAGTACAGCCATTGTGGCCATAGGGAGAGTGTTTTGTTTCTTGACTTGGAGTAAGGATCGTTTCTCTATATTACCTTTTATCCGTGTGTGTAATGAATTTTCCTCGCCTTAATATATCAGCTCAGACAGCACAATAGCATTGAATTGTTGGGGGAGTCTCGGCTGAATAATGAGGCAAGAAATGCAGATATTACACAAGTAAAAACATCGAGAGTGAAATGTTGCATAATTCAACACTAGGTACAACCTTCATCAATTTCTGATCTGCTAAATTTTACTGGGTTAGAGAGGACAATGTTAAGACTCAAAGTAATGAATAAAGTATTATTGAGTAAAAGTTAATGATTAAAACTGAAGTGTTTTTAGTTTTCATCAACTAGAATTAGACTAAAAGGCAAAACAAACTATAATCAGACCAAAACTAAGATGAATTTATATAATAATATTATACAATAGTAAATTTTATTTGTACAAACGGATCAAAACAGATGTAACATGCTTTACAAACATAAAAAAAACAGTCTAGCTGCTGAATTTTTGACTAATTGGAGGTGACATCACAGTTTTTCTAAAAACATAAATTATCTTTTGTGTGTCATTAAAGGTTAGTATGGATCCCTTCTTATGGTATTTGGGAGATGATAAAAGTATGATTGAACAACTGTGTTTCCATATGTCTAAAAAGTGAGGCTGCTGTAAAAAGTAACTCAGATATTTAGAACATTTAATGTTACATTAAGAGAGAGAGAGAGCCAACGGAGGACAGAATTTTGGGTTGTAACTTCATCTGCCTGATAATGAGTTTCAATTTGGTCTGGGTTTCAATTTAAAGAAATTTGCTGCCATCCAGCTTTTAATAGCAGTGAAACAGTTGGAAAGGTCTTTTTAGTTGCCTGGATCGACAGGCAGATACAGCTGAGTGTCATCAGCGTAGCAATTACATTAAATATGGTATCTCTGTGTAGCAGTATGATATGCTGCTCTGACTGAATGCATGCGAGCATGCCTTTTCACCCCTGCAGGGTGGCTGGACTCCGCCTCAGAGAAAGGGTGAGAAGTGCAGTCATCCAGGAGGGCCTCTGAGTAGAGCCGCTGCTTCTCCACATTGAGAGGAGTCAGATGAGGCTGGTTGGGCATTTAACCAAGATTCCTCCCCATTGATCCCTTGGTGAGGTGCTCTGGGCAAGTCCCACCAGTAGAAGACCAAGGGAAAGACCCAGGACACGCTGGAGAGACTATAGGCCAATCCCAGCTGTCATTCTTTGCCCTTCCCCTTTGTCTATCCCTACCCTATAGCCGCCTGTTTTGATGGCCAAGGGAAAGGGGTGAAAACCCGCCCCTAAGAAACAAGACGCCACTTGATTCTCACAACTTCATCATGCCTTGCCGCTGGCTGTGTTGTAGGCCAATGCCTACTGTTGTAACGTTTTACTGTTGTTAGCTGTTATGGGTAATAACAGTTGAAAATATCGCAAAATACGTTCTTTTACTCATGCAAGAGCATACATAAAAGCTCCTGATGTTCTACCTTAGAGGTTATTAATGTACTGGATGTAGCTTAGCTGTCTGATCATTCTGTCTGATCATTTATGAAATTCAGTACACTTTAGTGAAGTCTGTCTGCTGGGAATTTGTCACCCGAGTCTGACATTAGTGTAGCCATCAATAGCTATAGCTTGGTCAGCTAGCTTGTCATAACACGGAATTTTAAAATGCTAACAATTCAAAAGATAGCTAATACTTACATGCAGTAACAAAGGATATAATATCTGATAAAAAAGTAAATAAAAATAAGTATCATTACTGTAAAAATCATATCACACACAATCTTACCCCTTGCTTCCAAATGAGGTCCCAGTTTGTCTTTTTTCAAGGGCTGTGTACCCCTTGCCCATAGCCCTTCCCCTTAACCTTGCTTGATGTGAACTCGCAAAACCAAAGGCTAAGGGGTAAGACAAGGGCTAAGGGGAAAATTGGGATTGGCCCTATGTCTCTTGGGTGGGTTCCTCCGGGAAGAGCTAGACAAAATGGCTATTGATAGGGAAGTCTGGGCTTCCTTGCTTCCCAAGACCTGACTCTGGATCAGCGGTAGAAGATGGATAGATGGATGAATCTTGCCAGTGTTCAGAAGTAGTTTGTTTGAAGAATCTCATCATAATGTACACACCTCGGCAGTAGCCCTGGTGGCCCTTTAGGAATTTCACTGGGGGAATTTTCTAGTTGTTCTCAACACTGAATTTACTTGTTATTTAAGAATAAAATCTGAATGGTTGAAACCACGTCCAACAAACGTGTGTCCATACGGGTTCGGCACAATACCTGCTTTAGTTTGTGTTATGCAGCTTGCTAACGTGTTACACTGAGAAGAACTAAAGTGTGAATAAAGCTGAATCATAATCATCACTGCTCCACAAACATCATCAAACTTCACCTTCAGACTCATAGAAACACAAGCACAAACCGTTCCCTTGTGCTCGGTTGCGAATTATGAGAGCTTTGAACCCTCTCAGAATAAATTGGGTTGCAGTCAATACGAAACACTGTTATTCTGACACATTTTAACTCAGGCAGAAAATGTGAAAGCTGTTGAAACATTATCTGAACAGAAACTCAAACCCAAAACAAAATGATTAGCAGAAGAAACAGAAAATGGACAGGAGGCAGAGCTATGTTTTTTTTTTCAACAACAGGCGCTGAGTCAAATGGGACATGAGCCAGAGGAGCAGGATCATTAAACCTTCCTTTATGCAGGAGATCTCAATGAGACATGGGTCTAACTTTCAAGAGAGACCTATGATCCATGACATCCACGATATCTGTAAGTCCTGTCAAGTTTCTGTCTGATAATCGTTGAAGATACAGGCTGTGAATCTGTGAATTCAAACCGAAGTAAACCATTTGCAGTGGCTGCTGGCTGTTTAGTCGGGTCTGGATATGCATTATCACATGCATTCATTAGTTGTTCAGGGTTTTTGCTGTTGAGCTCATTTGTTAATGTTTTGTTGTAGTTTTCTGTTCCTGCTCATTCTGTTCTTGTGCCAATTTGAAGCAGTGGAGACACAAATGCATACTAAACTCCTTATTGATATTCAAAACAGTGTGTTACATTAGCGCAAGCGAACTTACACATTCCCCTCTTTGTGTTTGCAAACGCAACACTGAGCCCTGACATTATGGTAAAGGTTCATGTTTTAGATATTTAAATGAATACATTAATTATCTTTCTTAGCAGGATTTTCGCTGCATCCCTCATATATGCTGGTCTTCAAACAGTGCAAACAGGGTATACAGCTTAGCTTTGACACCCCCCCAATACATACATTAACTCATGTTTTGAATATTAAATAGAGTCGACTAAAAAAAAAAAAATAGCTGGGTGTTTTTTTCCACAGAGCTTATCTAATGTTCCTGTCAGAGAGCAAAATTAGTGATCCCACACTAGAAGCTGTTTCTCACATCTTTCAGCTCATTTTTGTAATCACTTACTCCACATTTTCCACCTCTTTACTTTCGGTGGTACCATCTATTTTGCCCCTCTCCCCTAAAGCACATTCAGTCTGCTCTGCTCTCCCAGCACTGAGTGAAGGACACAGAGGACTGCCAGTCTGGTCCTCATTATAACAATATGTGTGATACCTTTTACAGTTGTCAGAGTGAGGGGGTAAATCTGGCCGCACTGCCCCCTCTGGCAGGAGGCCTGTCACATCAATGACCAGTGCTTCTTTCTGATTCGCTGTCGCCCACGGTAACAGACTGATTCTAATCTGTGCCTGAGCCCTCTGCACTAAGATAATTAAAAACATCACTTTTACAAGCAGAACACACAAAAATCTTTTCCTTTTTTTTGAAGCATTTCATTTTTTTTTTTTTTTCCCCCTTATTGTTGGTTGACAGGTATCACAGCTTTTATAAATACCCAACTCAGGATGTGACATGATGATGCATGCATCAGGAGAAAATTGAAGGGAAAGTGACAGTTCTTACTTCAATTCTTTGGAGATAACTGCAGTGTTTACGGGTAAACCGTCAAATAATGCACCTGACATTTCAGGGCTTTAGTCAGTTTAGGGACTGCAACAGTTGGGAAATCTTATTAATGTTTGCTGTAAGCCTCAATGATTATGAAATCACAGAGGATTATAGAAAAGTGTTCACAAGAATGTCAGTAAATGTTAATTGCATCCAGTGGGAAGAGATATATTAGATGGAGACCAAAATACTAAAAATGCAGTTCATAAAACAATGACATACACCTCCTGACAGGGCTCATAACCAACACTGTATATCAATTTATTGATCTATCGATAGCCCAATCCCCACACTGCTTCAATTTACTAGATTGTATATCACACTTACACACAAACAACTTCAGGCAGGTGCAAAGGCGAGCACGCACACACACACAAATACAAGCACACACACACACACACACGAGTGTGCACACAAACACTTTATATCTCTCCCACGCACACACAGATGCACACAGTGACAGGACTGACTAACATAATTCACCAGGTGGGAGGAAAAATGCTCTATAACAAAAATGTCAAGGTGTTTTAAGAATGAAATATGTTTGGGCACACAACAGCAGTTGATGAAATGTGACCTTGACTTCTTCTTTTTTCCATTTTTGTTGCATGGGAATAATGAATAGTGCTGGGTCAGGAGAAAAGAGGAAAGGGAAAAAAGCAAATAGAGGAGCCACATTGAAACATTTTTATGGTTATTAGAATCAGTTGTCGGCACCAGGGAATAAAAAATGAGTTTTAAATGTGACACTGTATGCATAAGTTGCTGGATAACACTGAGAAGCAGCTAACTACTAACACAGATCATTCTCTGTTTATAATAACTCTTACTAATTACTTTTCAGGATCGATGAAACCTGCAAATTGAATGGAACTGTTCTTTAAGCAGAATTTATAGCACAATACATATGAGTGTGTGTGCCTGTGTATGTGTGTACGAGAGAGAGAGAGAGAGAGTGTGTGTGTGTGTGTGTGAGTTTGTGTTATCAGCCCACACTGCAATTGACCCCTCTTTGGAAGTTTCACTGGGCGAAATGTGAGTTTTAGGCAAGAAAAAAGAAGAAGTTAATTAGATGCTGATCCTGTTGAGGACATTTACCTTCAGATATTATTTCTCATAATTAAGAAGTTCTTAACACATCAACCCTAATCATCAAACATGCACTTTGTTAACTCACTGAGGCTGTGTTTGGTCCATGTTTGCTTGCTTTAATATTGAGGCTAAAACTAAATAAAAAAGTATATTGCTCCATGAAGAATAGATGTTTGCTTAAAGTTTGTGCATGTTTGCCATTTTCTTGCATCATCTCTTCTTTTAACAGCACTGTAAATATTTGAAACCAGAGAGACCAGTTTTTGGAGATCTAAGACGCATTTTTGTTCCTTTCTTGTCTGTTACATTATTCCAGTTGCTCAACGCTTGGAGTCTGCAGGAGGGCTCCTCTGCTACAGCGATGTGTTGTTGTAATGTGTGAAGTTGTTTGGCCTTGTCTCTCTGAAATATGCAGGGTCTTTGTTGAAAAAAAAGCATTTTCTGGAAGGCAGCAGCATATTTTGCCCAAAACCTGTATATCTTTGTCAGGACTAATGGTGCCCTACCAGATGTGTACGCTCCCCGTGTTACGGACACTCGTGCATCCTCACATGTCATCACAGATGCTGACTTTTGAACCATGTGCTGATAACAAGCTGGGTGGTCCTCCTCCTCTTTAAGCCCAGTTTATGCTGCATTGGACCAACACTGCACCAGATACTGTACGTCTGTGTAGCCGCGTCATACACAGAAGCAAACACGTAGCCTGAAATGCGCCTCCATTAAAATTTAACTACATGTCAAAACAACAGAAACCTGAAGCCACCATTCCTTGTCCTCTATACCCTTAAAATCCACCTTCAAAGCCTCTTTTTTTCATAAGTACACAAACAAAGAGGGGATTTAGCCAGATCCGAAATTGGCAACGTAAAACACACAAGTTTGTAGTGCTCACAATGGTGTCAGCCACTACAGCGTTGCCATGGTGTAGAGTCAAGGCAGAAGTATAAAGCAGATTTGAGAGCTGAGGACACAGTGTCCATGAATCAAATCAAGAAATATCAAGAAATTTTAGTTTTTGGTACCACAGGACAGTTTCTCTCAGTCCGTCTTACTGTAAAATAGTTTAGGCCCAGATCAGTCAGGCAGACAGTTATTCGAGCTCATACATGGTTTCCTCTTTGCATGCTACAGTTTTCACCTGCATACGTATTTGCAGTGACAGCGTTCACAGACAAAGGTAGTGCGGCGATTTCCACTTCAGAGTCACGTCTGTTTTTCATACAGTGCAGCCTGAGCATCTTTGAAGCTGTGTGGTGATCACAGCCCTCTCTCGTCTTTTATGTGGAGGGGACATTGGTCATGATTATGAAAAAAAGGTGCTATTCAAATTCCCACCCCACAAGACTCTTTTCTCACTCTTCTTTACAGGACTTGGGCTCGAAAAGATTTATTGATGTTTCTGGTTCCTGTTTATGAATGATTAAGTCCTGAGGGCTCAAAGATCACGGCCATGGTATTAGTTTTTTATCCTCCTCATTTTTGTACAAAAATTTCTCCAGATTCTCAGAATCTTTAATGGCTGTGTAAATATGTACAACAAGTGAAGAAATACCGATAACAAATTATCAAAATATGACTTTGGTGTCCACCCAGACACAGGATTGTTGTGTGTCTCTTCCTTTGTCTTGTCCCCACTTATCTAGCTGGCATGAATTCATTATGCTCAAACTCAGTTACACTAAAACATTACCTCTTGTATTCACCTATCTGTTTTATTTGAGGAGTGCTCTCAAGTTCGTCACATTTCTTCGTTTGCTGCTAATTTTGGTTAACTGTCTCCACACACCAAGCACGAGTAAAATCATTCCCACGACTAAATTACATGTTAAGTCATGCAAAGATGATTAGACGCTCGTACTACTCTGGCGGCACGAATGATGCGAATTTGGCGGGAGCTGAAAATGTCTCAACTTGAGCACTTGACGTGTGAAAACAGACAAAGGACAAACTGCTCATGTCGGTGCCCCAAATTATATGATACGTTTTCTTTCAATTACCGAAACCGGAATAAATAGGAGCTCACCTGAAGGCAAGTGAGTGAGGAGGTCGGATTACCTGAAAAGTTGTAAAAAAAAACCTTTGTCTATCACTTGATCCTGCTGGTTGAATTGGCAGGGATTACCGTTAGAATTACTGTTGATGCATGAATGAAGTGAGTACATACACTTGGTGTGAGCGCCACATTAGAGTCCCCACCATGACCCTCTCTCCTAGTGACTCCATTATAGGCCCTGTGTGTTGCCCTTTCTCTGCCCATTTCTCTGGCTCCTTCACCTAATTCACCTCACCTCTTCTAAAATACCTACCACTTTCCCCCTCCCCTCATTCCCTCCCTTCTTTTCCCAATCAAATATCATTTCCCTATGGGACCAGGACCCTACCTCATAAAAGAGTCATCAGCGGTGCGTAGGTCTTATTAACAAGCAATCTGTTTGAGCAGCCAGCAAAAAGGTCATGGCAACAGCTAACAAGGGACAGAGGGAGGGTTAAGGGCTAGTTTGAAATAGGGAATTTAAAATTGAAAGTAAGAGGGCACAAAAAACTGAGAGAAACTTAAAGAGGGGACCATTTTTATCATTACACAGAGCACACAAATTAATTTCAAATACACTGGTACAAAGACTTGGCTGTTTAATAATACAAAAAGTGTATTTTTGCCAAAGACAGCAGCATTTTTAGAGCCATAATCTCAGGTGCAAGATCTAGACAGAGGTCTCAACTGAGGTCTTCTGAATCCACAGTCTAGTTCAATGGGAAAGTGATTTGTGAACACTCACAGCCATCAAATCCTATTATGGCCGCTGCAAATTCTCTCATAATGACTTTACGGAGACATCCAATGGTAAAATCAATCATAGATCCATGCACTTATTGAGAAGCCATCAGAGCCGGAGACGAAAGTAAGGTGAGAGGATCAATGTGGTATAGCAACAGTGAAACGCACATTGGAGGGTAGGGTGGCAGTGGGCTGCTGAAGAGGTCAATGGATGGCCCGTGCTGGAGACAAAGAGAAGTGAAGCCGATGATGAGATGGACTTTTACTGTAGCAACAGGGTGAATCAATATCCCTCCAAAAATGATGGCGTAGTGGGTGTGCTTTGACTGCGGGTCTGTGTTCATGATAACGCTCCCATAACAGTGATGTACAAGCATATGTGCTGGTCTTGGGCACAAACATGTCTGTCCAGCTGGCCTTGAAAAAGCTGCGGGGTGGGCATGTCCTCCAAGATTCTTGGAGTAGAAAGCAGAGCCTGACATCAGGTTACCTCCAAGTATTGTGAGGTTCTCAGAATGAGTTGTTCAGAGAAGCAGGAAAATACACAAATGTCCAGAACACATGAAATACAGATCGGCTTGTTAAAAATCATAGACATCTTTACCCTTATATGATCTTGACCAGTTTGGAGCCATAATATGACACCCAAGGTTGAACTGATTTTATGTACACTCGTGGGGATTGACATAATTTGAAATAATGAGTATTAAACATATGTAATAGATATGTTCACATGTCCTATTGTGTACGGGGGGAACCCAAGGACAAGCTGACAAAAGAATAGGCCTGGGATGATCACAAATTTTGCTAGACGATATATTGTCCCACAAATTATTAAAGATAAATGATATTATTGTCAACATTATTGAGACCGAAATAACCAGTTATGTAATGCACATATTTTTTTAGAGGGCAATTCGTATTGTTGGTCAAAAGTTTGTATCGTTTCTCAAAACGCTGGCTTTTCAACCATACAAAATGGCAGCATTTTGTAGGCAATGTAGCAACTACACTTTATGAGTGCACACCATTATGCACTGTTCCAACTGTACTTGCTTTGTCAACCAAACGCTTTATAAGGGTTGACTGTTGGGTCGACGACTCTGCATCTCAGGGTGCAGTTTTTTTCTCCAGCTGGGAAAACTTGACCGGGTGATAGTGTTTGAGGTGGGCATGCAAGTTTGTTGTGTTTCGTTTTTTTGTTGCTATAATTTTTATACCAAGCCGGCACACTGGCTCATCTGTGTTGATGCTCCCACCTTGCTTATTGGGCTTGAAGCCGAAATATTCCCACATCGGGGCTGTGGTATTTCGCTTTGCAATAAGCTCTTCCATGCTCCCGCTCACTAGCTACTGCGGTCTTTGTATGCTCCACGGTGCCTCCCCCCACAGATACAAAGATCCTGAATGTCTGACAAGATGGTTCACTTCCTTCATTTCATTCCGCTGAGGCACCAACGTACCGAGGTGCTGAGACCAATGCACAGAGTGAACCCTCTTGTCATCAGGCGTGTTTGGAGATGCAAGACAAGGAAAACAAATACAAACATGCACATGGCGATATATTGAGTCCAGAAAAATTATTGAGTTCATTTTATTTATTGTTGTTTGATTGAATGATTTATTGATTATCATCCCAGGCCTACAAAAGACGGACCCACAATAAAGCCAGGTTAACAGTGGTAAACATGAGGCATAAAATCAGATCAGAAACAGAAGACCTACTTGTTTGTTAGTCGCAACAATCTAAACATTTGAAAAGTCCTGCTTAACATACCACAGTAAAACTGAAAGTAGAAGAGGTGCCTACAAATTTCCACTATCAGGGACAAACTTTGTGAAATTAGCAGCCAACAATATTAAGTTAGACAGACACCTCATTATCATCCATGTTTGTTTACTATACAGGCATGTTTTACGGTTTCAATAATCTTTTAATGTTGGCCAGGCTTACTTACCTCTTCAGCTTTCAAGGTCAGAAGAGGCCATCGCATTAAGCAGCAAAAGATATTAAGAGAAAATCTCCAAAACCTTAACAGCTGGAGTCATTTCAGTGTTGATTGTGTTTGAAATTATTGCTTTCTTTGATTAAAACACTGCAAATACAGCTGTGCCCCCAGCTGGCTCCTGCAAGTGCCAAACTTGTATACATTCAATACAACACATGAAGCCAAGAAGAGCAATACTGTGGAGAAGTGTGCACAAGACTGCAGAGTGTGCTATTGCGTTGCGATGTGTGTGTTGATGGAGGCAATAACTATTTAATTAAATTTACACCAGTTAAACCTGGTAATTCAAGCAAACGGGGAGGGGGAGGGGCATGGTATTAATAGAAATGATCACATGAGGCAGCTGAACTATGATTTGATCCCATTGGAGTCACTAATACATATGAGTTCCATCATCGTGTAAGTTTCTCTCGATCACTCCTGCAGATGTTTTTCTGTTGTAGTCCTGCCTGCTTTCCAGATGCTTCATCTCCCTCTCTCCCCTCTTTAAACCCTCTCAGTCTCAGCAGATGACTGTCTAACATTAGTCTGGTTCTACTCGAGGTTTCTGCCTGTTAAAGGAAGTTCTTCCTCTTCACTGTAACTTGATGAATGTTGTGAAGCTTTACATTTATGTGGTTGAAGGTGGGGTGGAAAGGGGTCTGATCCATAGACTGTATATAGAATGGACGCCGTCTGCCTCCTCGCTGGGTGAAGCCACCCCTAGAACAGCACCCTCTGGTGACGGGCTGCAGTATAGGTCATAAATCCTGCCTTCTCCAGCCATCCCTATAGAGCTGTGGGCAAACTTTAGAAATTTATTACACAAAATATACATTTTTCTCCCCCTGCTTGCGATGTTGACATGTAGTTACAGTGAGACTGGTTTTTCTGCTCAGGTCCTCTTTTTTCTGTGCAGCTCTACTTTTAAAAGTTATCAGGGGGTTCATGTCCTCTATGATTGACACTTGATACAGCATATGGTTGTACAAAGATTGCATAGCTTACCTGGGGGATATGCTGTTTGAGCCGAGCGTCATCACAGCAACTCTCAGAGACTCTTCCGCCAAATGCAAACAATGCAACTGCGCAAGTGGTGGAGTGCGTACAACGTTACTGAGCAATGTTGGTTTCAGGCAGTGTTGTTTTTGGAAGGAATTTTAGATTTAGTTTTAGTCTTAGTCATTTTGACAAAATGCTTCTTCGTTTTAGTCCCATTTTAGTCATTTCTATCCTTGATGGTTTTAGTCTAGTTTTAGTCGATGAAAAGGTGCCTTTTGAGGTTTGTGGTGTTCTTTCCCGACAGTTTGAAGCCGCAGCGTGAGGAAGCTGTGGCTCCACAACTGTCTTCTGTCTCGTCTCCCCGTCCCCGTATAAGACATTGTGTTTTATTGTCACTTGGACTGTATCTGAAGTAGGACCATAAATCATCCCTCTTTTTTTGGCCAACGGGCACCGCTGCTGTGCCTGCCGCCATGGTGTGTGTGTGTGTGTGCGCGCCTCGTCCACCTGCCGCTCTGTGTATGTGTATGAGTGTGTGCGCGCAAATGTGCGCGAGCGAGGCTTTTGGTGCGTGTGTGATGGGGGCGTGACTGTTAGGACAAAAAAAAGCATGTTTTGAAACTTTGTTCGTCCACCTAATAACAATTTAGTCTCGTCTCGTTCTCGTCTGACGAAAATGAATACAATTTTCGTCACATTTTAGTCTTTACAGAGCTTTGGTGACGTTCGTCTTAGTCTCATTTTCGTCAAGGAAAAAAAGGGGTCTGACGTCGTCATTTAAGTTGGTTTCAGGAAGTGGAGAAAAAACCTGGAAAAACAGAGAGCTTTTAGGCTTCAAAGTTGTCCATGGTATATACAGTCTATGGTCTGATCTCACAGTACTTTGGGTCTTTCGAAACAGAATCATGTCAATACCACCTTTTTTTGTTAAGCCTCTTGGGATAACACTTGTGTATTGGAGCTTGATTGATTGTTTGATTGAGATTTGATTGAAATGAAACTTCTCATTTTTCTACAGTCTTTGCTCGCTGAACCGGGAAACTGATGGTGGGGCATGAGGAGTCGAAACATGCAATCAACACCAGATGTAGGCTTTCAGTTACACTGGGGATCTTGTAAGTATAATGAGTATTTATATCATTATCCTAAATTATATAAATGATTATGTATTGAAATAATATTGATCTCTTTTTCAGTTATAGCAGCTCAAACTTCTTGGCTTTCTTGATGAAATGTTTGTTTTTCTGTAGTTTCACAGTCCTGTTGTAAGACCGCCTCCTTCATTTAGCTGTCAGTGGAATAAGTGCAAAACACAGTGCTTATTTAAAGTTCATGAGTTAAGCTCTATGATTGAATTACAGTGGTTTCTTGAGTGCAGTAATACAAAGACTCAAAAGAGGCAACTGCTAAAGATATGGATGATTTCCTTGTCATAAATGAAACAAAATATGAAATAACAGTACATTACAACAAAAGAAGTCTGTCAGTCTGTGCAAAGAAACTTCACTCATCCATCATTTACGAGTAATTGATTTCCACTCTGTCCTACACTATTCCATGATAAATGGCATACCGCTACTCTTTCAGGAGAAAAAGAAAGCACCCAAGTCCAGAACCAGTATAAACACCAGATCTATTTATTTAAAGGTCTCTGGAGTTATTTTACTCATTTCTTTCTCATATAAATTACCCTTTGAATGTAAGTCTTCCCAAGATATCTCATAAGCTCTGCTCTCCAAGCATAGCTAAGGAGCAGGCGTGCACACTCACCCATTCACTCACATGCACCCTCACAAAGTCCACTCACACCACCTTTTTGAAATTCTTCGGAGCAGGTGGACTTTCCACTTCCCGACACAAAACTAAAAGACAAAAAGCCACTTCAGAACTCAACGACTTCTAGCCCCCCATGGGACTTAGCGGATTAGTCAGGAGTGAGGGAGCGAGGAGAGAGAAAGACTCAAGAGTGAAAGACATAAAGAGGGGAGTAAGAGAAGGAGAGAGAGATTGGCTCCCCCTTTCTATTCCCATTGTGGTCCATGGGCCGTGCCGTCTGAATAGCTATGCTAATAGGCAGCTGAAAGTACGAAGAGATAACACAAAACCCACTTGACTTCCTGACACCTACTTGAGTGGGGCCACAGCGTTTTCCAAGCCTAGTTGTTATTCATGGGGCCTGAAAGTAGCCTGTCTGTCAGCCTTAGGGCGGACGGTTATTTCGTATAAGAAGTGAAATAGTCAGACATAGTGCAGGCTCTCCTCTTTGTGGCCTACCGTTACAATTGGCAGCTTAAGTATTAATTATCATTTAAATGCTTGTTGGAGAAGAGAGGGTCTTTTTGAAGGTGGGAGTGCAGATTAGGGTCTTGCTGCGGTTATGGAGATTTCGCCTGATCTTTGGCAAAAGGTCAGCAACTGCTGAGGTTTAATCATCTGCAGCAGCTGCAGAGTCTAAACAAACAGCTGCAATTTCAATGAAGTACCTGAAGTGCCTCCACTTCTACCTGTCACTACACCTGCGTGATCATGGATGAAATACAAATTAGAGTTGAATACCTAGCATGAGAATATCTCCCGACTTAGTTACCCCCCAAACCCAAGTAAGAAGAATAAGGGTGGGAGGGAGAAACATTCATCTGTCTGTGGGAAAATACAAACGTATATATCGGACAAACTAAATTAACATGAACTGCTAGAAAATGTCTCCAAGTCCTGTCCCCTTTTTCTCCTTGATGCTCATCCTTTCAGCAACAATCAAATCAAAATGGTGGAAAAACTCAGGAAAGTGTAATTGAATGGCTTCATCTCTAGGTCATGGTGGTCATGCAGTGAGCTGATCATTACCGTCGGAGCAATGGCAGCACATGCCTTGTCCGAAACCTAAATGAAATCATTAATCCCTGCCTTGATTCCTCTTCATTTTTAAAAGGCCCAACTGTGAATCCACAGTGTCATTTTTAACAAGAAGAGTTTTGATGCAGCAGGAGAGGTAATCCTCCTGTGAGCATGGCTTAGGCTAAAGACGGCACCGAAAGAGTGACATGGCGTGGACAGCTGGGTTGATTAAAGGGAATGTGATGGTTCCTGATTAAAGGGTAAGTTTTGTCCCATATCTTTTGGGCTATGACAGCTGAAGATGGCAGCTCACTGCCATGGAGGGGATGCTCACACCCATCACAGGGAGCAGTAATGAGAGGAGCCCCTTTCTTGGCAACGATTGAGGCTGTTGGAAATATATTTCTTTTCAGCCTTGCAAGTCATACAGTACAGTTGTGTTTGATCAACATTCAAACAGCTTCTTCCTTCCTCGCGCATTAGGCTTGAATCGATGATTGGTGTCACACAGCTTTTTTAAAAAACTGCAGAAAAAGAAAAAAATCACAAGTGTTTAAAATCCATGTGGCCAACTTTTGATATCTCCCATTGGCATGGAGTCACTTAAACGATATTTCTTTTTTTTTCTTCTTCTTCTTCTGAGACAGTATTCTGTTGATTCCGGGCTGCCAGTTCAAAAGACCAATGTAATTAAAAGAAATTGCATCAGCTGGAGCTTGAGATCTCTCTGCCGAGAGTGGATTCATTCAAATGCCGCCACGCTTCAAGTTACAGATTGTGTTGTCATTTTGCCCTCAATCAAAGCATTACTTTGATGAGGGCCGTCTTGTCCAGAAGACAAAAGAAAAAAATCCAGCTTACTTCTTGAAAGCCTCTCCACGACTTAGACTCCTTCTTTTATTCTGGATTTTTGGTTCAAATTATTATTTTGCTCCATGTTCATGTGAAAATTGCACTGATAATTACTGAACTGAAATCTGTGTCTGGGAGCACAAAGCAAGCTCTCGCCATCATTTTATAATGGAGGCAATTTGCATCTGCTTTCACTAAGGCTGCAGTGGCAAGCCCCTGAGAATCAAAGGTTGATTAATGCGTCGAGCCACAATTTATTAGCAGCTGTTCAGGTGGCTTTTGATAGTATGTGCATGTGGGGGTTGGGTGAGAGAGAGAGAGAGAGAGAGAGAGAGAGAGAGAGAAAGAGACAGAGAGAGATTATGATTGAGACCGAAAATGTAAAGCCCATTCAGACAGAGCTTCAGTACATCAGAGCAGATGTGTATCCAACCTACACTTCAGTGCTCATCAAAAGAACTTGAACCAGTTTTTTAGACATCACTGCAGACATAACTCCTCATCCTTTTAAAAAATGACATCTCTGGAAACAATTTTGTGAAACTGAATGCCTGTAATTGAAGAGCTGCACTTTCCACACACACATACACATAGATATGGAAAAAGAAATAAATGTTGCTCTGAGATGTTTGAGTTTTACACTTTGATCTAATAACTCTTCAATGACTCAAGTGTGCAGGGACCATCTACAAAGAGCAGATGCTGCGAAAATATCCAAGACACAACATTGGAAAGGTGCAGAGTTAACATGACTTCACACATTAGTGTTGTTGGTCAGATTAAAACTGTTATTTTGGTAAAATATGCCAGCATATCATAGCATATCATTTTGAGATATATTTAAATATATTTATTTTATATATCTATATATATATACATATATATATATATATATATATATATATTTATATTTATATATATATATATATTTATATTTATATATATATATATATATATATATATATATATATATATATATATATATATATATATATATATATATATATATATATATATATATATATAGATAGATATATAAATGAACTACTTTTATTTTGACTTGAGTAGATGAGCAGATTTGTGTTTTCTACCTCAGTCAATGTTCATCAAAGTATCTTTCCTTTTTTTTTCATTTGCAAAGTATTTCAACACTCTCTCTGATCCTGGATGAATTGCACTTTTCTCACAGCGTTTGCCGCAAAAATCTTTGACAGTGAAACACACACTCAGCTCATAGTGCCTGTTTAAGTGCACTGACAGGAACTTTGGCTGAACTAGACAACACGCAAATGTCCGAATAGAGTCAATGCCCAAGTCTGAGTCATCATTGACTTTAAAGTCAAGTCACGAGCACTGAAAATCAGTATCTGAGTCAGACTTAAGTCTGAATCCTGGACTGGAATTCCTAAACATAGTTTCATTTTATAAAAAATATATATGCTCCAAGTAAGATTTTAATCTGCAAATTAATTTCATGACAGTAACATGGTTTCCCCCTGCTCTCAAGGCTAAAACCTAGACATTAGTTTGGATCAGTTTTTAGAAAGAAGTGTTTCATTTTAGTCACAGTTTGGTTCAGGGTCAGCGAAAGCCACCTTTGTGTATTAAAAAGCGGTGCAAGGTGGTTTTCTGTGACATTTCAATCTCCACTCTGCAGATATTCTTTTGAAACCCCATATAAAACCACCTGAGCAGGTATTATACTCAATGTTCACATATGAGTTTTCACTCGCTGCAATTTCGCACACCGTAGCCTTTAAGGATAATGAAAGCATTAATTTGAACTGACAAGACAGCACCGAAAAAGAAAAAAAAAAAGCCTGCAGAAATATTGAATCTACCTATAACAAGACAAGCCAGAACAACATGAATACACTATATCTCTCTTCATCTGAGTCCACTGGGAATGGAAATGTCAGTCGAGATCAGCTTATTAGCTCTGTCAGTGTTATCGTTGTTGCAATATCTTTAAACAAAGCTAACGCTGTAAAGTACCATAGCTTCATATCAATCAGAACAACAACAAGGGCAACGCTAGTGAGGCGTCTTCTGAGCAAAAACATAACAGATCTTTGAGTTGTTGTTATTTCTAACTTCAGTTGCTGCTAAATGTTTAAACAAATAGATGAATATATTCTGTTGCATACCGAACTTGATGTCTAGTTAGCTGATGTGTTCTGCACAAAATTTACAAAAACAGTCTAAAACATGGAAGGCCAGAAAAAAGATACAGACATAAGTACTTTAAACCCTTATTCATGTTCTTTGTTAAACAGAATCTTACAGACCATCCAAATGTGTTTCTGATGTTCCTGAGCTGACAGCAGAAGAAGAAACGGTGCTTTGGCTCACTTGGGAATTTGAAAGAATTGGGAAATTTGAAGGAATCAAAAACGAAAACAGGAGACAATTACTTATTTTACTACTGCGAAGATTTCTCTTTTAAATTTGAATAGAGAACCAAACCGGAATTGAGAAGACATATTTGACTGAATTGGGATCATTCAAAGGAATCAAAATGAAAGAGCTGCCTCTTGAATAATTTTATGACGAGGTATCTTAGTTTTACTTGATATTTTGTTCACGTTCAAGCCATTGACAGTGGAGAAATTTCCAGAGCTGAGCCTGACAAATGAAATTATTTTTATGCTGTTGTAGTGGCAGGGGAGATGCTGGGGCCGCTCAGCTGGACCATCTATCACGCAATCTTTGACACAGAGGGCACATCAATCAAAACAATGACCTGGAGAGATCCAGTGTGCCGGTTGCACAGATTTACTTTCCTGCCAAATTTGAAACAACCAAGAAGTGTGAACATCCTCACTTCCTGCAGAGAAAATGCATACGTTCACCTGACAAGGTAAAAAGATGCATCGTGACAGAGAAATATAGGAAGCTATAGAGAGCAAAGGAAGAGAGGTTGCAGAGGAGGAGGAGGATGAAATGGAATCGTTGCCAAGGCACAATGGAACTGTATAAATCTAAGCGAGTGCATTTGATCATGGGCTTTTGACAGAAACGAGGATGGGAGAATGTGGCTGAGGGAGCGGATGCGGAGGAGAGGAAGTGTGATAATGCGACTTGCCACCGACATTTTATGATTTTGTGCACGTCCGAAACACTGCCACTTTGTCATGCCAAAGTACAGTGGTGGCAAGGGTAGAGCGCTGTGATATTTCCAGCCCGCTGCAGTGACACATGTAGTGGCTTCAGGCCATGCAGGTTTTGTTAGAACCTGACTCATGGTCATGATGTAGTGTCTAACACTGTGATAGCTTTGAGACGTATGAGCTGGTATTTTCAGTGCCAGACATGGGCTGCGTTTTCCCCAGCTGGATTAAAAACCATTCCCAAAGGAGAAATCTGGATTGATTGTGTTTTTAGGTGTAGGAGCTGCTCTGAATTACTGCTGTCACACCGATTCCTAGCATGCTCTGTGACAAGAACCCAGACCACTAGAACATAAAGAATGAAGTATGAGCTTTTTTTTTTTTTTTTTTTTTTTCTTGAGGAAGATCTGGCCTAGCTTGTGTCACCAGTATGCTGTCAGAGCCCAGAACACAACTAAGTCAGATTGTAGCCCTAATATATGTGTTTAAACTCACAGTGAGACTTGATATATTTCTTAAAGTTTTATTAAAATATACCTTTAAACTCAAACGCCTTTATGGAAGGGGGAACCACTGTTCTGTTTTCCTTGGAGGTACTGCAGAGACCGAAAATATATGTGGAACAGGCTCTGAAGCTGTCCCAGTCACAGATAAGTTGGTTCAAAGCGGTCGAGCCAGCTCTCCCATCCCTATCTTTTCACCTGGGGCGCAGCTGGAGCTCAGTGGTAGAGTGTGCTGCCGCTCAATCAGAGGGTTGGTAGTTCAATCCCAGCTCTTACAGTCACATGCTGAAGTGTCCTCGGGCAAGACATTGAACCCAATTTGTCCTTGGCGATGTAGTGATTAGTGTGTGAATGTGACTGAATGGAATTACCTCATACTGACGAACCCTAACAGCCCTTCCGCTGCCATCAGTGGAGTGTATGGATGTGGTTTAAATGTGGGTGAAAGTAATGAGTGTTTTAAAGGTTTTTTTTTCTGGCGAGAAAGATAAGGAAAGTGCTATAAAAGCACAGGCCACCTGATAAAGCCGTGAAACATGAAGCAGCATATCGTGTTCAGTGGATGCTTTTGTCTTTGATGCCTTCTGCAGAAGTTTGCCCTTACCACCAGGGAGTTTGACTGATGTCATAACGTGCCCTGACCGCCACCTTGATTGGACGGCAAAGTTCCCATGCACGTTTATTGCCAAGTTGTAGAAATGTCAAACTGAACCTTAACAGGGTTATGACACCACTTCACTGCAAAGCGAATCGTACAACAAAGAGAAAGTGATGAGAACAGGAGTGAGGTAGAAATGTTTTAAAGTTCATACAAAAACATAGATAATATCAGAGGAGTGAAGTTACCCCATTAGTTCCATCTGTGCTTTGGTTGTTCTGACCCATCTGAAAAAGGTCATCACACCGCAAACATACTGGTGTTTTAACTTTTTTTTTTTTTCCTTTTAATTTGTAAATGGACAGCTGTTTACGATATAGAGTACTAAAACTGGGAAAAGGAACCTGTTTTTTAATTTTTTTTATAAATTATTATTGTTTTAAAACAACCTGGAAGAGATAGTGTTTGAACATGAAAATATGACATACATAAATGAATAAATAAATGAATGAATGAATTGGGCAGGACAGTATTACTGGGCCCTTTTCTGGTAATGTCCACAAATTCTGTCTGTAGTGGTTTCACATGTTGAACGCACTTATTTCAAAGTTTAATAAACACATCTTCCTGAAGATGTGGACAAAGATGTAAACCCTTTACATAACACAAATATCATTTACTATATGGGGGGCTCAGGAAGCATTCAATGTCTGGTAATGGCTTTTTTCAAGCAGAGATTAAAAGGTCAAATATATAATTATCAGCAGACCTTGCTGAGAAACAACATTTCCTATAGAAACTATGCTTTAAATATAGAATTTAATGTGTAATGTTAATAGTCTTTTTAATGATTTATGTATCTCTCACGTTCCACCTGATGTGTCTTGAATCTACACAACCTACAAGATGTATAGCCCTCTCCGATAAAAAATGCTTTCTTTTTTGGTGTAAAAGAGAACAAAACAAAATGTGTTAAGTTTCTTTCAGTCCCTGATAAAATTTTGAGATGACACCCTCATTTGAATTATTTTTGTAAGCAGCCATAAATAATCTCAAAATTGTCTCAAAGTGGCTGAGCACCTGTAAAAAAAATCAAGATTTCTCTAAACCGTCTTTTCTTTTCAAACACTCAAAGTCTTTTTATAAAACTCTTACCTGTGAAAGAAAAATGTGTTGTGATTCCTTTAGTAATAACTCAAAAACACTTGATCAAAAGAGATCCTCGTCAGCCTTGGCCATTTGTTGAGAAACCAGGCTGAGAAGCAGCACTAGAGCCAGGCCACCAACTGCTGCAGATGGGGTCAGAGTTACTGTATTAGTTAATTTCAAGAGGGTCTGACCCCAAACGCCAGTGTAAGCGTGGGTGTAAGCTGTTTGCAGCGGTTTACCTTGATGTCAGAAAGCCACTTTGTTTGATCATGATTACACGTGTGTTCCTCCAGCCTGCAGAACATGGGGTCAGCTGTTCTACTGCAAATGAACATGACTTTAGCTTTGTGCACTGATGAATGTTAACACTATTGCATGTATTTTTTTAGCTACAGATGCTAAACAGTATGTGGTTCACACAGTAATGGCTGCAGAGTTTGTTATTTCAGCTCCATCTTCCCCTTCAACTGCTGACCTGCAATCTATCTTCATTTATAGATATGGGCAAATTCACAGCAAGTGTCATCTCAAAACAAAGGAGGAGGTCTGGATTGAAATTTTTTGTTTTATTATTCTCAAAGACTAAAACTCGTCGCTGTCTGAAAAACATGTATCTCCATTTTAGCAATCTAGACTTTTTCAATACATGGATGGTCCTTAATCTTCCCTAACAACCTGTAGCTTTGGGTATCCAAATGACCGATGGAAAGACATTTATAACATCATCTTTTTAATAAGTATCTCGATTGGGTGTTGGAAGTGTCAACAAACCATGAATCTCCAGCCCTGGCCCTGCGTTGTCATGACAGGACTCATTACAGTCCAAAATAATGCTACACTAATGTCCTCACATCGACTGATGCCAACCTAAAACTTTTTTTTCTAACCATGAGAGTGTTGCTTACCTGTACGTGAGATTTCTTGAGCCTAAGTTCATCCCTAGAGGCAAAGCTGCTGCTGTTTTCTCTTTTACACTCAGTCGCGGACACTAGTGCATGTTAAATCGGGAGTCATGACTCATAAAGGTTGACAACCAATGTGCTATGTGGAAATGAAGGATAGCCTACTATCAGTTGCTTATCAACATAGTGGAACATAAACATGAAACTTGAAGCTCGTAAACAACTGAACATCATTGGAGCGCATTATTAAAAAAACATGTATGTCCACTATCACTCACAATGCAAAGCACGGAAGTCTATTTAAAATATCAAACTGGTCACTGATGACTGTGTAAACAAAGATTTTGACTTCGGGTCAACCGAAGTTTCTAACCACAGTGTTTTGGGTTTATTCTGTAAGGTAGTTTATGAATAAAATTGTTTTTTAATGTACCTGAAAAAAAAAAAAAAAGTTGGAGATACGTGTTTTTTATTGGACAGCAATGATAAAGGATAAGATTCAGTGTTACCCCATCTTAATCTGACATGAGCAGAGAACTTTGAAGCCTTTATCAAGTTACAGTGGAGAGGAAGAACTCTCTTTAACCGGCAGAAACCTTGAGCAGAACCAGAACTGATGTTAGACAGTCATCTGCTGAGACTGAGCTGGGTTTAGAGAGGGGAGAAAGGGAGATGGAAAAAGAGAGAGATGGACAGATGAGAGACTGATAGAGGGAGATGACATTATAAGTGTAGTAAGAATGGTGAGACTGATATTTTAGTGAACACAGTGAAATGATATTTTTTTCTGTTATCTGAACAGACAGTCTGTAAAACAGCAGCGTTCTGTCAGGTTGAGATCTCTGAGTGGTGGGTAAGTGTAAACTAAGGCCGTTTCTGAGCTGCTGGTATCCTCAGATTCAGAGAGGTCTTGAAATGCTGTTCTTACAGAATACCACTCGTGACAGCGGTAGCTCTCTCAGTTCGTGCGAGGGCTCCTATTTTACACGACCGCACCACTGGGTAATCCGGGATCTCTCCTGCCCTCCACTCAGCACAGAAGCTCCTTACCTCCCTCCTGGTTTGTTGAGTCCTATTCTACCTCATTTTACCTCAGTTCATTCAGGTGTCCTCATGCACCCATATCTTTGCTCTCAGAATCACTCATCTTTTGAGTTTGGTTGGATTTGTGGTCTCTTTTAAAGCCAGAGCCAAACAAGTCATCTGCTCGCTGCAGGCAGAGAAAATTGTGTTGCATGTTTTCAAAAGTGCTGCAAACAACCCAAATGTAGTATACATTTACACAGATATCTTCTGAAGCTGACAAGGACAGATAATACACATGGACCTAAAACATCTTCATTAGGAGAACTGCGCTGCAAACCTAAAATCACAGTAAATCATGAAACAGCTGCTAAAGATAAATGCTGCCTTGTCTCCTCTTCTCTGAAAATCTGAGCTGGAGTTTAGCCCCATGATGCTTGGAGCCAAACCCGGCATGATTTCCACTGCGCTGTTGAGTGCAGCTTCCTCCAGCTACGGACCCCAGTTAGTCGTGCAGCTTGGGCTACAATTAGCTGACTCTGCCTGATGTGAGGCTCTCAGAACACGGGCATGTTGGGCACAATGCTCCATGAGCCGTGCAGTTAGCGCTAGCTCAAGGCATCCGGAAGCAGCTTCACAGAACCCCTGCTCAGGTCTCCTGAGATGAGGAAAAATGATGCCTGTCATCCCCCTCATTCCCCCACCATCCCCACTGTGTCTTTGTCAGAACTGCTTGTACAGTCCAGGTCAGAGTCTTCTGTTGATTTCAGTAATCTAACCTTAAACCTTGATATCGAACTATCCACTTTTACATTTCAACAAAAAAAATTCAGTGTCCAGTTTTCTGTTCTATATCACAAAGTTCTTCCCACAGACCTGGAGCACTTCTTTAAAAACTCTGAATTTGCCAAATTCAACTGTCATAGTTGAACTGATTTCATGTCTTTCTGACCTTGCATGGTATATGTATGAACAGTGCATTTGCCATCATCAGTGCAGTTGTTCTGGCTTTTTGCAGGTTTAGTATTTCTTTTTCCGAGGACATTTATGGATTTGATTTAGACTTCAGTATATGATTTTTAGTTTGGATTCTGAGACGTCTGCAGCACTTTCCTCCTGATGGAGCAGCCATAGACATTTATGTTTGGGTCAGACTGTCTTTGAATTAGCTGCGTCTCAAAGCTAACATGTCAGATTGACCCTGCCCGCAGCAGTCAAATCCTAACTTCAGGAGTGTGTTGACTAGATCTCACAAACTATAATCTTCCCACATAGAAAGAGTGAATAAATCTCCTTGTCTGAATTAGGAATAAGAGCCGGTTTGTAAATTTATCTCTGCTCCGTATATTCCAGGTTTTGTCAGATAGGCAGCAGCTCAAACTCAGGGTTGAGAGGATGTGTTTGTCATTGATGATTGACAGGGCTTCCCTGTGTTTGTCTGTGCTGTAAAGGTCATCTAATGGCTTTTGGTGACTGCCCTCTTTCTCCTTTACCATCTTAACAAGCCTGGTCCACTTGTTCCTATTTATTGCAGTCAAGAGCCCACAGTAGACGTTCACTTCAATTGCTCTCCATTAGACTCAAGTGCACTTTTTTTTAACACAGCAAGATCAGTAAGACTCAAAAAGGCCTCTGTAACGCTTCTCTACTTATAAATTTCAACATTGTCTTTGGAATCACAGAAACAGGTAAGCAAACATAATTCATTACCACATGGTTAGGGCTGGGCGATAAAAGGATAACAATATATGTCGAAAATTAATTTCCCTCAATATCAATATAAAACACGGTCAGTATGCTTTTCGATAGTCGGCATTCTGACATGTTTTGTAGACTATATGAATAGCCAATGAAAAGGGGAGTCGCTCCGGGTCCGCTTCATGCTGAACCAATCATGTGCTGAATTATAATCAAGTAGTGAACAACTGCGTAGTCGCAGGTTGCAGCTACATGCAACCATAACACTTCAACACGTGAAGCCGACAGCACTGTCAGTGAGAAAAAAAAGAAAATGAGTGCTATCCCTATCGGAAATGCAGATGAAGGCTCAACAGATGATGATATCGTCAACAACACTGGCACAAAAACATCTGTAGTATGGCGGTATTTTGTTTTTTGAGGTTTGACATGAGGCAGAGTAATGTACACTACAAATTATGTCAAGTACATGTTCTCGCAAAGTTGTGGAATACCTCAAATCTTTTTCAACTCCTGAAGCAGTGCCGCACGGCAGAGCACGCGCAATGCAAAAGGTTACAAACCCCGAGTGGAGCAAGGAGCCCATGGTGCCTGTGCAGCCAAAACAACCAACCATTCAGTCTGCTTTCTCTAGCTCAACGCCTTAGGACAAAACATTGAAGAGACACAAATAACTCACAGATGCAATAGCTAATTGTATTGCACAGGACTTGCTACCAATAAGCACTGCTAAATTTCATTTTTTATGTTGTGATATATATTGATATCAACTGATATGAAAAAGATATATTGTGATAAACTTTTTCCCATATTGCCCAGCCCTACACATGACACTGCAGTCTTGTATTTAAAGACAGGCACACATCACTGACAGGTTAACAATTAACTCTACCATGTGAATGACACCAAACCACTCTGTCTAAGCCTCTTTTTGTGTTAGTTTTGGTGTTGTGCCTCACACACACAGTTAGTGGTATCATGTTTGGGCATGAGCAGTAAACATCACAGATTTCTTCCCCAGGTTAAAGGCTGTCCAATAAATGTGAATAACAGGCTGAGCTAACAAACATTTAAGGCCATAATTGGTGTCATAAACAAGCTAACAAGGTGCTGCTCATGTGTCAAACAGGTCAATTGTCATGCAGTCCCAGCTGACAACAGCCGTGACCTGTCAAAGATGAGCAGCAGGGAGGAGCGTTATAGACTGAAAGCTAATTGCCCTGACTGATAGTGTGAAAGGCCACCAGCCTTAGCATGAGAGGCAGGGTCAAAAACAGACTGAATTTCGGGTAGTACATACAAATACCTGTCTGTTTTTTTGGGGGGATGGAAAACAACTCAAGGGATTACAAGTACTAGCAACTAAAAGGTGAACCAGAACAGACAGACAGACAGGACTAACAATAACCCTCTTTTTGAGAGTAGATCAAAACAAAGATGGAAGCTTTTGTCTATAGCCAAGACAGCTACCGACAGGAATGAGACTTTTTCACTAAAATCACGTGGAGTTTGTCACCAGAAAGCTGCTGAAAAAGCAAGAGGATTTAACAGTAATATGTGATATCGTTATACGCTCATAATGGAAACCCAACAGTACTCATAAAACAGAGATGGTTTGAGAACTACGATTAGGAGCCCAAATGAATGTTTTACTCTGAAAGACAGCTGAGTGTTTTACTATTATTTTTCAGTGTCTGATTTCCTGTCTTGCTCAGTCTACCCTGTGCAGTGCTGGCGTTACTGAAATATAGGAGCTGTGTTTGTCTGCTGTAGGGGGAAGCTAATCTGTACCAAAGTGGACTCTAACTGGTCCAAGACTGAACAGGATCTGGTTGGAGTTCCCTGTTTCTGTCATGGTGCTGCTAACCTGGATATGCTACAAATTTAAATTAATTATAAATTATGAACTTAAGTAAACCAGTGAAATGTGATAATTGAGACTCTTAAAGATCAGAGTCCTTATCAATACCATCATAGGCTGTAGTCTTTTCTGTACTGTTTTAATTCACTCACTTGGCTAACTCACTTTTTTTTTTTATCCTGCTGATTTCAACATGGACTTTAACACTGGATCATGCGTTTTATACGAACAGAGGACTTGCTCTAAAGTCTGGCTGTGTTTACCCCAGCTGCTTTGGGTGCAGCTCTGCAGCAGCAACAGGAGCTGGAGTTGACTGAGTTGTTTTACCAGACAGGCAAAGGTTTTTCATTTTGGCTTGATTTGACGCACAATGGTGATGTGTTTGGCCATGGAAATTTTGTTTATATATATATTTTGCATCAGAAACAGCATTTTATTCCATCTGTATCTTCAGCTATAAGCGGCTATTATGTAGCCACTCTTTGCACATTCAGCCATCTTCGCAAATGACCATTAAAATTACTGTTCTGGTACTTCACCTGTTCCTGTTCAAAAACTTTATTGTACAGTTTATTAATGTGCAACGTTGATTTAATCAACATGACTTTACAGGACACTCCCATTTTTTTTTTTTTTGGTTTTGATAAATGCTTTATCAGGTGTTTAATGGATCCATTTTTAAAAAAATATTTTTCTTTTTTTGTTAACTTTTTTATTGCTTTTAAGGGGAAACAAGTACAGCAGTATGATAGAGATAACAGGTACATTGCAATCCAATTTAAAAAAAAATATATATATATATATAAATACATGGAATTTGAAAAAATAAAAAAAATATATAAAAAAATATAATAAAATAAACAAGAGACCAGGCAGCGGCCCACTCCCCCAACTTGGATCTCTCTTACAGGACATGGGAGACCATGATTCAACAAGAAATGCAAATAAACATGGTGTTTGGACCCAGTTATTGATACTCATCCCCACTGATAACACTTTGCTAAAATATAATAAAAAAAAATACATATACTTTGATTTTTTTTCTTTCTTTCTTTTTTATTTATTTATTTTTTACATTTTTTTTAAAAAGTTTTTTGACAGTTTATTATGAGGTAAAGGTCTGATCTATGATGGCCAGAATTTCCTATTTTAAAAAACTATATATATATGTTTTTATTTCTTTTATCATTTTCTGAACCCCTTTGAACTGTGTGAACAGTAGTACCTTAAAAGAGTTATACGTATAAAATACCATGAAGGCTTCATTTCGGGCAGTGTAGGCATTTGGATTAGCAAACCTCACAGATAAAGACCTCTTATCCTCCCAGCGAATCATTCCTGGCTTCCTTTTGATTCTTTGTGCTCTGGGACAGCTTGTAATGGGTGTTTAGGAAATCCTTTTCTGCTCTTAATTACCTTTTTCGTTCCGTTGCATTCATTCCAACAATGCTGAGAGATGGGGGGGGATGGGCTAAGAGTGAATAATACAGAGAGAGCGAGAGAGAAAGAAGGAGACGGATGTCACTATTCCGGGGGCAGCACAGGTGGTGAAAACAAGGTGTGATCTTGGCATGGCTGTCTGAGCAGAAGCTTGTCTGAAATTACATTGTTAAAGTGCAACAAACAAAGACACATGCCCATAGACATTTATACACCCAGACACACACTCACACACACTCACACGCACACACACACACCTTCGTGCATGCCAATTCAGATATAATGCACGGATGTCCTCTACGTTTCATCATCAAAGCCTTATCAGGCTGCGCAGGGTCTGAAGGGGAGAATATGAACCGGATAAAACAAATCGTTTGATGTGTGAAAGACAGACACTCCAGCTCCAAAGTACTTAAGCTTCTCCTCCCAATGGACTGACAGGGGATGAGGGTAGGAGCAAGGAATGAGTGCTCCTCTCTTTTATTCCCCTCCCCTTCTTTGCTCATCATGAGGAGTTTCCAAAGAGTTGCGTCATTGTTTATGCAAGGTCTCAGTGTCAGCACAAGCAATGTCAATTAAATAAATAAATAAAGTCAATATTGACAGACATTTCAAAGAGGTGGTGGAGCAGTCACAGACAGAGACAGGAGCCATAGCGAAAGATAATAAGTGAGTGAACATGAAACCTGATGAGCAGGTTGAGTGTACGTTTGAATATCTGTATGTGTGCTCGCGCTCGTGCGCATTTCGGTGCATGTGTGTGTTGAATGATGAGAGGATGAGGAGCTATGTTTGCATGATAATGTTTCTGTCTGCCACCGCTTTGATATCAGCCCAACTCTGAAAACCTTTCTTATTTTGATATTCTCCCGTTTTCAAATTACTTTTGTAAATCTTTTGATACTCTCAGCTATATTGTCTGCTGTGCAAATCACTCGTCGGAACAGAAGTCATCCTCTTTTTGAAATATGGATTTTCATGGTCATTATTCACTATCTTGTAAAGTGAAGCAGATGGCAGATCCAGCGTCTTTGTAGATGTTAAAATATTCACCAAGCCACCATTAATTCTTTGATTGTCTGGCTTGACAAAGGCCTTTTAACTCTGGTTAATTTCCCTTCAAAGGAGTGGGGGCATCTCAATGAGTTATGAGCATGAATATGGCTCCTTTTCTTACTCTTTTAAGATGAAAGGTACCCTTTGCCCCCATGTCAACCACCCAGCACACCTGACCCTTTTAAATTGAAGAAAGGGCTTTTAATGTTAAATAAGTCCCCCATAGATCGTAGCTTTTTAAAGCTATAGAGGACTAAAAACGGATTTGTTGGACAATTATATACATGCTGATAAATGTAAGTGATCTCGTGAATTTTGTAGAGCAATACAATTTGCCCAACAATGCGCTTATCCCTCTGATATAAATGACTTGTTTCATTCATAGCTTATGGTTCCCATCTGCAGAAGCCACCTAGAAATTTCATTACGGACCATGAATACAATTCTCATGCAAAATTACCATATCTGCAAATACTCGCTAATGAAGAGCCGAGGACCGGAAAGATAAAGTGATGAGATGAGCTTTGTTGGGGGTTATGAGCAAGTTGACCAGATGCCAAGCCACCTGCTACAAGCAGCAAGACTTCAGCTAGAAAACAACGCAGAGCACACTGCGACGGCAACAAACAGGAGAGAAAAGACTCTCCAATCTGGTCCTGTTAAGATAAACAAAAGACTGTATCAGATTCAACAGGAATCGAGACGTTTTAGAAAATCCTCTTTTGTTCTACCCACATTTCATCCATATAATATCAGGAGTTGAATTCTTGCATCATGCATGTGCTGAAAACAGGACAAAAATGACGGCCTCTTTTAAATCTATTTGTAACATCTGTTTGGAGGAAAACAGCACAAGTTTCAAGCTTCAGGGTTGACTCCTGGGGCCAGTGGCTCACCGCTGTTATGCACAATAATGTTGCTCTTTTAAAGCTGCTGTTTCTGCCTGACTAATGGTTTAAATAATATTAAAACCTCCAAACAATAGGAAGTCCACTGATTGATAAAATCTGAAATTACCCTGTATTTCATTCAAAACATGTAATTAATATTTGTGATTAATGGAGAAAATGACTCAATGGTTATTCCCATTAAAATACCATGAGTGTCCACTATACAAAACTGTAGGCAAATCCAAAATAAAGTGTTTTATCCTCATTCTAACTCTGGAAACAGGGTGATCACAATATCTGAGTTCTTAAAGCAATTTTCTGGCGTAAAATTAATTTTGGATTTAACACACTGCAACACCGAGTTAGACACCCCCTCGAGAGATGAATGTTGCCAATGGCTTGCTTCTCTAGTTATACTAACCTTAGTAACGACCGCACGATAGCAATACACAGCAGTCTACTTCTCCAAATGCAAACTTCAACCAAAATGCCACTCTATAGTCACAAATAATGCTCAGAAAAGTAATTTCATCAACAGTACATATAAGGTCCCAGCCATAGTACTAGCCATCAAACATCTTTGTTACTTTGCCTAATTTATTTAGCAAAGAGACTAAACACAACTCACCTACTCTCTTCCAGCATCCACTTGTTTGTAGCGAGACCTCAGGCCAAACCATTATGAACTGCTGCGGGGTGACGCAGCTCAAGGAAGAACATTTATGAAATGCAATCAGACTGAGACGCCAAGGCAGAAGAACTACCGTGTCTGCAGTGAAAAATGATTAATATGGTGATTATTACTTTAAGGAAATGATAAAGAAATGATTGTTACTAAAGTCGTTAGTTGGTATAACTAAAGAGGCATGCGGTCAGAAACATTAATCTCTCGAGGAGGTGTCTAACTCGGTGTTACAGTGTATTTTGACCCCAAATCAATTTTACGCCGCAATTATCCCTTTAAATTCAGAATGATAACAGTAGAAAGATTAAATCACGATGGACTGAAAAAAAACAAGGTCATATTCTGGTCAAAAATAATGTTCAAATATTCACTTTTAAGTCTTCAAACCATCGAAGCATTGTTTTCTCACTTGGATTGACTAATTAATTGATCACATGCTCAATGCTTTCTTTCATTATTCATTTTCATCTATGAAGTCAGAACAAGCAGAGCAGAGTGGATCAGTAAATCAATGTCAGTTTCTATAAACCTTATCCCCATCAGTTTGTCATAGTCTGTAACACTGACCGATGCTGAATGCTGTAATTCACCGGTGCATATCACACTCTGGTTATCCAAACCCTCCTTTTAGCTCTTTACAATGTGTTACATACCAGAGTAGTTGGCAAAACATGTTGGCAAGAAGCTAACAATGAAAACACTGTCACTTTTACAGCTCTGTAACATTTGCTAGGAAGGTTTTGTCTTCTTTACATCCTTTCTTCATCCATCCAGACTCTGTTTACCGGCTTGTGGTTAGATGACACACTGCCAGCATCTTTTGTATATTTGTGATTGTTTTTAGATATCTAATAAAAAATTGAGGAAAAAGTAACAGCCTTTTGCAGAGGGATGCCAAGAACAAGTACATGACATTTATACAATGTATGCCAGGTACAAAAGAATAACACAGGGGGAAAATGTTCAAATGAAAATAAAAGATAGAGCTGCTGAAACTGAAAATGTATTGGCTACAAATTTAAAAGAAAAAGATAAATATGCTTTATAGCTTTTAGATGGGATAAAAGATTGAAATAAGATGCATGTTAAGTCTAATATTTTAAATAACAGTCAGTAACATGATTTTAAATTGTTTAAAATAATTTTCTGTCTCAAGTGGTTTAAATTCTGAGATAGAGAACCTACAGGTATTTTTTTTTATTTGATCAGGCAGATCGTTGCAGTGACTGAAAAACAGCCTTCTTTGCTTAAACTGCTGTAAACATCTTAATGAGGTCATATTCACCACTGAGTTTTCTAGGTTTAATTGGATGTATGCATAAACACAGTAACAACATTGGGCAGTAGATGCACTCTCGTACCTCATCTTGGGTAGAGTTTATCCTGCAGACTCGTAAGACGTGCAGCCACTGTGGTCGTCTGTCCTTATCTCAGTTTTCATGACTTGCCTTGACCTGTGAATGAATCCAGAGAAATGTTTGGGAAAAGATACTGTCATTTAAACAATCTGAAGTAATTAAAGAAAACAAAGATTCATCATTTCATTTGAAATGGGTGTGCTCTTTTGTTCATGATTACTTGACTTCTTAAAGGTAGGGTTGGTTATCACGGTAAACTAGCATGAATTTGAGTGTAACATCTCCTCAGGACTCTGTCTAGCCCCTCCCCCCTCCCCTTTGAGCTCCTCCAAAACATTGGCCTTGCTCACATGCACGAGCGCTGCGGTCTGCTGATTCAAAAGCACAGATTAAAAACTTTGGGACTTTAGATTGGGAAGTCTTTGCACAGCAGGGACAAAGAAGGTAATGTTAGCATCGGGATGACCACATAACTAGCAACATTGCTAAATACTTGATCAAGATTAAGAATCGCCCTGAAACAAACCCTCAACATACTTTTCCAACAGAAAATGAGCGACCATGGCAGCACTTTTCAAGCCCTTGACCTCTTTCAGTTCTCTCCATCGCCATAAAGCTGTCCCGATGTTGACTTTCCTTTTCGGCCTTGGTTTCTCCAAACTCTGTCTTGCTTCAGCCCTCTCTGCCTCCATCTTTCTTTCCCTGCTCTTTTTTTGCAGGAGAAACGGTCACCATTAATCAGGGTAGAGGTAGTCTCTCTGCCATTCTCAGCTCGGCTATGCACACTGGATCAGGGCCAGTGCTCCCCAGCGACATGTACGCACAGGAGGCGAGCACAAGATTTGATTGGTTTAAAAATGTGGGACCCACAGGATGTGATTGGTTGGTGTTTTTCCCACTTTTACTCCTGCTGTAGATAGTGGCTATGTTTCACTCTTTTTAAGAACACATCTTGATTGGAACATAAAGATCATTTTAATCAGAAAAAGGAAAAAAAGTGTCTAAATCAGATTACCAACCCTAGCTTTAACTGAGAGCATTTGGGATTACTGCCCAATTAACATGAACTTGACCAAAATGTAGGAATCCAGAAGTACGTAGCTGGTGTTGTAGGTAGGTAGGTAGGTAGGTTGGTAGGTTGGTTCTTGCATGAATGTGGAGCCTCTCTAGATCATTATGAAGATTGATTGATGTGCTTCATATCAGGACAATCTTGAGCAGAATTTCTCTCATTTAAAAAGGTGCGTCCACGTATATCGACATGTAAAATAAAATATCTCAGTGTCATATCTTGAAGTATATGAGTGCAGTGTATAATGGGTGAATCTGCAGCATATCATCACTCTTCATCAGTGAAGCATTAAAATACCGAGCTGACATCAGAAATGTAATGTGCGTGGCATTCAGTATGGCATCAGTCATACAAAATATCTGAACTGCATATTCTGATGGTTTTAAGTGGCCCATCTCCTGGATCCGACGGTATAGTATATGTCACAGATATGGTATTTTAATATTCTGTGGGTGGAAAATATCCAGTTTGAATTTCATCATATATGAGTCTTGCTCAAAAATATGAAGGGGGAAAAAAACAAGCTCTCTGGATTCTGAGGATTTCTCTGCAGAGCCTTTTCTTGCAGAGATTTGAATCGAACAGGTAGAGCTAGGAGTGTTATTGGTGGAGCTCACCTGTTTTTGCTCGATCCATGTAGGCAAGACAGAGAAAGGTTTATAGAGGCAAAGCTAGAAAGCTGTTAAACTTATGTGATATGAATGTGTTGCCAATTTGTAAAGACTGCTGCATATGATTTAAGAAAGACTACCTGCAGACCAGTATGCACTTATATTTTATAATTATTGTAATTATAAATCTCAACAGGAAAATGAATCAAAGTATTAAATCCAGCATGTGTTCGTCAGTGGCTTTTTCTGCTCCTGTGTGTCTTATTATGTCTGTCATTGACTCAAGGTAAAATAGAAACACAGAGGCAGGAAGACTTCTGTCTCACACAGCTGAGGTTTGCTTGTTTGGATGCTATTTATACCCTTGACTTCTGAATGCTTTTTCGAATGTTTACCGGTACAAAATGAAGCACTTCATTTCCTCAAGCATAAGTGTCCATGCATATTTTTTTGTTGTTTGGGTCTTGCTTCCCTGTTCAAGCTATCTGTGTGTTTGAAGTGTAAATAAACAGTTAAGTGAACAGGAAAGTGTCCTGAACAAGTCTGTACTGCCACTTCACAAAGGCATCAAAAGGAGCATAATTGTTGTTGATTTTTTTTCGCAGAGCACATTTACATAAAAACTGCCTTTTTCTCAACTTTATATGTTGTCGGTCTTGGTTCTTTTGAGTTTCTGAGTACTATTCGAAGAGTCAAAGGAACTGAGGCAGCACTGGCATGGTGTTAGGGTCAGTTGAGGATATAAAGCATATTCTCTCATCTTTTACATTGAAGTGGTTGATGTCAACTTTTTGAAAAGACAAGTACAGAGAATTCATCTACATCTTTTCTATTGGACTCTATATTCATTTGAAGTATTCAGATGTTCCCACTTTTGTTGGTAGACCTTCTTTTGCATCTCTGTTAGCAGAGTCAATCAGGTTGTGCACAGGGACAGTTGAGAACATATCATGACATACAAAAGGCTGTATGTATTTCTTTATACCTACTTCTTTCACTTATTCTCCCTGCCTCCTTCTGTGGATGCACAGGGTGAACTTATCTCCCATTTGCTTATGACCCAGGTCGGCTCATTTATCCTATTCAGGAAGCCAGAGATTGATTGTCCCTGTGCCATCGCTGTAATTATACTGTCATCACTTAATCAACCTTATTGGATTCCTCAAGCGGTCGCAGTCCCTGAGGCTGGCGCTAGGAGAAAGATTGACTTTTTTGGACAGCTAGAGAATGAGAGGGAGAGTGAGAAAGGAAAGGATTGAGAGAGAGGAAGAGACCAAATTAAGCATAGACTCATTTGAGAGGCAAAGTAATGGGGTAATGAGTACAGAGAGACATCAAATAAGTGAACAAAGGAGGCAAAGAAGTGCTACAGCTACAGAGGGAGGGTGTCAAAGAGGAGCGTGGGGACAAGGAAGCGGTCAGGAGAGAAGCACGCAGGACTGAGAGGGGGATCAGGTGGGAGGGTGCGGCCGTAGACTGTGAGTGATTGTTTCCTCAAGTCCGTGTCTGCCCCGCCAGGGAGGAGGTAACAAATGTTTAAGGTGTCACCTGCAAAAGCAGTTTAATAATTCATTTGTCTATGGGGCTGGGTAGGAAGGGCTGCTTTGAAGAGTGGGGCACAGATGGTCATCAGAGTGAAAGAGATGCACACACCTATACCCATGCACCTCCACATATGCACAAAAAAGACCTGCACTTGCGAGGGGCTCATCACCTGGGTGCACACCATATGTCACTGTGGCTGACAACCTGCTCTCTGGGCCCATGCTGAGAAATGCACACAAACACACATGCCTATGCACACACACACATCTTTGCTATTTCATAACTGCTTAGCTTTTCTATGGCAAAAAAAAGTCTTCCTTGCATACTGATGTGACATGTGTTTATGTGGGCTGTGAGGATCAGAATTTTACCAGCTGATAGAAATACCTGATGGGGTATCTTCACCTACACACCGAGCCACATCAGTGCACACGTACCTCAGTCAAATGCAGGAAACACTCACAGCGAGGCACCCACACACGCTCAAGAGGGTGTGACGTGGAACATAGACTGTCAATCCATCATTGTGTGAAATTACCCATCGTAACGACAGCATTCCCTCTTTTGCCATTTCACATCTGACTAAGCCCAATCCAAACACTGAATCAGCCCTTAAATCTAATGATGCAACACCAACTGTAACAACAAAAAAAAGAAGCCCTGCATACTGCTATCTTTAAGGACACACACTTGCCCTCCAAGCCACTAAAACAGCAGCCCACCTTTCATTCAATTACTGTACTGACTTTAATGGTTATGAGTTCTCCTTTTTGCGCCTGGCATGCTTTATTCCTCTCCCTGTGTGGCTTGCAGGTGATTACTTCAAGGCAGTAAAGGTTTCGTGGGGGGTACTGCAGTTTGCAAGCAGACACTACAAGAAGATTCGTTGTTTGATGGGAACTTAGAGGATTTAGGTATTTCTACTGCAGTGCATAGGGAAAGTAAGAAAGATGTCTGTATACATTGTGTACAACCAATTTGTATATGTCATGTAAATGTGCATTCATTGACTTGTTGACCTCCACCAGGTGTTTCTTGGAGTGTGATAAATAAGCAGCACCCTCCCTGCGCTCTTAAATCTCATGCAACTCAACTTTTAGTTTAGGTATGATGGCTGTCACATTAAAAAAAGAATAAAAAAGTAGAGTCTCAGCAAATGTGAATTGCTGTAGATAAGAGTCTTTTTAGGATGCAGTCATATGTGAGCACCCTGTTTAAGACCCTTTCATTGGATTCACTTTACAAGCAAGATATCTACATGTATGGCTGAGACACTGCATTCAAGTCAATTATACTGCACAGGATTTGCTTTCCATGGATCAATGTAAACGTTACCCTTAACAGGAATATAAAGAGCATCTTAATGAATCTGGGCGAGCCTAAGGTATGATAAATTCCACGGATTGTGGTTAGCATGATCCATTATTTATACCACTTATTCTATTTGGGGTCAGGGGGGATAAGGCCAGCTACCATTAGATGAGAGGTAAGGTCCAGTCTATCACAAGGCCCTGCAAGAAGTTGTGAAATTACACTTTTCAATGGAGAAGTACAGGTTGTAAACTGGCCTGTCTGAAGCACTCATTTCATTATGTATTATATATATATATATATATATATATATATATATATATACACTCACCGGCCACTTTATTAGGTACACCATGCTAGTAACGGGTTGGACCCCCTTTTGCCTTCAGAACTGCCTCAATTCTTCATGGCATAGATTCAACAAGGTGCTGGAAGCATTCCTCAGAGAGCTTGGTTCATATTGACATGATGGCATCACACAGTTGCCGCAGATTTGTTGGCTGCACATCCATGATGCGAATCTCCCGTTCCACCACATCCCAAAGATGCTCTATTGGATTGAGATCTGGTGACTGTGGAGGCCATTTGAGAACAGTGAACTCATTGTCATGTTCAAGAAACCAGTCTGAGATGATTCCAGCTTTATGACATGGCGCATTATCCTGCTGAAAGTAGCCATCAGAAGTTGGGTACATTGTGGTCATAAAGGGATGGACATGGTCAGCAACAATACTCAGGTAGGCTGTGGCGTTGCAACGATGCTCAATTGGTACCAATGGGCCCAAAGAGTGCCAAGAAAATATTCCCCACACCATGACACCACCACCACCAGCCTGAACCGTTGATACAAGGCAGGATGGATCCATGCTTTCATGTTGTTGACGCCAAATTCTGACCCTACCATCCGAATGTCGCAGCAGAAATCGAGACTCATCAGACCAGGCAACGTTTTTCCAATCTTCTATTGTCCAATTTCGATGAGCTTGTGCAAATTGTAGCCTCAGTTTCCTGTTCTTAGCTGAAAGGAGTGGCACCCGGCGTGGTCTTCTGCTGCTGTAGCCCATCTGCCTCAAAGTTCGACGTACTGTGCGTTCAGAGATGCTCTTCTGCCTACCTTGGTTGTAACGGGTGGTTATTTGAGTCACTGTTGCCTTTCTATCAGCTCGAACCAGTCTGGCCATTCTCCTCTGACCGCTGGCATCAACAAGGCATTTCCGCCCACAGAACTGCCGCTCACTGGATATTTTTTCTTTTTCGGACCATTCTCTGTAAACCCTAGAGATGGTTGTGCGTGAAAATCCCAGTAGATCAGCAGTTTCTGAAATACTCAGACCAGCCCTTCTGGCACCAACAACCATGCCACGTTCAAAGTCACTCAAATCACCTTTCTTCCCCATACTGATGCTCGGTTTGAACTGCAGGAGATTGTCTTGACCATGTCTACATGCCTAAATGCACTAAGTTGCCGCCATGTGATTGGCTGATTAGAAATTAAGTGTTAACGAGCAGTTGGACAGGTGTACCTAATAAAGTGGCCGGTGAGTGTATATATATATATTTAAATATATATATATATATATATATATATATATATATATATATATATATATATATATATATATATATTATGTACAAAAGGTCATGCTTTCAAATGACCTATTATCATTCAAACCTAACATGACTATATGTTGAGCTAAAGGAATAAATGAGGGGCTTTTGATTAGAGAATGAAACAGAGAGGATAGGCAACTTTGAGTGCAAACTCAGGCTGACCTACCAGGCCCAGACAGGTTATAGTACATACTCCAGTCGACAAGCACCATTACCCTGTGGATCTGTGCAGCTTAAGAGAGGGCACAGAGGAGCAGTGAGGAGGAGAGGGGTTAGAGAGAAGCTCCAAGAGTTAAACCCAGCAGAGAAAAGAAGGGGCAAAAAAGAGGACAAAAAAAACGTTCAAACTGTGTTTCTGAATGAGGACTTGGGTCATGTTCACTAACATGCATTTTCTAACACAGTGGTTAGCCCTAGCACTCTCTTTCATAACATGTAGTTCCCTATTACCCCACCAGAACATTGTGGTCCCAACATGCAGGCCTGCTTATCATACCTAGAGTCTTTAATAGTGGTCTGGGTGATAGTGCTTTCAGTTATCAGGCCCCTCTCCTCTAAAAATCATCTGCGAGTCGAGGTGCAGACACCCTCTCTCAAGGGTTCCTCTTTGATAAAACTGATAGAGCTGCTTCAGGTCTAAACCAGGGCCTGCATAAGGGCCTGGTCTGACCTGAACCAGCTTTATCAGCTTTATCAAAGAAATAGACAGCAGCTAAAACTAAGTGTTTCAGACAGAAGCTGAGATAATGATATTCTAATACAACAGGTTGAGAAATTTGAGGGGTTTTTTTTTTAGATCGGAGGTATCAGAGTGGAAATATACACTCACCGGCCACTTTATTAGGTACACCTGTCCAACTGCTCGTTAACACTTAATTTCTAATCAGCCAATCACATGGCGGCAACTTAGTGCATTTAGGCATGTAGACATGGTCAAGACAATCTCCTGCAGTTCAAACCGAGCATCAGTATGGGGAAGAAAGGTGATTTGAGTGACTTTGAACGTGGCATGGTTGTTGGTGCCAGAAGGGCTGGTCTGAGTATATCAGAAACTGCTGATCTACTGGGATTTTCACGCACAACCATCTCTAGGGTTTACAGAGAATGGTCCGAAAAAGAAAAAATATCCAGTGAGCGGCAGTTCTGTGGGCGGAAATGCCTTGTTGATGCCAGAGGTCAGAGGAGAATGGCCAGACTGGTTCGAGCTGATAGAAAGGCAACAGTGACTCAAATAACCACCCGTTACAACCAAGGTAGGCAGAAGAGCATCTCTGAACGCACAGTACGTCGAACTTTGAGGCAGATGGGCTACAGCAGCAGAAGACCACGCCGGGTGCCACTCCTTTCAGCTAAGAACAGGAAACTGAGGCTACAATTTGCACAAGCTCATCGAAATTGGACAATAGAAGATTGGAAAAACGTTGCCTGGTCTGATGAGTCTCGATTTCTGCTGCGACATTCGGATGGTAGGGTCAGAATTTGGCGTCAACAACATGAAAGCATGGATCCATCCTGCCTTGTATCAACGGTTCAGGCTGGTGGTGGTGGTGTCATGGTGTGGGGAATATTTTCTTGGCACTCTTTGGGCCCCTTGGTACCAATTGAGCATCGTTGCAACGCCACAGCCTACCTGAGTATTGTTGCTGACCATGTCCATCCCTTTATGACCACAATGTACCCAACTTCTGATGGCTACTTTCAGCAGGATAATGCGCCATGTCATAAAGCTGGAATCATCTCAGACTGGTTTCTTGAACATGACAATGAGTTCACTGTACTCAAATGGCCTCCACAGTCACCAGATCTCAATCCAATAGAGCATCTTTGGGATGTGGTGGAACGGGAGATTCGCATCATGGATGTGCAGCCGACAAATCTGCGGCAACTGTGTGATGCCATCATGTCAATATGGACCAAGCTCTCTGAGGAATGCTTCCAGCACCTTGTTGAATCTATGCCACGAAGAATTGAGGCAGTTCTGAAGGCAAAAGGGGGTCCAACCCGTTACTAGCATGGTGTACCTAATAAAGTGGCCGGTGAGTGTAGACTCTGAAAAGAAACGCATAATACCCCCCTTAAATCGTTTGGGATAACATAATGTAAATAAAGATTGATTTAGTTTTTGATTGCTTTAATGTATGATGAGAAATATGATGAGAAATATTCCTATTCATACAAAGGTCTCAAAATCTGTCATCTATCTAGAAAAATAATTCAGGTCCATTTTGATGTCTTTTAACAGCTCATCATCTTGTCCTGAATGCCACCTCAGCTCAAAGTTCTGAGAATGATCTGTTCAATGTTTGAACAGACATTAACAATACATAAGCATTGGTGGAGCGTCATTGTTCACGTGTTAGTCTGATGATGCTTATGAAAAGCAGGGAGAAGTTAACTTGTTCACCCAGGCAGTATTCTCATCGAACAGAGGCACGAGTTATTAGATAGTTGATATTCACCAACTGTTGCAGCTGCAAACATTTAGTGAATTTTCCCACTGTGGAGCTTTGTGTGTGTGTTTTTATCCCACTCCTTGGTCTGGAGTATAGTCACACTGGTCACATAACCTGACTGTATCCTGTTAGAATGAAAGCCAACCTCTGTCGTTCTGACTCACCAGCTATTTGTGACAATAATATAAGTATTTTATGTATTTTATTCCTATTATAAATATGTAATCACCTAAAGTATGTTTAAGTTGTCTAATTATAACCAAACAGGTTGAAACTGAGACATGAGTGTGCTAAATGTTTACCAAATAAATAATTAAACATGCCGTATTTCACTGTGACAGCGAGGGGCAATGCAAGAGACAGGTGGACAAAGTGAATGTGAATAGGAGCACGTGTAGACATGAAATGAAAGCAGGATATTTGATCACGGGCTCTAATGTTACTCTGTAACTGTGAGGTCTATTGATGTGTGGAATAAACTGGAGACTGTCTGACAGAAACAAACGCTGACAGAATTTGTCCCATCTGATTGGTTCCTCCGCGGATTGAACATGCATCCAGAGATTAGTGTATTATTTCAGTCACAGGTGACAGTCGAGACATCCTCATCTGCAGCTGAAACATGTAATGCAAGAAGACTTATTTTTCTTCTTTGGCTGTTTTGGAAGTATCTGGTTAAGCTTTAGCATCACAAGATATAGCACAAGATCCCATCACACCCATACTTATTAGTAAAACGTGTCATTGTGTAGTCACCTGAACAGATTTGTTAACTGAAAATGAGCCATTTATGACTAAAAAAGAGTGGGAGGGGAGGCCCCCCATCTTGCAGAGTGATGCTACCATGGTAGAACAAACTGATCATGTAGAAATGAGACAGGGTACAGCTTATTTTTTATCATTGAGCGCCCATAAAATACATGAGATGGAATTAAAAAGGTAAATGTTTATATTTGTCTTCCTCTAGTTTTCTGACCACTCAAAGTGCTTTTACTTTGTCACAATCATCCATTTGAGATTTGAGAGACTTGAGCTTTATTTACAGATATAAATTTTTACATGCATTAATGAACACTTACATGTAAATACATGAAATCATAGCCAGGTGGCTAATTCCCACCCCTAGTCCCATTAGCAGGTTGGTGTCAACACATAAAACAAAAACAAACATCACACATTCACACTCTGATGGTAGAGGCTAATGTGTATATAGAGCCCATCAGTTTCTGACTTACTTTACTCACACGCCGCTGGTCCAGCCCTGGGGCCTCATGTATCAACACTTGCGTGGAACTCATACCAGAAACGAGCGCACGCAAGGTCCGTCACGCTGAAAAAAATCTGTATGTATCAATGTGTGCGGGCGCCGAAATCCACGTGTGTTTCCTTGATAAATCCCAATCAGCCTGGAATTGAGCGCAGATGTCGGAGTGACTGGGCCCGTCCCCGTTACGCCCTCCTATAAATATGCAGATTTATTTAAATAGGGTCTCCCTGTCCTCGCACGCAGACAAAATGACAAGAAAAACTACATTTACGGCGTGCGAGGTGGAGGTGCTGGTGGCGGAGGTGGAGGAGCGACAGCGTGTTTTGTTTGGCAGCCTGTCCAGTGGCGTCAGTGCAAAATGAAAACGCTTGGAGTGGGAGAAATTTTGCGAGAGGGTGAATGCGGTGGGTTCCGAGACAAGCACCCCCGCGGAGATTTAAAAAAAGTGGTCGGACCTCAAGGTGGAGGTCAAGCGGCGTACAGCTGCCCTCCGGAGGAGTACCGGCCAGACAGGTGGGGGTCCGGGGGAGGAGACCCTCACGCCGTTTGAGCAGCGGGTGGTGGCGATTATTATTATAGGGTAAGTGGCGTGTCACACAAATGTCCACATGCTTTGTCATCCCACTGAGCAAAAGACGTATATTAGACGTCTAGTCTAAGTTTATACTTCATTTCAACGTCGGGATTCAGTCTATTTTTAGACGTGATTTATACTTCGCCCTTAACTTCATTTTTCGATAACTTTTTATGCAATAAACAACTGTAATGTGCATAACTGACCTCTAAATACTGGATTACATTACCTATGATACCGTGGAGAGAGATGTAAACGCAACAGATACACAGAAGCAGGAATTGAAATGAACTAATATTTTTATTGTGTCACAGAAATCAATATGTCGGCCGTGTCGCCGGCTTGCGGAACCCCGGCCCGCGGCAGCCCGTCCGCCGGCTCGGAGTCGTCGGCCAGGACCAGCGGCATTCGGGCCACCCCGGCCCCCGGCCCCAGCACCAGCACCAGCATCAGCACCAGCGCGCCAACAAGCGGTGGAGCGTCCACCAGCCGCGGCGCTTCCGCTGGACCATCCGGACGCAGTGGAAGGGTCCTCGCGGAGGGGGTCCTGCAATCGCAGGAAGAAATCATCAGGGGGATCGCGGGGATCAACGAGCGGCTGGACCGGCTCGTAAATGTCCTTGAGCGTCTGGTGGAGAAAATAAATTAATTTGGCTCATTGAACTGTCTATTCACTTCTTACCCATTCACACTGTGGCGATGAGATTCTCCCGCCCGAGGACGGCGGCCCGGCAGGGATCAGCTCGCATCCCTCCGTCTGCTGCTGGTTCGTCATGTGGGGCGACGTGCTGCCCGCCCACGGGGATGTGGTGCACGCTTGTCACATAGTGAGTCACCAAACACCGCCACACAGCGTCGCCAAAGTGCGAATCACAGTCAACGCAAGTATCGGCTCAACGCCAATTTCTACACCACCTCCTGACTTTGCGTTGATTAGCGCTGGAACCGACGCTCGTTTCGCGATGATAAATCTGGACGTGTGCGCCGATTTTGGCGTACGCAAGGTTTTCTTGCGCCGCAAGCGTTGATACATGAGGCCCCTGGTGTCTTGCCCAAGGACATTTCAACATGTGGACAGCATGACCTGGTAACAAACCTCCAACCTTTGAGAGATGATTAGCAAGAGAGCATTTTGAAAAGAATCAGATTTCACTAAATGTTATTATTTCTACATGTTGTACCTTTGACTCCTTGTTAAATTATTCTTTCATTATACGCTCTACTAAAAACCAAAACAAATTCAGGGTTACAAACCATAATATGCCCTTTGGAGTTCATTCTTAGTAAACCAAAAAGTATTCGTAATTGGCCAATTTATTAGTCAAAATAATGAAATGTAAAGGTCATATTTAATGCGTTTTATAGGCTGGAATGAGACAAGCTTTCACATTAAAATGCTTTGTATAATTTTTTAAAATGAACTTTTGAATGAAGTTGGTTTGATTTACATGTATTTCTTTTTTGTTAGTTTGTTCCTTTTGAACAGGTGAACATGTAGAGATGCATTCCTAAGATTCAGCCTTTATGGGGAAGGACTTGTGGCTGTATTTTACTTTTTTTTTTTTTTCTGTACATGCAGTAAAAGGACTATAATCCTGTCTGCCTTCTCTTACTTTGGCTTTTCTCATGCTCACCTGCTACAACATGAATTATCTTTTCCCTCCATACCTCTTACCTGTACTATACCTGTAACATGACTTGCGCAGGGACACAGGCTCTTGATAGCAACAAAGTAAAATCATAGGTACAGGTTTGGTGAGACGGGAGTGTGGAGAAAAGAGGATGTCAGAGTCTCACAATCAACAGTGACAAGCAATCACTGTGGAGTTTTATGAAAGTAGACCCTAAGTGTGGAGGAGACAAGACTGAAGAGTGATAGATGACTAGGCTGAAGTAAGGAGGATGAAAAGGATGCATTGATGACATGATTTCAGTAGGATGAGGAGATGGACCTGATGAGACTTAATGGGATAAGATACAATGGCAGCAGAAGAGGATGTGTTCAAAAGTGACTGAAGAGGAGGCTGAGTGTGCAATGAAGCAAAACAGAAGGAGGCAGGTGGTGGTTAGCAGCAGACACAGGGCTAGGTGAGTGTACAAGATTGATTGGTGATTGCTCTTGGATTTCGTGGCACAGAGAGTGGAAGCCGTAAAGAGCAAGAGAAAGAGAGAGAGAGAGAGAGAGAGAATTGTAAAGAAGAGGGAATATAAACTCCCAGATGCCAGGTATTTTTCCTACCGAGCGGCGAGACGACAGGAGTCTAATGAGTTCCCTCATAGCAGCAAGGGTTCCTTCGTATGAATCACACAAACAGTCTTACACACACACACACTCTCGCACGTAAGCTCGCGCAGTTGTAATGAATTACAGAGCCCTCAGCCTAAAACCTTGGCCTCGTACCTCATCACATGATACCCACATACGTCTTGTAGCTGCAAGGATCGATCTGTCCACAGCCATTTGACACGAATACACATGGAATCGAATTCTACATGACATATTCCATCACCTGCTGTACCCTTGAATCCCTACCAACATCCTCCGGAGAATCATTCACACAATGGACATCAATATATTGACGCAGTCTAAGCAAACCATGAAGCTCTGCTTTGTCTCCTGAAGTTCAGTTTATCAGCTTGAGATAAAATAATATTTGGCCTAAATTAAAGTAAATCTGACGCCTTCATTTGGTCTTGTGATTTCTGTGCACTTGCAGGCTGCCTGGGTGTCGCTGGTTCACGCCTGAAAATGACTCAAGATTACCTGCTGGATTTCTTAATTAGAAGAAGAAGCACAAGGCGGTGAATCACAATGACACAGACCTCTCCTGAAAAACATCCAAATGCTCAGATCCAGCCATCGGCATGCACAAAGCACCATTATCCAATTTTTTAAGTTTTGCTTGCACAAAAAATAAATGCTAATGAGCATCAGCTCTGTAATTTGTAATTATAATCTAACCAGCAAATGAGGTGGTTGTTGACTAAAACTTTAACCTCTCAAACCTGATTATTATCATATAATTATGCTTAAAATCACAATTATTGAGATTTCACTCAGTATTTTAAAACAACCAATCAGTTCGTCCCTGCATACATGTGTTTTGAGCAGAGAAGCTATGCCAATTACATTTATTAAAACGTTGGAAATGATCAGCTTTTTTATGTTGGTGTTGAAGGCTGCATAATGCAGAGCACACAAGCAAATTACTGCAAGACCTCTACTCTTAGATTTGACAAACGGACTCAGGAGTCATTAATAAAAATACAGCTTTTAAAAGGAAAAGAATAGCTTAATGATGTCTGAAACCAGGAAAACCCTCATGTGGCCTCGGCACTACAGCACAGGTTAGGTCTCGTAAAAGGTTCACTCAACTGCAGATTTTGGAAATAGAGATTTAACATCTCACTGGCACAAAAGGAGGCGCTACATGCACAGAGCGGGATTATAAATAAGATATGAGGCATCGGTTCAATTTAAAAAAGTGCGACATGTCCAAAAGCAAGTTTGAAGACAGAGAGAAAGAAAGGCAACCAACTGGAGTCACTGCTGCTTGTGCAACTACAAATGTGTTGTCTTAATGAGAAGTACATGTGATTTATGTCTCCTTTGTATGTATGAAATATGTAATAAAATTAAGGTTGTTTAGTGGTTGTGAAAGCTGTAAAACCACCCGAATCTGCCAAAAAACTACCAGTGAATGGTGTGGTCATTCTGGGGCGTGGCGTATCTCGACACATGCCTCAGAACCAGCAGCACATACCTCGTCTGCTCTACAGCACACCTTAGGCCACTCTTCAGCCTGCTGCTGCTGCTCTTAAAGTAGCTGAGTGCTCATAAACCTGCCTTCCCATTATAGATAACTCAGGATTTCTTTTTACAACATACAGCTGGCTTTTTCATACATGTCACATACTCTACCACTCATCAGGGGTGTCCGAGTGGGGAAAAGTGGGACTGACTACCTCAGCCCCTGGTGGGGAAAAGAGGCCTCCGATTAGTCTCAAGTGTACACTCAGTTTTCTTAGCCTTTTTTCTCTCTGAGCTAAGGAGCTGAACTGAAACTGTGTGGTTAAATCAACAAATACTCAAAATGTCTTTTTGGAAATGATTGAGCCCATTGACAGGATCGACCTGACCGCAGTCTGTAGAGTTACCTGAAGGATGCTGAAGGTAGAACCATTTCTCCCAAAAGAAGGAGAAATCAGGGTTTTCAAAAAATTAAAAAAAGAAGAAGTCTGAGAGAAAACAACATTAGAAAAATTTGTTTCAAACTGAAGGTTGGCGGGTCATTTAAGATAACACTGGAAATGTACATTTCATAGAGTCAGCTGGGGCTCCAGTCACTCTGGTTATACTGAGGCTAATTTTCATTCATAAATATGCTCATAAATGTCTACCTCTGATATGTTACAATAACTAGCACATTTCCAGGAGATCTAAGATAACATATTACATATCAATATATTCATTACAATAAATGAAATAAAAATAAACCCGAAATAATCTGGCTGCAGACCTCCACGATCCAAAGTCATGGAGGTCTGCATCCAAAGGGGAAACCAAAGTCTTTGGGCTCCAGGGGCAAAGCTGAAACTCAAAGGAACTGAAGGAAGGGTACCACCAGGAGTTGAGCCTGCAGCTTAATTTGACTCAACATGGGAAACCTTACCCAGCCCGAACACGGAAAGGATTGACAGATTGATAGCTCTTTCTTGATTCTGTGGGTAGTGTTGCATGGCTGTTCTTAGTTGGCGGAGGGATTTGTCTGGTTAATTCCGATAACGATTCAGACTCCAGCAAGCTAACTTGTTACGCGGCCCACCTCCACTGAGCAGATCGGAAGTTGGTTTAAAGCCTTTCAAATGAAAAGCGATAAGACCAAAAAGTACATATTTTTTGTCTCGCTTGAATATATTTTAGTTCTTGGGGCTTTATTTTATGTATCTGATGTTAATATGATTTCTTGTGTATTCATGTGTTCAACAAAGAGAAAATATAAAACGGGATGACCACTTCAAACAAACTGAAGCATGTAAGAAAAAAACGTCACCTCGGGTCCTCTTAGCGGAGTGGGTCCCAACAGTGGATTTTTGCGGCCAGACCCCTCTCAAATCATCCACCAATAGTTTGGGATTGTCATGCATGAAAATCACTCACCTTTTGGAGAAATTCGCCAATTTGAATCCAAAATAGGTGACCTGGTGAGAATTCGGGGTTCAGACTTTTAAGTACCATCTTGATTGATTATCCTGTTTTGCCACTGAACCCTTCATTATAGATGTGCTGTTGCACATTTCAGCCAGTGACCGGTACTGTTCAAGGGGTCCTTTTGGCCAAATGCCTTTTCTTGTTGTCTTTTTTTTTGTCCTGAGAGTCGTGAATAAAACAATTTATTTGGTTTAAAGGAATTTGTACTTTACTAGATTGTTATATAAATCTTCAAATACACTTCACCCTCGCCCCCCTCCAGACTTAGTTCACAATTTGAGAGCCCTGTTATACATTCATACTGTCCTTTAACCCTGCTTGATTCTTCTTTCAAAGTTCACCAGATTGAGGCTTTTAAATAAACCGCTATGCAAGCCAACAAGTCAACAATTCAGATGATTTGTTTCAGTATGACTCAGGACTCATCAGGACTTGTCTTAGGCTCAGGGGGATTTCTGGTCTGAAGGCATTCACTCACAGTCTGTGTCTTGATATCTGGTGCTCAGCACATGACCACAGAGAATAGAGTTTCATTTCCTTTGTTTTTCTCAGGTGCACATGCTACGTTTCTTCACCGAATCTGGGTCACTGGATGTGTGGCCACTTGCCAGCGTCCTCCATCCCCTGTCACTAACAGCACACTGATCTGGGAGTCATGTACCATTTGTCAAAGTCAGACAGTTGCTGTCTTTGGTAATGAATCCCCACACTTTACTTGACCTGCTATTGTACTACATGCTCTACTTACATAATCAAACTGTGCACACACACACACACACACACACACACACACACACACACACACACACACACACACACACACACACACACACACACACACACACACACACACACACACATCGTTGTTTGCAAACAGTAAAAAGGGTCTGAATAACACTTAAACCTGCAAACACGTCTGAGATTTGTCTGAAAAACGGCAGCAGGCTTAAATATCATCTAGCAGATGAAAATATTGATTTTAAAGGAGATGGAGGCAGAGCTGGAGTCAGCTCTTGTTTTGTGGTAATCACACTGAAAATAGTACAGAGTGCAGAGAAATCATGATTAAGTGGAAGAAGCAACCTGATGCCAGCATGAAAGTCTGTCCTCATAGTTTCTGAGATAACAATCCCCGGCAAAATCACAGCGTAGAGGATTGGGAAAAAGAAAATACTTTTTATATGCGCAGAAGGACACCTATACATACTCCAACTGAATGTTAACAGGGCGCCCAAATTTACTCTATTCCCACGTAGACTGTGTGGAAATGAATATTTCCATTTTCAAGGTAACAAAGGAGGCAAGTGTTGCAGTGAACAGAATAAAAGGCAGCATTGAAGACAGTTGCTGCAGGCACTTAAGTCACCCTGCGCCGCTTCAGATTTAGAAAGCAAATGTTTTAAGTGTCAGATGAAGTTACTTATATTATCTCCTTTACCCTAAACTAGTCCTCTACACCACATTTAGACACATTTTCAACACAATCAATCCAATTCTTTTTTTACAATTTGTCTTGTCAGCCATGTAAAATGTAAACATGCACGGCAAACAGCCTTGTTAGCGGGTAGAAAGGTAAATGACAGCTACAGTGGGGTTCATTAAGATCCGTGAGCAAAAGTGCTGGTTCACAAGGTTATCAATACATCATTATCAAGCAATTAAGAACTCGCACCACTGAAGTACCATCCCTCATTTTAAACCAAATCCTCTTCAACCACAAGTGCCAATTATCATTAAGACCCTGACTGCAGATCTCATTTGTTGTCAAACACATGCGTCACTCAGTACTTAGCAGACATTTAGCTTACCTCTGTAATTAGTGCATTGACAACAGACACAGAGCAATTAAGATGAGAAGAAACTGCTCATATTGAGTCATCAGATGAAAAGCCTCATCATGGTGAAGCACTCGGACACAAATGCCGCCTTTGGTTGTGCTGTGAGTATACAGGAGATACTGTAAATGCTGCCACTGTACTTCTTCTGCTACCTTTAGGCTGTTTATGTGAGCAATACTGTCCCACCTCCCTGTCACTTCATCAGATTGACCGTAGCCGACTAATAAAATAAAGAGAGATGCTCCCTCAGTGATGCTAGCTCTAAATCAATGTGGGCCCTCACCATGCTGACAACCACAGCCTCCTCTCTCTTTACTATGACACCAGGAATATTAAATTATGTCACCGCAGGGGCCTCAAGCACAGAGCGAGACAGAGAGGCGGACAAGGGACAAGAAATGGAGTCTGCAGCCCAGACTGGTTTGTAAGAAAATTGAACTGTATTTCATTTAGCAAAAGAGGAGGAAAAATGGTAAAGCATGAGGAAAAGAAGAGCAGAGAAAAGAGGGCACAAAGAGGATGATCAGTAATGTGCAGCCGGAGGGGAAAGATCAAGTAAAAAACGGTGCTTATGGGATAAGGTGAAATGGTCAGGGTGTGTGAGAGTGAAGGGGAGATTAACAGATAGGCAGAGCACAGCTAGGTCTGATTAACATAACAGAGGAAAGAGGGAGGAAAATAAAAAAAAAAGGATTGAAGCTTCAAATGTGGTAAGACAGCAGAAGAGCAGGGAATGGCCAGAAATGAATGAGCGGCTTCGGTGAGGTAGAAATGAGAGACCCATAGGTGCTCAGAGTGATGGCAGACAAGCGACCTTCAGCCAGAGATCACACACGCGCCTGAATTACAGATATCTGTCTTTTTAAGTGAACATCTGTGGCATGTCTGTAGTTATCTCTATTCACAGAGAAATGCTGGGATGGCTTGGTTATCAATGGTGAAGAAGTTCATATATCAGAGGATTTGACTGCAATAACACCCCTTTATATGGTCACCTGGAGTACATCAGTCTACTCCAGGAAACACTTTTATTCAAAGGTCGATAAACTTAAACGGTCCTTAAAACATCAATGAAGATGTGATTTGATAAAAGTTGCCAGATATGATTAATTAAAGTCTAAAGCTCATCCATTACCTTTGGAAGAGTATGCACACTCTCTGTATTAAATCTGTCAGTATACAGATATGTAACTCTTCTCATCGGAGTATCTAAATTTCAACAGGTATTTCTTTAAAAATTCCTCTAACAAAGACTGCTGTTTCAAGCAGGAAATCAATAAAGAGGACAATAACAATCCTCCAGCTGAATTAGAGCTATAAAGGATAGAGCATACATCTGGTATAAAGGATGCATGCACAGAACACAGGCAACATTTTGACTTGAGAGAAGATTTTAATCAGAAGAATTAAATCAGCTGCATCCAGGGAGACAGAAACTCGTGCTATAATAACCAGTGACTCTGTAACAAACATCTGTCTGCAGCCTTCTCTCCCATTTTCTTCATGTTTTCCATCATAATCAATCAGTTTGCACTCTGCCACCTCTGAATCACTCTTCACATGCATCTGTCAGTCACACGCTTGAACTGTGTACACCACCGGCGGCATTTTAGTGCCAATTAGCAGAGCCACCAGCATCATGGAAAAACTGTAGCAATGCAATTAAACCACATACAGAATGAACATATAGCAACAACAGCGAGCTATCTCGCCTTGAACCGAACCTTGATTTTGGTTTTCATGCTTCGACTTCTGTTGTCCACCACAAGTCCTTGGCAAAAGCTGACATGACTTTCTATCAACACATTGGAAACTTGCACTCTGCAGGATAGGTCTGTTGAAGTAATTGGTGGCATATGTGGGTGGATGAGCTTGGCCTTGAGAGTAACTGTTCCCAACACGGGTAGCTGGCATCAATTTGTGCTTCATAACAACAACAACAACAATAAAATAAAATAATAATAATGATAATAATAACAATAATAATAATAATAATAATAATTAGGCCTGAACGATATATCGTTTGACTGTCGTCATCGCGATGTACGTGTGTGCGATAGTCACATCGCAGAGCCTGCGATATTGGAGGTGAATGAACTCATTTAATTTCAAGGGTAACCGACTGAGATACACTCCATGTGACTCTGCATGTGCTGTGCAGCGATCCACCAATCGCCTTCGTCCTTAACTCAGTTGCCAATCAGACTCACTTCTCAGTTGCCAATCAGACTACCCTGCCAGCTGTCAATCAAAATCAGGGAGGAGAAAACCCACCCCTGCACATGTTCTGCACATGGAGGGAGACGTGTGTCCGCTGAGAATTACTTTCGGAACTTTACTCATGACTATTAAGCCCAACAAATAAGAACTGTATGGGTTTTAAATTGTACATTTCCGTGGACCACTCTACTATAAGCAGTGCGCGTTTTGGGAGGTGCATGCAATTCTCGGAGGACACGCGTTTCTCGGCACAACACCGCTAACAACAACAACAACGATCGCAAAATGAACAACGAACAAGCGAAAACCACCGAAAATGAAGATTTGTTGCCAAAAAGAAAAGGAAAGTCAGTTATCTGGAATTATTTCGGTTAAAAGAAGGATGATGTCGACCAAAACACGTCTTCTGTGTTCATCTGTTGCCACAATAACGTCCCAGCACAATAAAAGCTAAAAATATCTCTGAGACAGACAGAAGCCGTTCTACTAACATTCACAAAAAGAGGTAAGATCAGAGCAGATTAACTGTTCTCAAGATTTCAGCAGTGCAGCATAACATTAAGTGCTATTCAGGTCA